TGCACTGCGACTGAGATAGGTATAATCCCTACGTCTCGGAACAAATTTTGTTTTACCCATTTTGCGTGTACGTACATGTAAAAAGATAAAAAGGACTAATACCTTTAATTTATTAAATCTCAATATAACTACTCCTCTTTTTATCTACTCTCTACATTTGTATTATAAATTACAAGTTATTTTTTTTTGCGGGGAAAGGGTGAATTTATTTCTCAACCAGGGAGATTACAATCAGCAATTATAAGTTCTTTAATGCAGAGAGGGGCATCAAACCGCCAAACTGCACAACTAATTTTTAACAAACATCACGGATTACAAATTAACTTATTTTGAAATAAAGAGAGTAGTAGATGTTCAGATATCCTCAAATTGTCGTTGTTATTCTCCTGCTCTATCAACTAGGAAAGTAGCCCGCGCATTCGCGCGGGCATGTATTGTACACATGATTAAACTTTTCGGTTTAGCCGATTTCATAGGGCATCACCAAAATTTCGGTCCGAAATTTCGAACAAAAGTTAGTTGAATTTGAACAAATATTACCAAAATTCATGAAAAAATACAAAAATTTGGCCGAAATAATATAGTATCGGAGGGGTCTGAAATGGCCAAAATTTCCAACCCTGATTGTACATTGCATTTGAAATATCTATATAAATATAATATCAATCGGCTGACACCTATTATGTTTAAAAGTACTTTTTTTATTTGAATAAGACACATCAGGTGAAGCCTCCGCTGTTCTTTGGTATTTTGCTTTGATAATTTTTCTAAGATATTTGTTAGGTTTAAAAATATATCATATTTAATACATCTGTATTAATAATTATCTATGATCTCTTGATTATATAGAAGGAAGTTCGATTCAGTTTGTTTGGAAAACATGTCTAACAAATCAAGTGTAAATTAGAACTAAGGTGTTTGGCCATTTTTTTAATAGAATGTTTACATGCTTTTTTTTACAAATTCTAAAGAACTATATTGTTAATAAATATGTTTTATTTGTACCATCAAGTAGTTCTCCTTCTAGTAGGTTTAAGTTGATGTAAGTTGTTACATACTTACATATAAATTAATAAAGACATGTCATATACCTCGCTTCCTTCTGATTTGTGTGATCTAAACTATCTTTTTCAAAAGAATATACCTAGTTAACATGAATCCAAAATTTTAAATTTAATAGTAACAAATATAACTTTTCAAAGAACTATATACTGTGAACCTTAGTGCGGTTTATATATGTAATAATATGTGGAGAAAGTCATAATGCTATGATATAGGATAGATGTAAGGCCATTAATGTCTAAGCATTTTAAAATTGTTATGAAAATGGAATATGCAATGGTTGGTCTAATTTTAGTGAAATGTAAGAACCCATTTTTTACGAACTTATTATAGTTTCTGTTACCTACTTTATTTTATATTTTATACCAGTTCAAAATATAGGCTTTTTGGATCTTTAAATCATTATTTTAATTATAAATACAACAATATTTAGATTAGAAATCAGATGCATAGCTTGCAATTTATGCATGTTTTAATATTTTTGATTACTTTTGGCTATATAAACAGGAAGGGGTGGAGTGGAGAGCTCAAGCCGAGAAGGGATGGGACGAGTAGTGCCGTGTTGTACGTATGTGGGGGGGGGGGGGGAGGGCGAAGTGGAGAGGTGTTTTTTTTTTCTATTTTATCTAAATGATTTAAGTAAAACCGATGATCTATTTTTTTCTCAATTTTTTTGTTATTTTTCTAATTTTTAAAACGTAACACATTGCGGCTTAAGATTTTCTAAAAAATATATCTATTAGTTGAAAATAATGGATCTACCTACTTAAGTGGAAACTGATGGTCAGATGATTTTTCTTCCAATTTGTAAAGTTGTATTTTTATTTAAGGTGTAACACGTGACGCCTTAAGTGCGCTCAGAGGATGTACAATGATTTACGATAATATAATACTTATTTTCATTTTGTATTATGGTCTGTCTTTTTTCTATTTGGTTACCATGCAAAGGAACGGTGTCTATGTTTAAATCACGTATTTTCATTTTTATATAGTGAAATATGGGTATCATGGATCTTAAATTATCTATTTAATTATAAATAAAGCAAAAATTCAAATAAGTTAACATTATGATTTAAGAGGAAGAGAGAGTTGAAGGGAAGAGATTGCGCGTGGATATAATTTTAATAATTATTTTTACCGGGTTGTAGTGTTTTAGTTGCAATTAGTTTTTTAACTAAAAATTGAAAAACAATTTATTGATTGATTAAAATATATCCTTTTTACTTGTCTTTTCCAGTATATTCACAGTAGATATTAAAAATACGAACACTACAATCTAGTAATGTTATTTTAACTTATTCTAATGTTATAATGGGGGAGTAGCTTTTTAAAGCATTCCTATGTCTTTAAATGTAAAATAATCAAATAATCTAAAGACATAAGTTTATGAAATATTAGTTGTGTGAGTTAGATGTTATAGTTGCTTATGTTTTGCATAGGTTTTGCTTTCTAACAAACATATTTTTGAAACATTACTCATAGAATATTCATTTTACTTTTATGATTGTAGACCTAATTTAATTATTATGAAGTTATGTATGATGATAAAATCTATATTATTATTATTATTATTTTATATGTTTTTATAATTGCTTGAAGGGCACGCAAAAGTCAGGAAATCTAAACCAAAATGGCATTTTTTTTCAAAGGTAAATAGTAGTGAAATATGGTCTTCAACTGTAAATTTAGTTATAAATAATCTAAAGATTTACGCGGATCAGAAATTAGTTGTGTGATTTAGAAGCTTAATTGTTTAACACAAACTTATTGCTTATCTAACTAATAAGGCATGAAAATAGGAGAAGGAATAGGTGAAAAGTGGAGAAATGAATTGAAGGAAGAGGAGGCGTACATACGTACGTTCGTTTTTGTAAAAAAAAAAAGTAACTTATACATACAGTCTTAGGTGGGCCCAGGTTTAGGAGAGGAATTTTTTCTTGAAAATTAATCTAATGGTTGTAAATAATGGGTCCACCAAATTTAATAAAAATATGTTTTGTTATTTTAGAATTTTTAAGAATTTCACTAATTTATTATAGCATCACATGGCTATGGCTAATTAGGAGCATTTTTTAGATGTTTAATGGGCTTTTAGACATCTAATCTAATGTTCTAAAATATTAATCGGGTCTACCAATTTAAATGAAAATCGACGGTGATATTTATGTAAATTTATAGAGTAATATATTTTATCATTAAATAATAGTAAATATATTTTAAATATCATCATTTTTTTACAATGGTACTAAGTACGTATGTTTTTTTTGCTTATTGATTTTATGGTAATTCTGTGGGTAGTTTTTTCTTTCTTCTTACGCGAATAGTAGGTAAGCTTCATTCGTTTCTTCAGTTGTACATACGTAAGTTTTTCCCATATATACATAAATACGTAATATTTAGGATAATTTTTTTTATGATTTTGACCTTTCTCTTAAAAGTTTTATTTAGGACTTTTTTTTAAGTTGATTGTATATATTTGTGTCGTAAAGACCTTTGGAGCAAATAAATTCTAAACTCAAACCAATCAAAACCATGGAATCAAGTAGATATATGGATTAAAAATTATAGCAATTAACTTGAACTTATCTAACTGTTGATTCCTTTTATCTGAAATTATTTGTTGTAAAATAGGAATAGAGAATAGGAGAGGAGGGTATGGGGTAGATGGACAGATTGACGGACGTACGTACTTACGTAGGAGGTGGTGGGGTAGGGGTGGGGTGGGATTTAAATTTAATCTAATGGTCTAAAATATCAGGCCTACCAATTTAAGTGAAAATAGACGGTTAGATTTAATAGAGCCACGTGGCGGCTTAAGAGCATTTATAGGAACACCACGTGACGGCTTGAGAGCGTTTGTAGGAAGTTTAATGGACTTTAAGTATATAATAGAAGATATATATGAGGCAAAGCTTTTTTTTAAAAAAAAAATCGTCGTTGTTACAGATGCTAGCTAAATACTAGTCGTTAGGCGTTGCAAACTATAGAACTCTGTACTTTTGCATGTATGTCCTAGTATACCCTGCTAGTACTACTGCGTACGACGACACGAGTACATCTACTTAATTTCGGCTGTGTTTAGTTCAGCGTAAAGTTTGTATTTTAGTTAAAATTAGAGATGATGTGACTGAAAAGTTATGTATGTATGATGGGTTGACGTGATGAAAAATGACTGAAGTTTGGATCTAAACTTTGTATCTAAATACAACCTTCATCACGCGGTTTTTGGGTGAAAATTTAGCTGCTACCTAGCCTGACAGTATTACAGTAACTCTGTACTCCGCGTGCATGTTCTAGTATTCCCATTGAATTAATTTCGGCGTACATACTGGTGCCTTTTCTGATGTGTACGTATTCCGGTTGAATTAATTTCGGCGCCCAACTGTTCAAGCTAGCTGCTCCCCAACCTGTCCCAAAACTGAAAACTTAATTGAGAACACAGCTCAATCTAGCTGATAAAAGCTGGCTGCATATCTCTACAGAGTAGTATGTGAACATATCTATCTGTGTGGATTTATTGGTCATGACCACATAATAGCTCTAACGCTAAGGCAGCTGCGTAAGGGTCTATCAAGGTTCTGGTAGATATAGTTTCTCCTAAAATCTCCGATTGCCATAAACTCTTCTAAACAGTTCAAATTTTCAGTTAGATTTTAAGAAGTTATAGAATTTAAAAGTTGGGTTTTCTTCAGATTCTCACAAGTTGCTTCTCAAAATCAAACTCATTCAATTAGCGCCGAAGTAATAGTCAGAATTTCCCAGGACCTTTTGTATTACTACTTAAGGGTTTAATTATGATTCAAATCAAAACGGGGGTGTAGCTCATATGGTAGAGCGCTCGCTTCGCATGCGAGAGGCACGGGGTTCGATTCCCCGCACCTCCAATATAAAACGTTTTCTTTTGTTCATTTTCTGTTTGCTCATCGTCCCAAAAACTCCGCCTTCAGACTGTGAAAACGCCGTCAACTGCTTTCTCAGGAAAATCCGCCATACGATTCTGAAAACGTATTCCCTCTAAATACGTCGTTTCGCAACTCCCTCACTTTTATCGCGCCGTTGATCCCGCATCGGGCGGTCCAGACGACTCCGCAGCATATGCTCCTCTCCTCCCCCAAGAAAGAAAGCAGAGCAGTCAAAAAATCGGGGGGGTGGGAGCTCGGAGGAGAGCATCCGCTGCCATTGCCAACGATGGAGGTGGAGGTGGAGGTGGAGATGGAGGAGGTGAGCCACAAAGCTTGCGCGTCTCAACTTCGCGCGCGCGAGGGGGGAGGGGGGCTTTGCTTTCTCCTGCCTTTTGGGGATTTTTTAAATTTTTTTTGGATGTGGAACTTGGTGGTGCATCTGTTCGTCGAGAGGGTGGAGAAGCGATTCCGCTACAATGGAGGGGAGGGGATCAGGGGAGTGTGTTATTTGTTTAGTAATTTTGTAGCGCTCCTTTGGATGTTGTTTGTGCTTGGTTTGGTGTCCTGTAGCGCGAGTGGTTGATGTATGTGGGTTTGGTGATCAGTGAGGAGAATTTTCTTTTAATCTTTTTTTTTCGATCTGGGTTTGATCAGGATTAATTGTGTCAAATGCGCTTTCTATATGTCTAATTTGCTGGATTGTGCCACTGTTTTAGGGGTTTAGGGAACTCAGGGTTGAGGCCTAAAGTGTACTGTGATTGCTACAAACTGTTCACATTTTACAATACCCAATGTCACAATGTTAGGCTGCCGTTGTATTAGGTCCTTTTTTTTTTTTGGGGGGGGGGGTGTTCATAGAAAATGCTGGATTTTCCTTCTCTGCTCAGTAAATTCGCTGTATATCATACTATGTTGATACTCCTATTTTCTTTTCTTGGTTTCAGGTACTCCTGCCAATGTTTCCTAGACTACACCATCATTTGAGAAGACATCTAATGCAGTCGCGGAGCTGAAAACCACACGTAAGTTTTGCCGCGCTTTTGTTTTGGAGAAATTATACCCTTGCACTTATTTAGTATCACACCAGTGAATGATCATCTGAAATGTTCATTTTGGACCATTGTTTATAGGCTTATAGCTTTTTTTTTTGGTTCGACAATTGTTTATACTCCCTCCGTTTCACAATGTAAGTCATTTTAGTATTTCCCACATTCATATTGATGTTAATTAATCTAGACATATATGGCTAGAATGACTTACATTGTGAAACGGAGAAAGTAGCTGTGAAGGTCGAAACTCGACTAGTTAATAAACTGCTCCTTGCACATGCAATCCAATACATTGCATACACAGTCTCAACCAACAGGAAATGTAATGAAATACTTATATAGCAACATACTTCCATTTTGTATTTCGAAATAGACAAGTACAACCCTTGTATAACTGTAACAAGTCTATTACATATGCTGAAGATGCTCTGTTCCAAATTATAACGCTTTAATTTGGACCCAGCACAATCAACAATGTGGATAACTTCTTTTTATCCAATTAACACGGTAATTTTTAGGCAAAACTGGATCATACCACTCAAAGCTTATGTTTCATCGCTAGAAAATTAAAAGCATGAACTTGGATTTTAAAACAAAAAAAACTAAAACTTCTAGTGCTTCAGAACCAATTTTGCCTAATTTCTACCCTTGATAGCAAATGTCAGGCTTCCCTTTTTACTCTTTTGATAAGATTTTGTTGCTCATTGCTGTTCTTCCATCAATTTTGGGACTTCTTGTCAGATCTTTGTTATGATCCAACTATTTTTTATGTCTTTTGCAGGTGTTCAGTAGGGCCTAGCCATCAATTTGTATGTAATTTTGTTGTGGTGACTACTTTTAAATCTTTCAGGGGCTATATATGAGCAAGTGTTATCTTGAGAATTAATGTCAAAAGACCAAGATGCTTTCGAGAGGAACTTCTATCAACTCAAAGCCTTTTACATGGATACACGGTTTGTTTCTTCTTGAATACTTTCTGGTACTGTGCAATGTCAAGAACTCAAGATTCAATCCTTCATATGTACTCTGGATGTGGAGTGTCAAGCATTTATACTGTGTCGCCTCTTGCTTTTCTTCTGAACCAGTAACCATCAGCCTTAGGTTCTAGCGTTGTATCATGTTCTTGAAATTTCAGGATGGCATTGATAGGTGACAGAAAAACGCCGTTAAAGTAAATATTGCCATTGTTAGTGTTGAATTTTGTGGGAAGAGGAATTCATGTATCCTAATCTCTGTGACATTGTGAATCCCTGTAGTTTTATAAGAACAATCACGTTGGCATTGGACATTTTCTGCTCTTCTTTTTGGCCTGGGTTGAAGAAGACCGACCAAATTTCATTAAGATTTGGGAAAGATACAAGTTACAAGTAGCATCAACAGTATGCTGTCGAAGATGGAGGTGTCGGGTCCTGAACAAGCCCAAACACCAAGAGAAACAAGCCCTAACTCATTACAATCTTTTAACAGTCCAGTCTCTTTCCAAATGGAAATCTCATCCTTGATGTCTCCAAACAACTGGCCTAATGTGTGATCTCTGATTGAAAACCCGTGCATCATGTTCGTTCCAAACGAGCCAGCAGACCAGCATGAAAAGTGTGTCGCAAGATTTTCTGCATAAGTGTGTCATAGATCCCATAATTTTCTGAAAAGTGTGCATTACGTACATTAATTTTCTGTTTTTTCGGAGCTCTGCATTCCAGAACTTATTTTTATTAAATGCTATATTATTCTGTGTTTATTTGTAATTGTTCATCCAGTGGCATAATACCACCCTCCCCTGATGAGTACCCTATTTTGGGGCTTAGGCCCTGTTTGATTCAGCTTAGGATTATTATAATTTAGATTATTAGGAGTAAGCTGAAACAAACAAGTAGATTATTATGCTAGATTATTATAACCTATAAGTCAGATTACTATAATCCAATAATCTCCTCTAGAGGAGCTTTTTTCAGATTATTGAGTGGCTAAAGACCCACTACCCTTAGATGCCTCTAATAATCCAGAGAAACAAATGACTCGTAGCTTATTTTATGTCAGCTTATTATAATCCAACTTACAGTAATCTGATTTAATAATCTAGATTACAATAATCTTAAGCTGAAACAAACAGGGCCTTAATCTTCTGAGACTTTTGGCTCAGAACAAAATTGCTGAATTCCACGTGGAGCTGGAACTTCTGTCCCTAAAAGCTTGACTATCCTTGCATCAAGTTATGCCCTGAACCTTGAGTTTTCCTTCATGGAAGGTGCTTACAGCCAATTATTCAATGCTCGTCAAACTGTTCCACATGAGGCTTATGACTTCTTTATAGATCTTCTTGCTGAAACTATCAGGTGAGCACATTGCACATTCACGTTCCAGGTTTTTCATGTTTGGTTTCTGTTTTGAAGTTCCTTACCATGTTCTTTGTGTTCTTTTGTAGAGATGAAATAGCTGATTGCAGTGCTCAGGCATATGACTACTTGTCAATATCTTATGCAAAGAAAATGCTATTGTTTTCTTGTGACCAACAGCTTCTTAAGTTCATATCAGAGGCAAGTATTATTTTCTTACGCTCCTTTTATCCCATCCTAATTGTTCGATGCAATGGTGAATAATTGAACGATCTGAAGATAAGAAACGTATACTAGATGCGGGCATGGGCATAGACTAAACAAAATTATTATACAGCTACTGTACTAATTGAACCATACAGAATGGACTTTAGGATAATCAATGGATTGTGTTATATGATGCATGAGTGAAGGCCAAAATTCTATCCACTTCTGCACTGATCGTACTACCATTAATTCTTTGTATCTGAATATTCACGTTGATAACAAGTTCAACATGAATGGGATGTCCAAAATTGTTTAGTCCTTTTTGACATGGCAAAATCCAAACCTCCTGCCATACCCTCGCTTCAGCAAAACAAGAGAAGTATTAGCTACGTGAAGGAGCTGGACTAGCCACAAAGTCCCCGGGTCGATGGGATCGAGGAACGGGGTTAAGAGACGTGGTACGCTACTTGCTAGAGGTTTTTACAAGGTGGGGACAAAAATGATCCCGTGTTCCCGGGTCAAGAAACGCTGCCACCGACCCTGTTTCCTGTGACTGCTGGAACATATAGTTTAGATTCCTAACACAAGCTGGACTTCTGCATGTAGTTGTACGTACTAGGTAAGCCCAAATGCAACCATCAGCTTAAGTTAGATGTCACTAAGTTTTATTAATTTTTTTTTTGCTTTTTAATTCGAGATGGAGCTTGATAATATACTGAAAACAACGGCAGATTTTCAGGGCATTTGGTATGCCGATATCAAAACCATAAACCTGAGAGAGTTTCAGCTCAAGTATATGATGTTCAGGGCGTCTATCCGGACTCCTGTAGAATTTAATGGCTTATCTTGCTTGATTTCAAAATGATTTCCTTTCCTCATGTGGGCTAATTGCAAAAGGACGTGTTATCGTGTTTTGTAGTAAACCGAGCGAATCATGACCATCTGAATTCTGCACATTAATTTCAAATTTGTATGCACTGTACAAAATTCAATCCAGAGAAAAAGAGGAGCAAAAAACAATATTTTTTAGATATTAGTTTCTCATGCGGAAAACGGAGGAAAAAAAAAAGGTGACCTAACGAACTCGATGCAGCATTGGACTTGTGCTGCTTCAACTATCCTCTCCTTTCTGTAGAGAACTCAGATGCCTTTAAGGCAACTGACTTACCAACTTATTGTTTGCTGTAGATTAACATTAACAGGGAGAACAAAAATAAGAAGGCGACCAACAGTCTTCAGTATTCGTCATGAGCCACCAAGCATCGATTTGAGCAACTTCTTCAGCGTGTCCACGATGCTCGAAAACGACGGTCGCTGCCTTGGATCACTGAAAAAAGGAGAGCAAAATCACTCGCTGACAAGTTGGTGTTCTGAACATAGCATGAAATCAAGCAAAAATTTGTCTAAATCATGGAAAAATTTCTTCAAAACAAACAGTGCTTACTCATCCCAGCAGGATTCAACAAGAGCAGCTAGCTCAGGGACTGTCTCTTGTGGAATTGGGAGCCTTCTGTTCTGGAATGCAACTGCTCCTACTACCTGCACAGGTTGCTCTGCTGAATCACAAACCACAGTCCCGTGTACACAAATGCAGGATCAGAATAAAGAGAAGATTGAGATAAATACTTGTGCAGGGCTTAGGCCATTCCATGGTTGCTGCATTGTCATGAGCTCCCATAAGATCACTCCAAAGCTGTACACGTCGCACTTTTCGTTTGATGGCTCGCCACGAAGAAATTCTGGTGCCATCCATTCTGGCTGCAGTTTTCAGGAACAATGGATGATCAGAGCCAATAATTTCAATGGCAGATTGCTACTTGAGCTGGGCAGATTGCTACTTGAGCTTGGACGGTAATATGAAACTTACTGTTCCAGCAACTGATTTGGAGGATATGAAGGTATTCGCCTTAAATCTGGACAAGCCAAAGTCACCTACCTGAAGTTCGTATCAACGACAGTAAAGAAATAAAAAGGTAGAACAAGTTTTCGATCTCGCTGTTACTATTTGGGAGTTGAATTTTGAACCAACCTTCACGGACCAGTTCTTGTCCACCAGCATGTTTGGCGTTTTCAAATCCCAATGTACAATTGGAGGATTCAGGCAATGGAGATAGTTGATGCCTTTCGCCTGCATTACAAACAAAGCATGGGTGATACATTGTTCAGAGAAACCAGTAACGGTTCAGATGCATACAGTATGCAGAAGAGAAGAAAAAAGCTGTGATACATACAACATCTAACGCCATGCGCAAACGACGCCTTAAATCGAGCATTTCTCCAGCAGATGCCTTGTTGATGAGACGGAAGAGGCTCCCTCTATTTGCATCATCAGAAAGATTATTTGGTGAAGGACAAACTATCATTGATAGGTTTTGTCAACTGAAACTGAGGGAGAGGTTCACCTGGGCAGATACTCTGTTACTATCGACAAATGTGGGCATTTTGTCACTGCACCCATGAATAACACCACATTCGGATGGCGAACACGCTTCATGATTGCAATCTGTAGTGGTTAAAAACAATTTCCAAGTTAGAAAGATGGAACTGGTTTGTGATCCAAAGGAACAGTTAGTTCAAGTTATAAAGAATCAAAGCATAATGGGGCAGAGACCTCTCTAAGGAATTCTTTCAGTTGAGCTTCGCCGACATCCTGGTCAGTAAGCACCTTCACTGCAACATCCTACATTTCAAATCTACAACCTCAAGTTTATGATCTCCAAAGGGAATCAAGCTTACACAATGAGCCAAAAGTTCAATATACTTACAGAGCCGTGCCAGTCAGCACGATACACAGTTCCAAACGAACCTGCATTGCATTTCAGCAGCGATCAGATTTCACATCATACAGGTAAATCAGTAACAAACATGAAGGTAAAGAAGTACCGGCGCCTACGCGTTCCTTTAGCTCGATCTCGTCCCATGAAATCTCGAGCCAATCGGCGCAGAAAGACGGCTCGATGCTCAGCCGTTTCAGAGGCGTAGCACTGGAGATGTTGTCCTTATCGCCACTCTCAGAACTGATCTCCATCGCCTTCATCTGCTTCGACACTTCGAACACTGCCATACTGTTCTTGTTGCAGTTGCCGTTCTGCGTGATCTGACCGCATTTTGGCAGCATGGCTTCTTTGGTGGCTACCTGAACAGAGCTCTTCTCCTCGGCAACACAGTACTTAGCAACTGTACGCAGCACAAGAAAGATTGTAAATGGCTAATCAGAATACTCCAATAACATATTTGCTGTGGAGAAAGAATGGTATATCTGTACCTGAATACTGAGGATTTGACAGTATCGAGTTGCGACGATCTCCAGATATCGCGCGATTCCACGAAGCAGCCGGTGTTGCATAGTTTGCAGAACTCATTGTACATGAGGTCTTGAAAGGTGAAGGCACGGAGGAGAGCAACTGGCCATTGATAGACGAGTCTGGACTGCTGAGTCTTCCCGGCTCAACGACGAGGTCGACGACGTACTCCCTGAACCAACCAACCAGCAAAGTTCAGTCAAGTCATATGCAACAGCACATCTGCTACATTTCAGAGGGAGATCGACAGACTGACCTTACAAACCTTCTCTCGTTGTCGATCTTGACGAGGCAGGACGAGCGGTGCGGCGCGGAGCAGTACTTGCAGCCCTGCGCGATCCGGCAGGGAAGGCCGATGAAGTCGGCGAGGCTCTTGAAGAGGATGGCGCGGTGGCGGCAGAAGCCGATGGAGAGGCTGCCGATGGGGACGACGACGCACCTGTGCCGCTTCCTCAGCTGCTTGCTCACCGCCTTCCACCGCATGAACAGGTCCCCGTCCTCCGACCGCAACGCGCCCCTGCACAAACACAAACTCCATTGAAAGTCGTCAGAGACCAATGCTGAATGTTCGGTGCAACTATGCCTGAAAGTGAACCTGCAACTGAAATCTGAGTCTACATGTCTGCAAGTTCTGACGAGCAAAGCACAACTTAGTTTTTCTCTTTCATATTGTAAGACATTTTAGTTTTATCTTAAGTTAAACTTCTCTAATTTTGACTGAGTTTATAGAAAAATACACCCGGTAACAAATAAATACACTACCAAGACATTTCACGGTGGGTTTAATAAAACTAATTTGATGTTTCAGTTGTTGGAGTATTTTTTCAATAAACTCAGTAAAACTCAAGACAAGGTTTGACTTGGAACAAACCTAAAACTACTTGCTACAATATGAAACGGAGAAAGCATATGTCTACAAAATCTAAGAGCAACTAGACTTGACTGTTAAGTATAGTCCTTAATAGTTCTTGTGGTCCATAGAGTACAGATGCATGGTGACACTGTACATTTCAAAGACCAATTAAGCAAAGAAACAGATAGTAGATGCAACTTGCACAGGTACAGACAAGTACAGAGGTACGTGCAGCGAATTAAGCCTGGGCGTACTACTCCGTTTATACAGCCGTACAGTACCTAGATTATCTAGCTCACTTATTTTTCTGAAAAATGAAGCTGTGTTCACGTGTTCGTCGGTGCTCATGTTCACGGGGACGATCGAGCTTGTTGACTTGCCCAGTCCTGTGAATCACATTCGCAGTTGCATCCACAGCACGGCGGCTAGTACGCCGCTAATTTTTATCAACGAACAGACTCATCGTTTGTTGTACAGGTGAACAACACAACTTAAAAGATAATTTGTGAGGAAAATTTTTATATACAGTATGTTTTTAATTTAAAAACCAATAATGAAAAATAACACAACAAAAAAAATCAAAATCAACTCTAAAATTAAATTTTAGCTACGGCTGATAAGCTAAAACGCAAACTAACGAACTCTCGTCGATAATCCGGTCAACATTTCTTGTAAAATGCTCCCTCCATCCCAAAACAAACTCGCTTATAGGTCGGTGGGTTTCTTTTAGGACGGAGAAAATAATCCAGGTTTCTTTTAGGACGGAGAAAATAAACCAAGACAACAGTAAGGGGTACATTGCATTGGTTAGTGTGTGATTACCCCATGTGGTCGGAGACGAGGACGGCGAGGTGGCGGACGAGGTCGAGGGAGACGCCGGCGGCGCGGTAGAGGTCGAGGGCCCGGCGCTCGAGGTCGGCGAGCGCTGGGTCGCCGCACTTGTCGACGAGCACCACCTCCAGCACCGACGACTCGCCGCTGTCCACCGCCCGGAGCGCCACCAGCGTCGGCAGCCGCCGGCCGTCCTCCGCCGCAGCGTTGCACATCGCCCACACGTGCGGGTCCACCCCCAGGATGTTGTAGAACCCGTGCGCGATCTTGTCCCCCCACGACAAGCACCCGTTCACCTGAACATACACACACAACAACACAAGATCAACAAGATCATTGGATCACCTATCAATTCAGCAACAGTTTAATTAGCAAGCTGTTTATAGCTATCAGTGCAGTGCAGTTAGCTACAGAGAGTGGTAGTTAATTGCTGCAGGATGGATTGGTTAAAGCTAAGTAAGAGATTGATTAATTAAACAGAAATACTACTAGTGTGGTTAGGGGGCATGATTAGGGAGGTGCTAGAAGGTTACACGACTCCCTGCAACTTGCAATATACAAGCCCTTATTGAATTGTATAATATATGTACAATGTGCAGCCACTGAGCATGCATCAGAATGGAGACTTCAATGGGAATAGATTAGAGTCAACATACTACACAGTTCGCAATTAGTGCGAAATCTTTGATTAATTAAGCAACCCACTAGTAAAAAAAACATCAATCTAGAGGCTACAAACTAACTGCAAAATGAATTGAAGACTAAAAAGAATTTAGACGAAATCTCCAGCAAAACTTGAAGCTGAAAAAAACTGTTTTCTTTGGCAGGGAGAGAAAGAAGTTTGAAATTTGAAATTTGCATAAAAAAGAGAAAGTTCAAAATGGATTTGTGTCTCTCTTTCTCGAGCTAAGCTATGGCATGGCATGTCGTGTCAGGTCGGTAAGACCAAAGGCGAGCTGTGTACACTACCCACCCAGAGCCGGTAGGAGACAGCGGCGGCATCGGCCGCGACGTCGGCGTGGTTCTCGGCTTCGCCGCCGCCGCCGCAGCCGATGAGGAGCTCGGGCGGGACGCCGGCGAGGAAGGCCTCGGAGGTTAGGCGGATGGCGAGGGAGAGCTGGAGGTAGTAGCCCTCCCTGGCGCGGCGGACCCACGTCTCCCTCCCTCCTCCTCCGGCGGTCGCCGCCGTCAGGTTCGACGCCGATCCCGGCGCCGTGGCGGTGGACGCCGTCGTGGCGGTGGTGGCGGTGGCCGGGTCGGTGGAGATGCCGGTGAACCCGCTCCCGGCGCTCCACTCCGCGGACGCCGGCGCCGCCGCGGCGTCGCCCTGCAGCAGCGCGTAGTCGGCGAGCAGCGGCAGCCGCGTGTCGTCGACGGCGAGGAGGTGGTGGTGGAAGCCGGCCGGAGCAGCAGCCGGCGGCGGCGGCAGTGACGGCGCCGGGTTAAGCAGGCGTCGTCGGTGAGGCATGGCCGCCGGTGGAGCTAGCGCCGACGCATGGAGATCAAGCTCGCTCGCTAGCACCACCACCGCTCGTCGGAATTAGGGTTCGGAGAAGAGGAGGAGGAGGTGGTGATGCAAATGGAAATGGAGGAGGAGGCGGCCATGGCGATGAGAGGGAGAGAGATGAGATGAAGAGTGGTTTAATTCAACTTGCAGGGTGGCCCTTGGGGTGTACTCCTAGTTTATTTTAAATTATTTTTTGGTTGCTATCTCCAATTTTATTTGATCTTGTGCATGTCTTTGGTCATGGTTTACCCCCTGCATTTTTTATATTCTGGTGATTTTTATATTATTGTGTGTGTGTGTATGTCTGCATGGAACCATAGTACTATCGTTGTTGTTTTGTTTTTTTGTTGGGATTTTGTTGTTTATGCGTAGTGTAGATTAGACAGGATATGTGTTTGTGTTATGTTCTTGTGGAGATAGATGATGATGAGGCTGTGAGTGACCAAACAGGTCCAATGTTAAAGTTTGGAACATACATATGTGGTGAGCTGTTGATCATCTGTTAGGTGAAAGTATTTTTCATTTATCAAGGGGATATTTACTCATTTATTACATGTTATCTAAATAGTGATAAATAATTTAAGAAAATTGATAAGATAGATTAATATGAAATATATCACTCGACAAACATACAAGTTAAATTTTACTTCTATAGACTGTAAAAAAACAATAAATATAAATGCGAATGTATGTTAATTATTTTTAATTAATTAATTTCTTTTTAGTTTATAGAAGTCGAATTAATTATGTCTTACATATTTATGGAGTGATATATTTTATATTAGTCTATATTATTAATTATTTAATAACTATTTATTTAACATACTCCCACCGTCCCAAAATATAACAACTTCTAGCCTTTAGAATTTGTTCCAAAATATAACAATTTCTCTACCAACATTCTCTTCTCAACCAATCATAATCCTCCACCATTCTATTTTTCCACCTACCTTCACTTCTCCAATCACAACACTCCCTATTTAATTCTACCAACATTTTTAATAATTATGTCAACTCTAAAAATGCTTATATTCTAGAACAGATGGAGTATTGCCTATTCGAGAAAATCCAAATTAACTTCCTATACTATGCAATGCAAATATGCTATTTGTTTTTCGTGTACTTTATTTCCCTCCTCTTTCATCAGGAGAGCCGAGTTGAAAAGCTAGAAGAAATTAGCGGATCAGCCTTAGGGTCCCTTTGAATCGTAGGAATAAAAAAAACATAGGAATAGGAAAAACACAGGATTCTGACAGGAATACAATTGTGAAACAGAGGATTGCAAAACACAGGAAAAACATAGGAATGACCGTTTGATTGGATTACAGGAAAAACGCAAGAATCAGATGAGAGAGATAGACTCAAAGGAAATGTTCCAAGAGATTAGACCTCTCGCTAACTTTCCTCCAAAATGTGCATAGGATTACCTATTCCATAGGAATTTTAAAGGATTAGATATGATTCAATCCTTTTTTTCAAATGTCTTCATAGGATTTTTTTTCATAGGATTAAAATCCTTCAAAATTCCTATATTTTTCCTACCAATCAAATGGGCCCTTAACATGTATAGTATTTTTGTTTCTGCTTTTTTTTTTACCGAATTGACACGAAACACAATTGTATGGCCAGACATCGCAAAGGACGACGGGCCCCTGAGTCCGAATCGGCAACTCCACGAGGGCACGCGACCGAAAAAGGCCGGGCCGGCCTCCCACGCCACGCCACGCCACGCCACGCCACCCCGGCGCGCCGGAAAGCAGCGTGGCAAGGCGGCGCGTGTCGCGGAGAGGGGACACCCGTCGCCCGCGGACTCCCTCCCGCCGCGCGATGGGTTTCTCGTCCCGTGATTCGTCCACGGCCGGTGGTGGGTGCGGCGCTGGATATATATCGGAGCAGCGGATGGACTGCGGACGAGAAGGGAAAATACCAAATCGAGCTGATGCTACATCCACCGCAAACGGAAACCGAGGCCTCGGCTGGGTGGGCAGGTCGGCGACTGCTCGGTGTTGGACATTTTTTTTCTCGAGCTCTAATTCTAAAATTTAGTGTTAGGAGTAAAGTTGGGAAGAAGTATAAACCCAATTTCATCTCTTTAATTTATTAGAGTTTTATCTAGGGTCCTGTTTATTTTAGCTTAAAATTATTATAATCTAGATTATTAAATCAGATTACTCTAAGCTGGATTATAATAAGCTAACATAAAATAAGCTACGAGTTGTTTGTTTCTCTAGATTATTAGAGGCATCTAAGGGTAGTAGGTCTTTAGCCACTCAATAATCTGAAAAAAGCTCCTATAAAGAAGATTATTGGATTATAGTAATCTGGCTTATAGATTATAATAATCTAACGTAATAATCTACTTGTTTGTTTCGGCTTACTCCTAATAATTCAGATTATAATAATCCTAAGCTGAATCAAACAAGAACTCTCGCTCTCATTTTAGATGGAGCTAAAGTTGTTTGGCTGAGCTGAGCCAAACAGACTCTAATAAAATGGGATGACTCATTACCATAAAATTAATTAAGTATTAATTATTTTATTATTTAAAAAAATATAAATGTTTAAAGCAATATTTTATATATTTTTGTTAAAAATACACTATTAAGTAGTTTAAAAAGTGTGCACATGATGTGTTGAGTTGATAATTTCAACCGAAGAAGTCAGGGAGCACTCCCAGCTGTTTTGCATGTAAAATTTCCGATGAGTTCCCAACTTACACTCTCTTCTTTTATACCACACGTTTTCTAAAAATACTAAACGATTGCATTCGCTATAAATATTCTATCAATAACAAAGTTATTTTAAAACGTCGTATTAATTATTTTTAAAAAAATTTAAGCTATTAATTAACTAATCATACACTGATCCACCGTTCTGTTCTGTGTTCTTGGAGGGAAGAGTTCTGGACACTTGAGTTCGAACGCAAAGTCGACCGATCAGTCAATCAGGTTAATTACTTGGAATAATTCTCGTCTTAAAATATAAGGAATTTACAAATCACGTTTTCTAAACTACGTACTGGACTTAATATGAATTTAATAAACAATTAAAAACTTAACAAATATTTATAAGAGTTTTCTGAGGTTTAAATTAGACAGTGTAACTCACTGTCTACTGTTTCTAGGTCTTCCGGAAAAAAAAAATCTTTTCTTTGCATGTCGTAATAAAAGATTTTGGTGTTCCAAAAGAGGGCTTAAGGCTTATGATTCCAAAATGATATTGATCAAACGCTAGATTCAAGTACAGCCTTACTCTTCAAAGCTCTAAGTAAAATATGTTATCTTTGCCCTAACAGCTTCTGATTTAAGCAAAGCTAAACCACACTTTAGAGAATTTTATCATAACCAACTGACGCCGTACCATACTATCTTCCTTTCTTTAGGCATAAGCACGTCTAGCTTGTGACCAAGTACAGTAATTGTTAAGATCGCCACTGTGCAAATTAAAAGGCTAGCAAGTATAGTAATTAACCCAGGACCATCAGTTCTCACTAGATTTTGATGCATGTGCCTCGAGAAACGTGCCAGCTCTACTGTCGCTCAACGTGGAGGAATCCCTTTTTTTCCTCCGCTATTAAGGGCCCTTTGAATCACAGGATTGAAAAAACGTAGAAATAGAAAAAATGTAGGATTTTAATACGAGTGCAAGTGTAAAATAGAGGATTACAAAACTCAGGAAAAACACAGGAATGGCCGTTTGATTGGACCGCAGAAAAACACAGGAATTAGAGGAGAGATGAAAACTCATAGGAAAGTTTCCATGAATTTCCTCCAAAACTTGCATGTGTTTAGGCATTCCATAGGAATTTCATAGGATTTCATAGGATTCATTCCTTTGATTCAAAGGGTTATATAGGAAAAATTCCTATAGAAATGAAATCCTCTAAAATTCCTATAAATTTCCTTTGAATCAAAGGGGGCCTAAAACAGTTTTGCCAAAAGAAAAAAAATACCACCTGTCTAAATATAATATTTTTGAGTTATGTATTTGAATATGAACATGTCCATAAACATTGCTAAAAGTTATTACATTTTAAAACGGAGAGAGTAGTTGTTTTGTTTAATAATATGAAAAATGCATGCTCAGCTAGGAGAGGCTCGTGAGCCTTTTCTTTTTAGAAGAAGAAAGGGAAAACTCTTGTAAAGATGCTTAAATGGTTGTGTTTTGAACTTCAGATACCTTTTTGCAATAAAGGTTTTTTTCAGTTTCGGTTTTCCCGTGATAGTTTGATCCTGAATCTTTTTTTTTATTTTCTGTTATCTATTAAAGAGATGGAATTCACAGGGATGGTGTGTTCAGAAAATATGGCATTCATCAAGTGCTAATAAGCTAATAATTAATTTTATGGGGTCAAGAATGAGATTGTCACCTGGGACTTGCTTGAAAAGGACGTGCATATATAATTTCTGGAAGCAACAAACTTGCCATGACCTAAGTGATGTTAACAACCATTTTCTCAAAAAGAAATGGGCAATGATCTCACAGCCTATTTGTACATGATCTGATCACCAATCACAAGCCATCAAGGTTTGTTTCTGGTGACACCACAAAGCACGCATTAATTTTTAATACCATCACAGCGATAGCTGCCATTGGCCGCAATTATCCCCCTCCTAACTCCTGTAATTATTGTTAATGCTGCAGCTAATGGAGGCCATCAAGAATGGAACTTCAGACATGTGAAAGGTGGTTGGGGTTGGGGAGTGGACACAAAAATAGCAAGTCAAGAAAGGGAGTGTGTTTTACTTAAACCCTCGAGAGCACATGCATACCTCTATGTGTGTTGCATATGATTCGAATAGTTATGAAATTTGGAACGATTGAATAGATATTATATTACTGACCTCATTTTAACCTAAATGCTGAATGGAATGGAATATATGAACGCGCACGCTTCCTGAGCTCCTAAAAGTCGCTATTTTTGAAAAAAAAATCCTCATATAAATTTCTTAATTTTTTTTATGGCAGGTAAATTTCTGGCTTTGGGAGAAAGCCGAAAGAGAAACAAGACAGAGTCTTACACAAAAAGAGAGAGAAAAGGGAAATATTATTTCAAAATCCATTTTTGTACCCTAGAATCATTCATCTATTTGGTATTCCATTCCATTCAGCTCAAAAGAACACAATCACATCTATCTCATCAACAAATGAATGAAACTGTTTGACCACTTTCTTGAGAACATTTTAGCTTGGTGTTTTAGCATGATCAGTAGGTTATTACATAGGCAAGCATGCACGGTTTGCTTTGCTTGGAAGCCAGCAACCAGGATAGATGCTTGATGGGGTTCATCCTAGTTCTAGTTGGGAAGACAAGCAAAGGCTGCATATGGGGACTTCAAACTTTTCACTTTTGTTGTAAAATCATATCTCAGTAATCATTATATATAAAGATAAGATGTTTGTGTGTCGTGAGTAATGACCCATCATTTTGCAATGCTACAAGTTGCACTAAGTTTATGAGGATATATATCTCCTTTCTGTTTAGTATTCTGGTTTGATGACATATACACTTCTAACAAATTTTATGCTTGCTTCCAGGAGCTACCATCCGTGACCACGACTCCATGAGTTATATATCGAATTTTTCAAATTTTCTTTCAGGTGAACGGCAATGGACGTCTCTAGAAACATAAGTCAACTTTTAACTGATATAAATTCAATAGATTCCAGGGAATCTCCCCAAAAATGTGTGTATGAATTCTTGATATAATAAGGTCAGAGACATATGCTTTGTATCCTCCATTCAGCTAACTAATTATCCATAGGCTAGAGCAATTTTAATATTGGGAAGTGGCATCAAACTTCTTGTAAAGTTGGGAGCAACCATTTATTGATTGTTAATCCAACTAATACTGATTTGTAAAGTTTGGTTCACCCACTTTCTTGCTCAGTAGTACGGTATACAATTTTTAAAACATAATATTCCTGTGTTCTATTCTGCACCACCAAAAGCTCCTCTGGATTTGTTTTAAGAATTGTACTTGCCAATTTTTACTTCTACTCCTCCTGTTCGGATAGTAGCATCTAGGTCTTGATGAATTGCAGTTAACACAACACTCCTGACATGCCCTTCAAATAATAATAACAATATATAAGCTTTAGGCCATTTTTATTCAGATTATCTAAAACTAAAACCAAGTTGATTTGTTCGTACCCAGCTCATATTATTGGCTAGCCTGTCATAACTGACGTCAAGCAGCAACATCAGCTCCAGTTCAGAACTGAGGCAAATCAATTTACAAAGGTTTTGTTTGTCAAGCATTCATGTATTACCATCCATGCAAAAAGTACACTTAAAAACTAGCCTTAAACTTCACAACTGCATATTCGAGATTTCTTGGAGCTGACTATTCATAACTCCAGAAATCAATAGACTTGGATATGTAATTATATTGATAATAATTGAACAAATTATTTTATTTTATTTATTTTAGATAATATAATATTTTGAACTATTATAATTTAACTTCAATCCAACGTGGATCTGTGATCCTTAGATAGTTAGATTAGATATATCAAAATAGGGCCTTAATTCGGTCAAGGAGGACCCATTCTTCGAAGCCTCATCCTCCCATACTTCAGTTGAGTTGCCCCCATTTTCAACCTGCAATGGATGAAGTTTCAGATAGCAAAAGCACATCGAGCCGTGAGAATCTCGAAAGTTCAGAGACTTGTGCGAAGAAAACAGCTGCATGATCGTTCTACACCCGATGTCGGCCACGCTCCGTCAGCTGAGCTCCTTCTTGCTCGTCAGAAAAGAAGAACAAGATGGCAGCAGCGGGTAGGCCTGAATGTGTTTTTTTTTTACCTTTTTTTCTTTTCAGTGTGATGAGAAACAAAACCTGCTCTTCTCTTTGGTTTTGGTTTCCCAGTGTGAATTGGACCAAAGAATGTCATGCAGTGTAGTTGCAGAATTGTTGATCATGCCATGCTTCCCCCATGATGGCAACCTGCCTGTGGCACGCAACTCGCAACAATGGAGGGGTCCTTTTCAGTAGGCTCGCACAAACTAAACACATAAACTGGGATCCAGCTCTGCAAAAGGAAAGGCAGGATGAGAGCCTTCTCAATATGGCAACAGCCAACAAGGGCAGTCAGACAGAAGTAGGAACGGGAAAAAGGTTCCTTTTTCAGGGCATGTCTGGCCTTGCCAAAACTCATTCCTGATCGGTACACTCAAACTCATAATTCTCTTAATTTGTACATAAATCAAAACATTTCAGACATATAGAGGAGTGTAAGCGTGTTGAGAATCAAACACAGAACCACGGGGTTGGAAAACGATATCATTTCTACGGAAATGGTTCTAGGTTAGTTGGGAATTTTTCATATTTATTAATTTAGCTGTTTAGTTGTGACTTCAATATGACGCTGATAGAAATTAGAAAAAAAATCAAATTTTGTATGGCTAGAAACAAAAATGGTACCACTTTTTTTTTAAAAAAAACAATACTCAGCTGATCAGAATTTCCGCCATTGTTTTCATCCCTGCCACTATACTAGCTGGTGCATCTTGATGATGTGGTATTAGTTCTGAATATTTTGATGCACCCATGTTCACTTGTTCAGCTAGCACTTGATATGCAAAAGGCAAAATGAGTAATCTTTCCAATGATGCCATTTCATGCATGCAAGCCATGCAGGGCCCCAATCAGATCGTTTGCTTTTTTGCATCAGCTTTGGCTCTGAACAATCAACCTTACTATTCCTTCATGTGCAGAGGAGTTGTTTAGTAAGCTTGAACAGTTACTAAACAACAGGATCCGGTTTGCCCCTTCACTTTCTGCTCTAAACCGAAATGGTCTCACCAAAACCTTGTGCTCTTGGCGAATCACAAAAGGGAAGAGCAATTAGGTTAAGCAGCCCTATGCTATTAAAGAATTAGTCCTACTAATGAGCAAAGATTTGGAGAGATCTAGCAATATGTTATTGGTCTAATATGATCTATGCCTCTAGTCCACTTAGGCATTAGTGAGCTCAAACCTTGAGGCCCAAATATCTTAAGGAGGGATGGGGCCATTTGCAATCACTGAAATTGGATATTTGTCTCCAACCAGTGAGACATTGTGATGAGAGGATAAGTGCCTGATCAGAAATAAAACAATCAAGTTGTAAAGCATATGAGTACAATGATAATAATAACCATTCAGCTGCGTAGTGCTTTGTGCCTTTTTCTTCCCAGCACAAAACTGATCGTACTTATTGCAAATGCTGCATGATAATCATGTACAAAAATGGTGGTGTCCACTAGCACCTCTCCTCTCCTTTTATAGGTCATTCAAATGTCAACTGGAGAGGAATTTTAGCGACCCTTTCCACTAGTTCTTTTTTTCCTTTCTTGGCGACCCTTTCCAGTTTTAGGAGTGGTCAGCAGCAAACTGGCTGTGTAGATGAAGCTGATAAAATTCTCTTATTCCTCAGTTAACCTTTCACCTCATGATTGCAAGTCATTTCTACTAGTAATAATAATGTATTCATGCAGTCATGCTAGACATGGCCCAAGCAAATCGGGTTGGCCCATCCATCACTCCGTTGTCATGGCCCAAGCAGGTAACCGGTGAGCGGCCACCAGAATTTACCTTTTCATTTTGAAATTAAAAACCGCTCCTCACCGGTTTGCCAAAAAAAACTGACCGAAAACTAGTAAAAACCGACGAATTTCAGTCAACGCTGTGCAAAAACTAGTTAAAGCCAATCAGCTGCACCTGGCCTGAAACACCAGGTCAATTCTCACCAATTATAGCTTGGAATGGATGGGTCATATTTGAAAGGTTTCAAGCTATGTTTATATTTTTTGGATTTGAATCAATGACATTAGACACAAATATTGGGAACCATGAGATAAATAGACAGCAAATTTTTGCCACTCTTTGGGAAAAGGCTCACCGGCTATATTTCATTCACTCGAAAAAAAGAGAGAAACTGATACCACAGTTACAAAGCTCAACAGCATCGACAGATGAAACAAAACACCCGCATTGCATCATACACTTATTCAGGATTCTACAAGTAAAAGAACTACACATGTTTGGAGATCGTAAGGCTACAGAGTGCGAGGAAAGCTAACAAACGATTGGACGAACGAACGAAATCAAGCTGTTCAGAGATCGAGCCATTCCTTTGGGTTTATGCACGCGTCAAGAAGTTTCCGTTCTTCAGTTCCCTCTTCAGGTGTCTGCAAGTAAATGGCACATTAGGAAACCTGCCTGCCTGACTGACTCCCCGAGGATGAAAATGTGTCATGTAACATGATCTTTGCCGAGAATATATCATATTCAACAGTATATGCTCACTATTTGATATTAAATTTTGTATTGTTTTAAAGCTGAAAGCATGAAATACTTTGATGTTTATTGAATTGGCAAGGCAAAGGAGCATTTTAGCTTACATGATCATACTGCCATCGTGCAGTCAGTGGAAGAGAAACCAGAATACTCTCAATCCTCCCCCCAGTCTTGAGGCCAAATGTGGTACCGCGATCATATACCTTCACAAGAAGCAACACTGGAATCAGAAACAGATACTGCAGTGAGACTCTAGCTGTGTTCATCTAAGATCACTTACAAGGTTGAACTCCACATAGCGACCTCTCCTCAGTTGTTGCCATGCCTTGTGTTCCTCAGTAAATGGAGTGTCCTTCCGGCGTTCAATGATTGGTATGTATGCAGGAACAACAGAATCCGCACATTCTGTAGATAGACAAAACAATCTGTTTGTCAACATAGAGAACGAAAACTTAAACATTGGGTCCATTTTAACCAGTGTTCACTGGGTCATCCAACATCAATATAGTAGTGCCACTTGGGTTTGAAAAAAGGCTCAAACAATTAGATACTAAAAGAGGAAGAGCATGTATATATCCCTGCTATCTGAACTAATTCCTGAAACAAACTGACAGAAATCCCTGTCTTATGAAAGACCGGTTCCGGCACATCTCTACAAGCTAATTCATAAAATTAAGTTTGTGTGGTCATTCTAGTAAGGACTTTTACCTGTAGCAAAGTTGAGAAGCATTTCTTGATCATAGTCATTAAGATCATCAAAAAATATTCCACCAAGCCCCCGACGCTCATTACGGTGCTGCATTGAAGGACAAACCATGAATATTCAACACAGGGAACAAAATGTAGGGAAAAAATGGTTGCTTCATCCAAAGTTCCAATTATTCAAACAAGGTAACAACTGTCTTCAGAAATACTAATTTACAGTGAAAACCATGAAGGCACAAGATCAATGATAAATTATCAAAGAAAATGATGTAAAAAAATAGTAGAATTGAAGTGTCCAAATAAAGGCAGCATATGCAGAGATTAAAGAACCTTTCTTAATTGCTATAGCACGCAATAAGAAACTGAATGTACCTTAATATAGAAATAATCATCACACCATTTTTTGAATCTCGGGTAAAAACTTGGGTCAAACTTATCACACGCTTGTTTTTGAACCTGAAAAGGCATAAAAATTAAATGAGTTCCATGTATACGAAGTAGCAAATAACAGTGTTTTGGCTACGTGAGGGAAATAAAACTCTTGATCCTAGGAGTCTAGGACATATGGCTTTGAAATGTGCAGGAACTGTTACATACAGAATGGAAATGCTTCACATCCTCTTCAATGATATATGAAGGAGTCAAATCAGTACCACCTCCAAACCACCATTGCCTTGGTGCACCAGGAGCATCTGCAGTAGAGCATTATGAATTAATAATCTGCATGATGAGATTCGCAGTTCCTGATAATAAAGGTGGTTTAAATGGCCAACCAAATGTAAATTAATCGTAATATATAGGAGAATGTTAAGAGTTTTATATTTACTCATTACTGTAAATAGAATTGCTCTATGTCTCATACAGATATCCAGTTTTTTTTTCAAAAAAAAAATCTAGCTTCATTCACATGTATATCTAAACAAAAGATTTAAAGAGGATAGAACAGAGAACATATCAACTGCAGGCGGAAAAAGAAAGTAATCATAAAAATTGCTAAGATTGACCTACACTTGATGAAACTAAAATTATGCAGTGTATATTGTTCGCACAAATACCTTTCGGTGCATCTGTCTCAAAATAGCGGTAGTTAAAATGCAATGTTGGAGCAAATGGGTTCTTGGGGTGAAGAACCTGCAGATAAAAGGAATAATTCCATTACTGGAAAGGTATGATATGTTGAAACAAGAGTGAGTGTGTTTAATCGTGGAACAAAAATACAAAGTTTGGCTAAAGATCTAGCTCTTTATAACTCTACTGGTCCAATTAGTAGCACATAAACAGTAGCACAAGACAGTGGACCAGTCACCAGTGCTTGGGATACAAGAGACAGTAGGAAATATTGCACAGGCATGGCAAACATGGTCACCGCAGTTCTTCAAATGATGGCTGAAGCTGAAGCATCTAACAAAATGCAGCATGTTCCAAATTTCTTAAAAACATAATTTTCCGATATATGAGAATTCCTAGTCTCTTATGAGAATATACAGGAAGACGATAGAATATCGGGCTCATCTAAATTCATCATTCAAATGCTTAACTACATATCCAAATTCAAAGTTATGCATTTCAAGTTCTCACAATAAGATAGCAATGACATCACTACATTTCAAACAGAAAAGCAAACACTAATCTAGCAAACACTTCCTTCTCAACAACTGTTTGTTATTGTCAAACAGCACATGGAAGTTTAAAAATGGACATTGTGAACAGTAAACACCCACAATAGCCAAATCATTCACACAACTGCGATGTAAAGACTCCCAAATTTTACTGACCACCTAAACAGTTCACTTGCACTCGGAATCTCGGATGCCAACAAAGCTGAAGAATGGAATCGTAGTGTAGTGTACTACCCCTGATGCTAAGAAATCCAAATCTCTGACGGCAATGCAATGACTAGAACTGCAAAATCACCTAAAATTCTCACTCAAAATGAACCAGTAATTGTGCCTTACCGAGCTAATGCCAGCGGCAAAGAAGGGCACGGGCCCAGCCTTGGGGCCATCTGCCGCCGCGCCGTTCTTGCCGGCCTCCCCCTTGGCGGCGCGGTACGCGTCGGGGGGCATGACGCCGTACACGACGGAGACGTTGACCCCGGCCTTCTCGAACACGCGGCCGTCCTGGAGCACCCGGCTGATGCCCCCGCCGCCGCCGGGGCGCGACCACACGTCCTCCACGAACCGGGCGCCGCTCCCGTCGGCCTCCTCCAGCGCCGCGCACACCTCCCCCTGCACGCGGCGGATCATGGCCTCGAACCGCTCCCGCACCGACCCGGACCCCGCCCCGGACCCGTCCTCCCGCAGGAACGTCGGCGGCGGCTCGCTCTCGGGCGTCTCCTTCTCGATCGCCACCGACGCCCGCACCCGCATCCCCAGCGCGCCTCGGCGCTGGACGCGGCCGGACGGGAAGCTCACCCGCGCCGACCCGCCGCCGCCGCCGCCGACGCGGCTGGCGGCGGCGCCGGGGGCGAGGGCCAGGGCCTGGGACGGGGTGGTGAGGAGAGAGGGCGCCATGTCGTGTTCGGAGTTGGTGGCCGTGGCGTGGCGTGGCGGTTTATATAGGGGTGTTCGCTCGCGGTGGCGGGTGGTTGCCGCCGGTGGGCGGCGGCGGCGCGGGATGCGGCCCGCGGTTTTGAGGTGGGAGGAGTCAAAAGGCACGACGCGGGGTAGTGGGTGAGGTAGTGTGATGCTGCAGTTGGCTTCGAGGGGATAAGGAAATGGATCATGTTTTGGGAATTTGGATTTTTCAGAATTTTTTTTAAAAAAGGTTAATTTGCAGATGTTTAAGATTAATTTGTTGAAAGGATTGAATTTTATTACTATATGCTCACTCCGTCCTATAATATTGACATTTCATAATATAACGGATCTAAACATCATCCTGTACTATGTTGCTATATTATGGGACGGATAGAGTATTTAATTTGAATGTTCTGTTTAAGAAAAAAAAAAGTAAATAGCTATTCCCTCCATCCCAACATATAAGCATTTTTAGAATAATGTCAAGTCAAACTTTTTAAATTTTGACTATTAATAGCAAATATATATAAAAAAAATCAATCAATGTAAATTTGATGCTACTGGATTTATCATTAAATAAACTATCGTAATATACAACTTTTTTATTTAAAATATATTACTTTTATAAATATTATTGGTCAAAATAGCATATCGAAGACTATGTCGAAATTAAAAAATACTTATATTTTGAGACGAGGGGAGTAAGAAATTGTCGGACAGTCTCAAGTCTGAATTGGACAGTGTGAGGCTTTCTCGTTTGTTTGCATGTTCTTCCTTATCAGGAGTAATATGTTTTACCAGGCACATCCCTGTCATAATTCAATCCAAAATATATATACTAACCATTTGATGATGATTTCTAGTTTTCAGATATTTCCTTTGGAAGATATTTTCAGATTTCATGGTGACTAAATATTGAGTTTTGCTCTGGGCTTGTGCCAGCAGGAAGGTCTATCAGAAATCTCAGAACGAACTAGTCAACTCATTTTCTGCTAATCACCACCAGGTCATGGTTTTGGGCGATGGAATGAAACGGTGGTCGATGCCAAAGATGTGCTAAACACGTTGAGATGGCAAATTAATTACAAGGGCTTGCTCCACAGTCTACGCTGCAGTTGCATAAACTGCATCAAGCTTAGAGATGGCAATGGTACCCATAACCCGAGACCCGACGGGTTTTTACTCTATTAGAAGACAATCGTGTTCTAACTCTTATACCCATAGGTCTATTAACGGACGAAAACTCTTACCCATTGGGTACATGGGTATGGGTCTGTTCTTTACCCACCCGTACCCACCAACCCGTGGGTAGAAAAAACCCGTTGATTGAGTCTAAAACTATGAGCATTATAACTCTCAATGACTACTAAATCATAGCATAAAACATTTTTCACATCTTAAAGCATCGCTTAGTCTAGTTATATGAAATTATTATTTGATTTCTTGATTATGTAATGTGGTTGTATAATTTTTTTACTCGCCTTTGAACACTGATATTAATAGCATTGTTGCTAGAGAAAATATTGATGGTTTACAACTCTAATATAGCTAATTATAGTACAAAACTATAAATATTACAAGTCAATTATATGATTATGGGTACCCGTTGGATACCCGTTATCCGCATGGGTGTGGGTATGGGGACAATTTTGTACCCGCGACGGGTGTGGGTATTTAAGTGGGAGTATTTAGACATCGTGGGTGTGGGTATGGGGCAAGAGAACCCGATGGTATGCACCCGTTGCCATCTCTAATTCAAGCTGGAACTGGAATACTTTTTTAACTAGGATTTATAAAGATGGTCAATCTCCGTGTGCATGCAAGAATTACGGCACACAGTTTCAGAGTTTTCAGAGCTGCCACTTTCAGAAAAAGATTTTACACTTGCTGCTTTGCTGGTGCAGTAGTGTATTATCCAATAGGCAGAAGCAATCGTGCTATGGCATGTCAATGACCTGTTCAGTACCTTCAGTTGTTCATGCGAGGTCAAGATGATTTTTTTTTTCTGATACATAAACAAAAGGGGGGGACTACTGTGTCAATCATTCGGTTTCCTGAGAAGTTCAGAGAACTCAAAAGAAGCCTTTTTGAAAGTGAAAGGAGGGGATTTTCCTATCACTTTTATTAGCACTTTTGACCATGTTTTGCATTGCGTGTCCCTCTCAAGTATCAATTCCGGAATAGATGCGACCATGAAAAAATTCCAGAGATCTCTGAATTTCCACCCAGTGGGAGATGGCAGTGAACAGAACTTGCGCCGTAGTTCCAAAATATTTCTTCAAACTTCCAAATTTTCTATCACATCAAAACTTTCCTATACACATAAACTTCTAATTTTTCCATCATATCGTTTCAATTTCAACCAAACTTCCAATTTTGACGTAAACTAAACACAGCCTTAGCTAAACCCAAAATGCTACACTGTCTGAAATCAAACAGAAACAGAATTTATGTCCACACGAACTTGGATAACAATAGCCAATAGGCAATTTAACTTTAGATGCTAAGGGCGTTTACTCTTATACTCTTATTAGTTTAGACTTTTAAGTTAGTTTCTGGCTTATACGATTTACAAGCCCGTGGATTTAAAGTTCTAAATTTAAGAGTGGAGTCATACATCTACCTCACATCAGAAACAAAAAGAAAATCTTCAACCTAGTTTTTGGTTATGGCTTTAGAGCATGTTTGACGCAGCTCCAGCTCTAGCTCAATCTCTTTTGGAGCTAGAGCCCAGCCAAACAGTTTCAGCTCAACCTAAAATAAGAGCCTACTCCCTCCGTCCCGATATGTAGCAACCTAGGATGGGATTAGATCCATCCTGTCCAGATTTGTAGTCCTAGGATGGATCTAATCCCATCCTAGGTTGCTACATATCGGAACGGAGGGAGTAGTTGGGTAATGGGTGGAGCACTCTCACAGAATACATTAGAGAGGTGGATTTAGGTTTAGACTACTCCACAACTCTACTCCACACTCAACTCCTGGAGCTAAATTTAGGAGTTGGAGTTCTACCAAATAAGTAGGTCTTTAAAAACCCAAATGAAAAGGCTGCTTATTTATTTAGGCTTAGACTTTTTTATTTGTAAGCTAGATTATAATCCTAAGAGTAAATTTCATAATGGACCAGTTTTTATTACCTTTGTTACATGATGGACTAGGTGGTAGCACAACTTTTCACTTTGGGCTAGGTATTATTACCAAAAGTTCACTTAACACTAGTGGCCCACATGTCAGTCAGTGTCGGTATCTCTTATCTCTCTCGAACACTGGTGGCCAACAGTTAACAGATATCCACGAAGGAGCTCAGCCAACGCTTACTCAACCTAATCGTAGCTGCTTACCATCAACTTCTCCCCTGCAGCAGCAGCTTGTTGGATGGAGGTTTAGTTTGAGAGATTGCAGGGCCAGGAGGGTGAGCTTGATGCAGGGGCGGGTGCGGGCGAGATCGACCGAGTGGCCTGAGCTGACGAAGGTCGAGCTCAAACTTGAGCTCCAGTGCACAGGCAGGGATTGGAGGTGGTAAAGCTAGATTGGTGGCGTGATCTTGATGGTCTGCTCACCGCCGATGGTGAGCTCGAGCGCGGGGCAATGCTCAATGCAGATCCAGTGCAAGGTGGTGTCAGTGAAGGTCGAGCTCGGTGCAGCGTAGGGCGGTGCAGCGTAGGGCAGGGGCTTGATCACCGGCCGGCGGCAGCTCACTCAAGGTCTTGGTCTCCCGAAGCCTTGCTCATCTGTGGTAGCGAGCTTGAGCTAGATGGCAGGTGCAGAGACTTCTACAAATCGGGTACAATACAACTTAATGGAGAAGGGAGTTGGAGAAGAACACCGGTTCAATGTGCAACTATTGTAGAGTTAGCAGGCCCAATGTGAAAAAGATATATTTACCTTTAGTCCAATAAGCAACCAAGGCAAATATTAGCGGTCCAATATGCAATTCACTCTAATTCTAGATAAAAAGGGACTAAATTTTGAATCGTTTGAATAAATTTTACAAAAAAGCATCCACATTTCAACGAGGTTTTTTTTTTAAAAAAAAGAACCGCTAGCCCGCTCTCACGTGGTCAGCACGTGTGCCACCTCAGCATCGCCCCCCGCGAACGAAACCGCTCAGTTCAACCCACTCGCCTCTCTCTCTCCGGCTCGCGGTTTTGTCGCTCTCTCTCTCTCTCTCTCTCTCTCTCTCTCTCTCTCTCCTGATCTCTCCTCCTCCTCCTCCTCCATCCGCGCCTCCACATCTCCACACGCAACACACGGAGACGAATTTTTCTCCTGGTCCCTTCTCGCCTCGCCTCGCCTCGCCTCTCGATCCGATCGGGATACTATGGCCGCGTCGTCGTCGTCGTCGGCGTCGGCGTCGGCGATGGGCGGCGGGGGGATGCGGAAGGCGCCGTCGATGGAGTGGCGGTGGGTATCCACGGAGGAGGACGACGAGGGGGAGGAGGACGGGGACACGGTGGAGGCGGCGGCCGCGGCCGTCGGGGCCGTGGGCAGGGGCGGGAGCTTCGGGTCCGAGGAGGAGGAGGACGAGGAGGACGGCGGCGGCGGCGGCGAGGGGGAGGGGGAGGGCGAGGATGGGGAGAAGCAGAAGCTGATCCGCACCGTGCCGTCCGTCGACTGGTTCGACGTCGAGGGCTACGAGGTCTCCGTCGCGCAGCACATCGAGGACAGCGAGGTGAGGGGCCTCTGGCTTGCGGTTTGATTTACTTCGGTTTGCTTTTTTTTTCTTTTTCTTTTTCTTTCGTGCGTGTGCTTGTGCGTCATTTGGTGCGAGAGATTTGGAGAATGATATGGCTGTCACGGTATGATTAAAGTTGATTTGCCCATGCGATTAGAATCATGAGGAAAAATGGCAACGATTAGGCATGTGTACTAGTTACTTTTGGTTTAACCTTGTGTTGGACGACAATGAGAATGGTTTGCAATTGATCAGATGCCTAAGGGAGATGTGATGTTCATGATCTTGTGCGATCAACTACACCGATTGTCTGACAAATCACCTGCCTTTTCTTTTAAATAAAAAACTACACTAATTGTTTGAACATACTCATCTAGAAAAAAAAACATTTTGAAGATTCATCCAAGTAACTGCGATTTTTCAGGGAAGGGAACATTTTGAAGACTCATCAGCTGAATAATATTTGCAAACATCCTTTCAAAAAAAAAAATTGCAAACACCCGAACGATGGGATATTCTTATGGTACATCGAAATAATTGTACCTAGATCCTGAAATGTACACGCTACTTTGAAAAACCAGCTAGCATTATTGATGATGTTTCCTTAATTATCTTCCATATGGTTTATTTACATGTGCAGGAGTTTGATTTTGGCAGGACAATGTTTCTTGCCCTTCAGACTCTTGCTGTGGTGTTTGGAGATATTGGAATAAGTCCATTGTATACATTTGATGTCATGTTCAGCAAGTATCCCATTCTTGGAGAGGAGGATGTTCTTGGAGCACTGTCACTTGTCCTTTATACTCTAATTTCGATGCCACTAGTGAAGTATGTCTTAGTCGTCCTTTGGGCTAATGATGATGGTGAAGGTATATCTGAGGTTGTGAATTTAGTTTGTCATGTTCAGTCTTGTATAATGACTAAGTTAGAACATTAACATCTTTCAGTGATTCCATGACTCTACAGGTGGTATATTTGCGTTGTACTCTTTGATTTGCAGAAATGCAAAAGTGAGTCTCATTCCAAACCAAGTACACTCTGAGAAGAGGATGTCGAGTTTCCGACTCAAGCTTCCAACGCCAGAGCTTGAGAGATCCATAAAAGTAAAGGAGAAGCTTGAATCTTCATTGCTATTGAAGAAGTTGCTTCTAGGTCTAGTGCTATTTGGGACTGCAATGTTCATATCAAATGGAGTTATCACACCAGCTATGTCAGGTTATTTCCTTTCTCCTTTTCCTTTTTATGTTCTTCATGTTCAAGTATTTGTTACTGGGTAGATCATAAAGAATACACAAGACATCAAATGGATACTTTACACTTGTGTTTATATTAAAATCTCCTCTCCTAGGAGTGCTATTAGTTAATATTTAACTCTTTATTCTTGAATGCAGTGCTGTCTGCTGTCAGTGGCTTGAAAGTTGGGATACCAAATGCCTCACAAGGTGATCCTTTAGATCCCTGTATCTGATAGCACCTAAGCAAACTATTTATTTAACTCCACTAAATGTTATTTGCAGGCCTTGTGGTGATGATTTCAGTTGTACTTCTTGTAATCTTGTATAGTGTACAGAGGTATGCCACTAGCAAAATGGGGTTTGCACTTGGCCCTTCTTTACTTATATGGTTTTGCTGTCTCGGAGGAATTGGTATATACAATCTCAGTACATATGGCCCAGCAGCTTTTAAAGCATTTAATCCTCTCTACATTATTTATTATTTTGGGAGGAATCCCTTTCAGGCTTGGCTGTCCCTTGCTGGCTGTCTTTTATGTGCAACAGGTAAAGATCATAACTAGTCGGCCCATCATCAGTTACAATTGATTTCCATCAGCAGTATGCTATTTTAAGAAGGAATATTCAACTCTTTCTTTTGCTAAAAGAAACTTGATACACTTATCCAAAACATATTGCAGGGTCCGAGGCAATCTTTGCAAATCTTTCCTACTTTCCTGTAAGATATGTTCAGGTATCGTCTTGCTAATATTTCTTTTCTTGTCACCTAGATATACTCAATGTAACCACTCTCTGTGATTATATTTAAATCCATCTTATTCCTCCTTTGCAGTCAATGTTTGCGCTTCTTGTTCTTCCTTGCCTTGTCTTGGCCTATTTAGGACAAGGCGCTTTTCTTATTGCAAACCAAAATTCATCTGAGCAGATCTTCTTCTCATCCATCCCAAGTAAGGCAGATATTGCTGAACATTTACCCATTCTTTTTTAATTGAATAATCTCAATCGACGTATAATCCTTATATTTTGAAAAAAAATATATATTAGTGATTACATTGACTGTTTTTTCTTCAATAATTTTAGCCGATACCAAGTATTCCATAGCACTTAGATACTTTGGCTTACTACGCGTTGTTTTCGTTGCAGGTGGAGTTTTCTGGCCTGTTTTCTTAATAGCCAATTTAGCCGCATTGATTGCTAGTAGAACAATGACGACAGCTATATTCCAATGCCTAAAGCAGTCAATAGCTCTTGGTTGCTTTCCTCGACTCAAGATCATTCATACGTCTCGGAAATTTATGGCTAAGATATACATTCCTGTCGTGAACTGGTTTTTATTGTTTTCCTGCTTGGGCTTTATTCTGCTGTTCAGAAGCATATATGATGTTGGCAATGCATATGGTAATCCTATATACTTGTATAGTTCATCCCCACTAAGTGTAGTTAATGTTATCTCTCTTCTATCATTAAGCCACATCACCTTAATTATTTCTAGCCATTGGATGATAGATCTATGGTTCAAATTGTCTCTTCTTTCTTCTCTCATAACACCAAGTAATCTCAATTTTTTAGGCCTCAAAATTCATAAGTATCAATTTGTTTTAGTTTTAATATTCGTATTTAATCTTATTTGTGCATATTATGCAACTTAATTTCCCTCAGCAATGTGGCAGGGTATTCATCTAGTAATAACTTAATTATATGGTTATACTTTTTAGTGCAAATCTGTCTATTTATCTGCTTTTTAATAAGTTGTAATGCTCAGTGTTCTACATGCGCTTACCCTGTTCCATATTGAACAGCCATAGCTGAGCTTGGGGTGATGATAATGGCCACAGTCTATGTTACAATCATAATGCTTCTAATTTGGGAAACCAGTATTGTGAAAGTGTTGTCATTTGTCATCACATTCCTCTCCTTAGAGTTGGTTTTCTTCTCATCGTCTCTAAGTAGTGTTGGAGATGGAGGTTGGGCTCTGATAATTTTTGCATCTGGTATTCTAATGGTTATGTTCATCTGGAATTATGGAAGCAAACTGAAGTATGACAGTGAAGTTAAAAAGAAGCTTTCAAAGGATTTGATGAGAAAATTGGGGCCCAACCTTGGTACTATTAGAGCTCCTGGATTAGGCTTGGTCTACAGTGAGATAGTGAAAGGAGTTCCGGCAATTTTTGGTCATTTTCTGATTGCCCTTCCTGCAATCCACTCGATAATCGTTTTTGTATGCATCAGGAATGTACCAGTGCCCGTGGTTCCCCAGACTGAAAGGTTTCTTTTCCAACGTGTTTGTACAAGGGGTTATCACATGTTCCGCTGTATTGCAAGGTATGCTATATCTTACTTGAAGTTTAGCTCCGTCCTTATAAGCATTTTGCAGTTTTGTCATGCGAAATAGTTACTGATGTAGTTTCTCCTGGAGTTAATTTGTCTCCAAGTATGTGTAGTCGTCACAAAAAGCTTATGATGGTGTTAACTTGGATGAGTGTAGGTACGGCTACAAAGATAAGAACCAGGAGAGCCAAAGCACATTTGAGCGCCTTCTGATTGAAGGCCTCGAGAAGTTCATACAGCGGGAGGCAGTAGAGCTATCCCTACAAAGTGGAGACGACATCGACTCTGACGAGGAGCCTCCAACCCCATCTAGGACAATCGTAGCGCCAAATGGTAGCCTCTACTCGCTTGACGTCCCTCTCCTGGCAGACTTTGTGCCTTCGGCAGAAGTTATTCCTGAGGCCAGTTGCTCAACGCCTCAGCACGATCCTGTGGTGGATTACACACAGAACCTTGAGCTGGAGCTCGCATTCATCAGGCAGGCCAAGCAATCTGGAGCCGTCTATCTCATTGACAACCCCATCGTCAAAGCCAGGAAGAATTCCTGGTTCTTCAAGAAGCTGATCATAAACTACTTCTTCGCATTCTTGAGGAACAACTGCCGCAGGGCGATGATGTCGATGAGCATTCCACACACAAATGTGATGCAGGTGCGCTTGACCTCTTATGTTTGATTGCCGAATGGTACCCTTTCCGACACCCTTTTGTTTTGTTCGTTGCTATCAAGTAGAGATAACACTAACTAGAGAAGAATGGCATTGCAAAGAGAAGAAGAGTATAGTTGCACCTCTAGCATTATTCAGGAAGGGATAACATCTGTTTTAGGAATCCACGTCTCCTGTAATTTTTGTACAATTGCGAAATGTATCTGCAAGCAAATGTTGTGTAGCAAACACATCAGAGTGTGGTGAGCTAACATGTGTATTCCTGTGTGAGGAAGAGATTCTTTTGCCATGTACTAGACAAGGTACTCGTTTTGAGTTTTTGAGTAAAAATTTTGATATCTACAAGTGTTAACAACAACAAAAAAAAGATGATCATTTCGTTCTGTGTAAATATTTTTAGCTCTGGTCTGACTCGAGCAGTCCAGTGTTGTCAGGGCTTCAGTTCATTTCTTTCTCAACTGGAATTGTCTCTCTTCCAGTACCTTATATGTCGTTAAGGTTCCAGAAAGTTATCAATTAGATTGATTCAGGTCAGAAAAATTGTCTTCACAGCTCAGCTCACTGTTTTTCCACTGATTTTATCCGCTTCATGTGTTTACTGCTTTTCAGTTTAGAGTCACCTTAAACTGTTAAATATGTGGCGTATTAAAGGCGCATTATAATTACTAGTCTACAAGTAAATATGTGGTGTATGAAAGGCGTATTAGAACTCCTACAGTCTACTAGTGTACATTGGTACATTGCATGGCTAATAACTTCAATAAGTTCCTTTCCATTACAGTTACAGTCTTACAGACATTAGGAGGCTCAAGTTTGCCAACATTATTCAACCAAAAGAACTGAACCGACTAAAATTCAGCTAAAAAAAAAAGCTTTTAGTACAAATAAGCATGCAACAAGTATGCAGTTTTAGCCTAAGGCAAGCCAGCGCCCTTCTCCCTGGCCTGCCTCTTCTTCTCCTCCTGCGCGATCCTGTCCTGCTCCTTCATCGCGGCGTCGGCGTCGACGTCGCCGCCGGCGACCGTGTCCTTGACGCCCTGCGCCGCCTCCTTGGTGGCGCCCCACGCGCCCTGCGCCGCCTGCTTCGCCTTCTCGCCGATGGCCTGCGCCGTCTCCACCACCTTGCTCGCCCCTTCCTTGGTCATCTCCGCCACCTTCTCGCCGGCGTGCTTCGTCCCTTCCACTGTCCTGTCCTTGGCCTCGCCGGCCCTGTCCATGGCGCCCTCCGCCGTCTCCGCCGTCTTGTCCCTCACCGCCCTCGCCGTGCCCTGCGCCATGTCCGCCGCGTCCTTGGCGCGGTCCTTCACGTCCGCCGCCTTGTCGGCGGCCTCGTGCTTCGCCCGGTCCGTCGCCCGCGACGCCGCGTCGGCCGCGCGCGACGCCGTGTCCTTGGTCTCGTCCTTGGCCCTGCCGGCAATGTCCGCCGCCCTGCCCTTGGCCTCCCCGGCCATCCCTTTCACCCGCTCCTTGGCGTCGCCGGTGGCCTCCTTCGCCTCCTCCGCGGCGTCCCTGTACCTGTCCCCGACGTCCCTTCGGTCGTCCGCCGGCGAGTTGTCGTACGCCTACCCCGAACAAAAACGACGGCCATTGATGTCAGCCAGCCAACCCAACAACACCCATCACTCACCGGCGACGGCGATCGACGACGGACGAACGGTACGCACCTGGGATGATCTCGGCGCGGTCTGCAGGCGGAGGCGGCTCCAGCTCGCCGCCGCCAGCCGCGGCCGGGGAGGGAGGAAGTACGACGGCCTCGGATGATGAAGCGCCATCACGGCGGTGGTGGTGTTACCGGCGACGCGGGCGCCACCGAGCAGCATGGCGGCCATCAACCTGGACATGGATGGGATCGAAGGAAGCAGAGAAAAGCTAAGCAAAACTGGGCAAAGCTAGCTGCAGCTGTAAGTGCAAGCGTCGTGTCGTGCGTGTGGGAGGCGGGGGTTTTTGTAAAGGAGGAGGCGGGCGGTGGGCGAGGAAGGCGAGCGGGGCGACACGTCCGAAGACACGTCGCGGCGGGAGGTGGAAGGAGGTGACGCGTGGAGCGATGGTGTGTGCGCTGCCTTGCTGTCGAGACAGAGGCCGTTGGATCGAGCTCGCGCTGTGATCGGTGTGATCGGCTTGAACGTTCTGGACGAACTCAACTCATCCTGCTGACGTGCCTGTTATTTTTTTTTCCTCCAGGAGTATAGATGGTTATATGGGCCGAGGCCCGAGACCCGAGGCCCGCGGCCCGATCCAAGGTACGCTATTTTGACCTGGACGAAGCACGTGGGCTGACACAGCACGGCCTTGCGTGTCGGTCGGGCTGTGCCAGCCCGACTAACCATGGCCCAGGCACGACCAGTGCCATGCTGGGCAGCCTATTTGGCCAACTATATCCAAGAGATATAATAAGATAGGAGTAGGAAGTTATAGGGACTAGGGAATGAATTTTATAGGCCTAATTTGGTCTAATCCTATTTTGCGCTATCAACTTCGTCTTAAAATTTGTGAAGTGATATCTCATACATTATTTTGTCTTGTTAAATATTTTTTATATTTTTTAAAAAAAGATTCGTGATTATTTGAATAACATGTAATACATGACAGGATATCCCATCGAGGGATCATAATAGTTTTTTTTCTTATATCTATACTATATTTTATAAAATTCAAGAAATATAATTAACAAGCGCTTAATTCCATAAAATGCCATTGATAAGTGCAACTTTTATGAAATATCATCGTACAAGTGGCCCTGACTAAGGCCCTCTTTGTTTAGGCTTATAAGCTAACTTATAAGTCGAAAAGTCTAAGCCTAAACAAATAAGTAGCTTTTCCGTTTGGCTTTTTTAAAGCCATAAGTCACTCTAACACTATTAAGCCAAAAGCTAGGTTGGAGAAGCTTTTTTGGCTTATGTGAGGTAGATGTATGACTCAACCACTAAACTTAGGACATTAAATCCACCGGCTTATAAATCATATAAGTCAATAAGCTAACTTAAAAGTCTAGTCCAATAAGCCTAAGCCTAAACAAAGAGGGCCTAAGAAATGTCATTGCTTAGGGTTCCTTTAACAGCCCCCTATTAGTGCTACGGGATGAACAACACATTTTAATGTATTTATAGGACAAAGTCACTTGTACGATGGTATTCTATTTAACCCGTTGAATGCTTGGTCTTTAAATTATACATGGTAAAATCTTAAAGCACACTTATTTATACTAACAGCATATACACTATCCCCTTAAAGACATGATCCAGTACAAAATGAAACTATGATAGCATGTCAAGGTTAAGTAGCCACCGGAAGTTCTCTCGCTGGGAGAACAAACAAATCAAAATACATAATCAGGGTACGACAGCAATAGCTATCTTTAGCCACAGTTCATTTCCCCACTTTTTATAGGAACATCGTTAGCAACAGTTCGTTAATCAACTACCAAACTGTCACAACATGACGCAGCAACCAAACCAATTCGCATCCCCACGCCTCGTATAAAATCCCTCCCGCCCCGCGCCTCACACTACGCACCCAACTCAACGCAAGCAAACCGAAGCTACCAACAGAAAGCGCGGGAAATTTAAAAGGAGAGCTAAGAGACGTTCCGGCGAAGCTAACAATGCCGCCGCCGGCCGCCGCCGACCTGAGAACGACGGAGGAGGAGAACGAGCTAGGAGGCGTGCCAGACGATGGAACGCATGTTCGAGGGCGACCGCCTGCAATCGTTGTCGGAGACGATCACGGATATAGAAAGGAATAGGTGTCTGAGCAAATTATATAGAGTTACAGTCCCCCTCTCATCTATATAAGGTAAAAAATTCAGTGCAATTTTCGTGGGGCTCTCATAGTTTTCACGTTCATGTTAGTAGTAGAGGCTTGAGATCCCGCCAGCCTATGCTGGATCCGCCCCTGGGCGCCACGCTCAGCGTCGTGGCCGTGAAGCTGGCCGTGGCCGGCCTCACGTCGGCGACGGCGACCCTGACCACTGACCAGCGCGGTAGATTCTGGGGCAAACTCCATGGAAACTATATAGTGGGCCAACCTATATGGGCTGCAGCCCATGTACAATGGGCCACCCGTACGTCGCAAGCCCGTTCCATCTCGCACACTATGGGCCTCACGTGCGTGGGAAACATGATACGGCCCAAATGATTAAAGTTCTCCGAAACGAGAAGGCGAAAAGGGAAGGGGGAAAAAAATCTGCAGCCTTCCCGTGTTATCCTCTTCAACCTCTGGCCCTCTCACTCCTCGCGCCGCGCGGCTGCTCCGGCCACCAAAGTGGCGCTCCGATGGCGGTGAGAGTCCCTTCCATGGAGCTGCACCGCCCCCCGCCGTCCGTATCCGGTGTCCGAGGTATCTATTCATGATTCATCACTCCCAATATGATGGCGATATCGTCGGATTTTGGCATCGCCGAAGGTTGGCTGGATGGGTGGGGGGTTCATGAAACTTCTATAAACTTTATCTCGCTCAGCCGCGTGTGATTTTAGGCTGCTGTTGTTGCGGCGAGCGTCTCGCTGTGCGAGGTGACAAACTGACAACTTTGGGTTTAATATCAGGATATTCTAAGTGCTAGATTTTGGTTTAGTCAGGGGCTTTAATCAGTCACTAGTGTTGCTGGAACAATGCTGTGAAGGATGGAGAAGGTTTTTTTTTCTCTCTCTCTCTCTTACTGCTGAAAGGCAGAAACGATGCTACGAATCAGGAATAATCCGAGGAGTAGATAAAGAAAGTTATGTTTTCCGTTACTAGAGTCTGAACTCTGAACAATGCTATGAGCAATTGGTAGTGCTAATGGAATGGGTATAGGAGACTGAGTGGTTCAGTGTGCATAATCAATAATATGATCAAACTAATAATGCAGTTAAGTGACAGAAAGAACATCTCGTAACTCAAAATCAATGATTCTTCTTATAGGTAGCATTTGCATATCTGCATCTGCAACGATATTATGGAAGTATGTTCAGTAATACATTATTTCTTTCTATTACTCAAACAAAGTTTGTTTTTTGGGAAACGACAAACAAAGTTATGTTTGATGTCTTCTAATTTTTAAGGAAAAAGCTGCCTTCAAAAGCCTTTCCTTGTCCAAGCAAAGAGATTAGAGGGATTGGAGAAGGCAAACCCAAGGTATAAAATCCACCTATATAAGTCGAGTCTTTACCTTCTATAAGAAATGTGGTTCAGTGGCTGATAACCTAGAACATATTAGTGCCACTGCACCTTCATGATCTTCTTCATACAGTTCTAACACTTGCAAAAACTCAAAGGTCACGAGGAAAGCAAAGTTTGGAACAAGTGAAGAAAAGAGCACCACTGATCCGTGGGACAGTGAGTCCACCTCTACCAGTACCAGGTCACATAACTCAACCTCCTTACGTTGGTAAAAAGGATGCTTCAGAGATAGCAAGTGAGATACAAATGCATGACAAAGTGAGCATTATTCACATGAAAGCTGCATGTGAGCTTGCTGCTCGTGTTCTTGAATACGCTGGAACTTTAGTGAAAGTAAGCTTGCATTTCAGCATTTCGACAATTTATGTTTCTCTTGAAGCTAATTATTCCATGATAAATTATAGCTTCAGTAAGAAATTTATTGCATCCTTTTATCAGCCCTCTGTAACAACAGACGAAATTGATAAAGCAGTGCACAAGATGATCATTGATGCTGGAGCCTATCCATCCCCTCTCGGATACGGAGGGTTTCCAAAAAGCGTGTGCACATCTGTGAATGAATGCATCTGCCATGGAATTCCTGATTCTCGTGAACTTCAGGTTCTGGGAGAAGCCTACATAGTCATTTTTTTCCCTCATGTTCAGGCTTATCACCCCCCTTGCTCCACTGACGATGTCATTATCATTTCTTTTTTTCTGTTTTGCAGGATGGAGACATAATTAATATCGACGTCACTGTCTACCTGAATGTATGTCTACTCTCTTTTTTATTAGTTGTTACTTCATACCATTGATGTGTTTTCACGCCTTCATTCGTATCATCATCTGAAGTAATATATCTTTCCATTTCAGGGCTATCATGGGGACACCTCAAAGACTTTCCTATGTGGAGAAGTGGATGAAGCCAGTAAACGACTTGTGAAGGTATATATCTTTGTCTTTGCAAACATGTAGTTCATGTTATTAGAAGTCATGATTATAGTAGGCCTCACCAAAGTGAGAAGTCATTTGTGTTCATTTTTCCTTACCTTGTGAGATTTTGCTTACGTCTCAGTTTGCATTTGATCATATAACCAGAGCTAATATCTACTTTTGATGGCAACTTTTCCTTCAAAACCATCTGTCTACTAATTTGAATCGGGGACCCTAATGACGGTAATGTCAGGTTACTGAAGAGTGCATGCTCAGGGCTATATCAGCTTGCAAACATGGTACCAGCTTGAAGAAAATTGGCAGAAGAATAAGGTATAAAAATCTCATACCATATTTGTGTCATGGCCAGCAGGGCAAGGATAGTTGCATCCATAATCCAATGGAGAATGGACTTTTACCATATGTGCTATTCTAGACTTCTGTTTTTCTTTGCAGAACTTTTCAACCTTATACTGTATTTACTAGTTAAGTTGCACCAAATGGTATCTCTCTCAGGTATTTGAACCCAAAAATTGAAGAAGTGTTTTTGTCAAGTACAAACAGAATCATCATTGCCTCTATCTTCAGAATCCATAGGTTATTATGTCTTCGTAAGAACTTGTATTATAATGCATTCAACTACCAAACATTCTCAGCCTGTTATTGGTTACCCATCGGTTGTGTTTTAGTTAATGAATAAATATGCAATTGACTAAGTCAACTGTAACGGTATATAACCAGGAACTCTTACTGCAACTTTGTCAAACTTTGATTGATTTCAAATACATCTCAAATGGTTCTTGCTCATTAGTTTGCTTTTAACATGTCAGCGAGCATGCTGAGAGGCACGGATTTGGTGTTGTGGATCGTTTTGTTGGGCATGGAGTTGGGAGAATATTTCATTCAGAACCAATGATATATCACCAGCGTAAGTGATTGTTACCAATCAAGAGCTAGTGCATTTCTGCATGCCAATGTTACCAATGCATCTTCTCTTCTCATTGCATACAAATAACTCCAAGAATTGTTAGATCTGACGGCTTTTTTTCTCTGAGACAGGTAATAATATGCCAGGTCAAATGGTTGAAGGCCAGACATTCACAATAGGTACGCAACACCCTGATGGTTCTTCTAATCTGACACAACCGGGTTCGGTTTTACTCCCAAAACAATGCCTCTGATCCTGACTGCCAGTGGCTCTTACTCTTTTCGTCCAGAACCGGCCCTATCCATGGGAAGCATTGATTGCGACATGTGGGACGACGGCTGGACGGCCGTCACGACGGACGGCAGCCTAGCCGCGCAGTTCGAGCACACGATACTGATTACCAAGACAGGAGCAGAAATCCTCACGAAATGCTAGTAAGATCGGTGCCCAGCATTAGCCACTGGAGTAGCAGTGATCTCTGTGTTTGTAGGACGAGTATGGTGGAAAGGATGGTCGATTGTTTTGCTGTATAAAGTACTCCCTCTGTATTTTAATTTTGATTTTAATGTATTATGCCGTTGACTTTTTAACCAACGTTTGACCACTTGTCTTATTCAAAATTTGTATGCAAATATAAAAATACTTATGTCATGCTTAAAGAACATTTGATGATAAATAAAGTCACAATAAAATAAATTATAATTACATAAATTTTTTTGAATAAGACGAAATGTCAACCGTTTGTTAAAAAGTTAACGTCATCATACATTAAAATACGGAGGGAGTAGTAGGAGTACATGAAACTGCAAGGATAATTGTCGGCAGGGAAAGAAAATAGAGCTGCTGGGCGTCTTCAGATAGGGGGAAAAAAGATCAGTGCGTTTATGCAAATATCGGTTTACTCGTAATACCTTTCGATCCGATTCATTCCAGTTAATCTGACGGTTGTTGGTGTCACAATTTGGGTTAAGAGTATTCACATGTTCTATAGTAAGTGCACGACATCCTGATGTTTCTTCTGATCTGACACAGCTGGGTTTGGTTTCTGTCGATTAATTGACACAATACTACCCCTGATCCTGACTGCCGCCGGCGCCTAACCATTCACGTTCAGACTTCAGAACCGTTCCTATCGGTGGGGAGCAGGAAGTGATCGAATGCGACATGTGGGAATTGGGGTGATGGACGGGGGCAGCTTGGCCGCTCAGCTCGAGCATATACGACACCGATTACCGAGCGAGACTGGATTAGCGATGCTGACGAAATGCTTACCAAGGTAGGAGCCTCGTCATTAGCTGTACTCATATTGTTCTTGAAACTGCATCACTGCATGTCTGCAACGGTAATTCTCGATAGCGAAAGAAAATACTCTACCATAGTAATCCCCCATCCCAAAATATACTATCCTACTACTGTAAATATAGGCGGGATATATCCACTATTCACCATATTCATACTAAGGCTGCGTTCGTTTCTCCAACAAGAGTTGGATGAAATTTTGTATACTTGTGACACGTTTTTCAAACTGCTAAACGGTATGTTACAAAAAAAAATTGAGATAATCCCTTATGTGCCACTGAAAATTCGTCGGATCCCTTATATGCCACTAAAAATTGGTTTTTCCCTTATATGCCATTGGTCCAAATTTGCGTACCTTCTCATGCCACTACCGTCAGTTAACCGTGTGTTGACCGTTAACTCTCAAGTAAAAAAGACATATTTGCATGTCTGAGTTGTTAGGCATGCCCTATACTCAGAAGGGTAAATATGTCTTTTTTCCTTTAAAATTAACGGTCAACATACGGTCAACTGATGGGAGTGGCATGAGAGGGTGCGCAAATTTGGATCAATGGCATATAAGGAAAGAGCCAATTTTCAGTGGTATATAAGGGATCAAACCAATTTTCAGTGGCATATAAGGGATTCTCTCAAAAAGATTCTATATGAAAGTTGCTCTAAAATATCAGATTAATCTATTTTCCAAGTTTGTAATAATTAAAACTCAATTAATCACACGTTATTACCATCTCGTTTTGCGTGAAACACTTAATCTTTATCTTCATCTTTAGGAGATCCAAACACCACCTAATATGTTCAATCAGATCCTAGATTGTTATATTTTGGTACGAAGAAGTACTTGTTATGTGACCGATTGAGCTACAACCAATAAATTGTTATAAAAAAATATAAACGAAAGAACCTAATATAATTTTATGGATAAAATTTTGCAATTGCACCTTTGATTTAAAATCTAATTCTTAAAAATAAAATACCATGAAAAACCTTAACAATAAATTAAAATTAAGTTCAAATTTTAAAATTTGGCCGCTGGCAAGGGTACTAGCTGTTTGGGCTGTGTGTGCTGTTGATTCGCACCAATGGGCCGTACCGATCGACCGTCTCCTTGCTCCGCGCTGTTCGGCACGCCCTCCTCGTTCCGTCCAGCTCGCTAGCTCCACGCCTCCACCACCACCAGTGCGTGCCAACACGTCGGCACGTCGTGCCTCGTGCGGGTGGTTCGTGGGTGAGGGGCGACGCGTGGAGGCCTGCGCGCGTTTTCCGCACGCACTCGCGTGATCGAGAGTGGGTGGGACGGCGCGAACAACGGCCACCCGCGGCGCGCGGTACGGTGTTTAACCCGGTGGGTGGGAGGATTCGTGGGGTCGTAGACCGCGCGGAGCGGTTCATCATGGCTAGTTCCGCCGCGCGCGTGCGCCGCAACGTGCCGCGGGAGGCGGGAGCTCGATCGATCGGCGCGGCAGTTCGTGCACCTCCACGGCTCAAAGCACCGGACGAGCCGCATGCAGCAGCAGCAGCAGCAGCAGCGACGCGGACGAGGAAATAATCTCCACGGACGCGGCGCCGTGACAGGTTTCGCGTGGGTTCGCTGGGGCCACGACGACGATCGATCGATCGAGCACAGCTAGTCCGGACGCACGCACGTGTCGTTCCGGCGCACGAAAGAGATCGTTCGGTGATTCTGTTAGTTACTCCTCGAGCACGGTAGCTGCACTACTAGTACTACCGGTGGACACACGCATACCTGGCGATGCGTACAATGTTGACCTGCCGCCCGCTAGCTGCGCATTGCGGTGTGGACGTGTGGTGTGGTGGGTTGCGTGCATCGTTTCGTAGGCGGCGGCGCGCGCGGGGGAGTGGTGGAGTACGTACGTACGCTGGTGGCTGGCCGAGGGGACACGACCACACGGGATTCCTCTTTTTTTTTTCCCGGTGGAAAGCGTGGGGGCTGGGCTAGCCAATGCCTCGCTAGTTAGGCGCCGTGACGCCGTCTGAAGCTGGAGCACGGCGCGCGGCGAGCAGGTCCACCGGTTTCGGTGGCTTTTGGGTCGTGATCCGGTGCGCGCGCGGCTACTTTTATTCTGATCTGCCGGCCGCCGCCTGAGATTCGAAGCCGCCGACGCTGCCTCCCTCTCGGATGTGGTGGAGTACAGGTGCATACACGTGACGCGTCCTGTGTGGCTGGCCGGCTCGAGGTCGGAACAGAAAGGCAGGTTCTGATCTGTCATCTTCGTCTTAATTTATTACTCTTAGAGCCAGTTTAACGGTATAGCGCACTACTATTTCGAAATCATCTATAGTCAATTCATATAATATTTGCTTACTATACTATTGATACTTGGTCCTATCTGTCATACACACATTACATATTAGAGTTCGTGCTATAGATTTATAACCGTTATAACCGTTGCTCTTCTTTTTTTTTATTTATCTCTTTAAAATATGTTTATGAATGCTACTGTACCTGCTCTTACTACGGGATATACCAGTGGAGTTGATGAGTTGATGCCTTGATGGTGGAGCGTGGAGACTCGAGACTTTGCTCTTGTTTTCCTCTTTTTCCTCCCTTCTACGGTTACTGTTCTTTTTCTGGGTTAGAGACATGGATGGGTATATATCAACCCATGTATATACCCATACTGTGTGTAGGTAGATACAGTAATCAGTAATCAGTAAGCTAGTAATCAAGTTCAGGCTGAGTTTAGTTATATATTTTTTCTTCAAACTTCTAACTTTTTTATCACATCAAAACTTTCCTCCACACACAAACCTACAACTTTTCCGTCACATTGTTTCAATTTCAACCAAATTTCTAATTTTAATATGAACTAAACACACCTTCAGATATGTAATTAAGCATTAGCGCAAACAACATGTGCTTAGATGAGATGGAGAGGAGAGCGAAAAAGATGCCAGACCGTTTAATCATGCCTTGAGAAAACCACTCAAATACTCGTAATTCAGTTGGAATAAAACTCTAGATTATCCAACTCCTCAAAACTTATAGACCCTTGTAGTAAGCTCACAGGCTAACAGCCAACATGTCCCTTAATTCTCTGGCAAATATACCAGCCAGCTAGCTAGTTGAGATACTGCGCCAACAACTACAGAGCACAGCCGAAATTTCGCAAAGTTGAGATAGTAAACTTGCGAGAGCTTCCAACGCTACCACCTACGCGAACCGCGAAAACCATCGGCGCTGATGAGCCAAAAGCAAAGCAGCTCGCTCGCGGCTCGACTCGCAGTCGCAGATCGATCCAAACAACCAACCAAACCAACCAATCCTTGTGCGGAACAAAAGGCGAGGACGCCTACTGTAGCCGACTAGCCGCCCCGCGACCGCGACGCCGGCCACCACATGACAAACACGATCCGAGCCACACGGTTGGTTGGGTCGTGGGGCCCCCGCGCGGTGGTGGACCCACGCATCCGCGGGTCGTTGGCTCACTGGCTCACGGGTCGCGCGTGTGCGTGCGTGCGAGTGTACGTAGCTTGCGCTGCGGTAGCGAGCTTGCCCCGGGCCGAAGCGAGGTGAAGAGACAGGAAGGCGTCAAACGCGCGTGGGGTGGTGGTGGGGGCGCGCCCAGGGAGGCCATAGCCAGTGGCTTTGGCTACGTGGTTGTCGCGCCGTGGGAGCAAGTGTGACTGTGTGAGCGTGACCACGACGACTCCTCCCCCTCCCCTGGGCGACGCGACGCGGTGCGGCGCGGCGTCCTACGAGCTCTGCTCCCGCTGCGCACGCCTGTGCACGGGTGGACTCGTTCTCCACGGGGCCCGCGGCAAGCGACGTCGTCGTAGATGGTCGTTGGTGCCGCGGTTTTCCGCGCGTCTCCTCCGTCCGGGTCGTACTCCAAGCCTTTCCTTCCGCGGGCCGCGGGGTGGTGTGGCTGTCGGTCGCCGGGGAGGAGGAGCGGGGCACTTGTACTTTGTTTTGCCACGGAATTTCATCCGCCGAACCGTTCAACGACGCGTGCTCTTGTACATCGAACACACACTTCAGATCGGTGGGAGAAGACTACTAGCAGTCATTGTTTGAGCTGATTTGCACATACATCTGCCTGTTTTGATGTGCAATTAAGATGCACAGGAGACGACAAAACCGGTTTAATTGTTTTCCTCTGTTTAATGATGCACAAGCTGGGATGGTAAATCTCAAGTCCTTTTTCCCTCAAGAGTCAAGACACAGATCTGGTTAGGTGCTGGAAACAAAGTTGCCTGTGCTGCTAACTTGCAGGGATGAAGCCACATACTAGTAATAAACGGGTAAAGCATCCACAGTAAATGGTTTTTAAGAACAAAATAACGTAAATTTCTCATTAATCAGAGATTGATGATCAATATGTTACATCGAACAACAAAATGTTTTCTTTTTCTTTTCTTGTTTTTTTCCTTCTTTCTTTAAAGGAACTGTAACACCGGGAGTAGTAGCCTTTTCCTCATACCTATCTCCCCGTGCAAAAAGGACACGATCTATGTACACCTAGTTGATCAATCCTGGCAATTAAACGGACGATTAACCTCTTACTATTACACGTCGCTCTAGACTTTTCTACGAGGGATTTGTGGGGGGGTCTTGTCGTCGTCATCGGGCGCTGCAACCTACGCCTCCTCGATCGGCGGCGGCAGGTTCAGGTCGAGCCCCACGCCGACGGCCGGCGAGGCGTCCACCACGGATGACGACGAGCCGGTGTCGCTCTGCTCGTCCAGGCGAGCTACCTCCTTCTTGACGCTGACGACGGCCGGCCGGCGAGGCACCGGTGCCGCGACGGCCACGGTCACCGCGACCCTGGGGTCGAGGAACAGGAACGGCTGGGCGGCCACCATGGCCGACATCCCGAGGCTCAGATCGAGCGAAGGCGAGGCGGGCACCTGGGCCTTGGCCGCGGCCGCCACCGGGGCGGCGGCGGGCGTGTCCCGGGAGGACGACTCGACCGTGCTGCTGGTCGGGCTGACGACGGCCAGCGCCGCCGCCTTGGGCAGCGGCGGCGGCGGGGCGTGGTGGTGGGCGTGCGCGAAGGCGACGGGGAAGTTGGTCTTGGCCTTGGGCCCGCGGAAGTGGAGCGCGGCGCTGTCGTAGGCGCGCGCCGCGGCCTCGGCGGTGTCGAAGGTGCCGAGCCACACCCGCGCCTTCCTGGCCGGGTCGCGGATCTCCGCCGCGTACCTGCCCCACGGGCGCTTCCTCACGCCGCGGAACCTGGGCTCCATGCCGGCTCCTCCGCCCTCCGCCACGGCGACGGCGACGGCCTCGGCGGCGTTCCTGGGAGCCATGTCCGTTCTTGTTCGGGTCGAGCACCACGAGCAGAGCGAGCTAAGGCGGGCGAGAGCGCCAAGTGTTCGACCGGTGGATGGTGGGTGGTTGGTTTGGCGCCGGTGGTGCGTTGGAGTTTGGGGGGAGGAAAGTGGGGAGGAGGAGGTGGTATTAATAGGGGAGGCGGGAGGTGCGGCGGGGCCAGCGGGAGGGGAGGTTTGACCCCATAGCGGAGCGGAGAGAGAGGCGCCGCCCCCGCCGTTTGTCCCGTCGTTAATCTTCCCTCTCTCTCTCTCTTTTCTTTTCTCCTTGCCTTTGACGGTGCTGATTTGGTAGCGTGTGTGTGTGGTTGCTTTCCCTTGCTCCTTGCTTGCTTGGTAGTTCGAGTGCTGCGCTGCCCCGTCCTATTGTCCTTGTGATCCTTTTGGACGCACAACGGCACGACGCAGGGTGCTGTACTATACCTCCGTATTAAAATATAAGAATGACAGACTGTCTATCCAAATACATTGTATTAGAAAATATCATATTTAATTCTAAATTATAATATTTTGTCCTCGCATTATTGATAATCATGCATGCGTTAGAATGTTTGAGATCTGAAAAATAAATGGCTAAAAATATATGCAGTCGTAAGGTGCAGTCGCACTTACGACCGTATCCGATCTCAATCTGTATGTTTGGTTCCAATTTTTTTTCTTACTTCTTTTTGCCATTTCCCATCGGTGGAATCAACAAGGGGTGAGGTCCGTGTATTTTCGCGTCAGGTAGGCGGCGAAGCGAATGGTGGTGTCGCGCGCCGATTTTCGCGGTGAAGGGATGGTATAGCGAGCCAACAACGGCTGTGCCGTCGCGTCGCGCACCCAGCTGATTGCTTCCCATAATTCCGTCCACCGCGACGACGGCGGCGCGCGCAAAACGAGACATGCAGACAAGCAAACCAAAAAAAAAAAGCAGCAAAACCGTCGCAATTTCGCGTGGTGGGGCCAACGCCACCGGCCGCCGCCTTTGTTATCCCCACCTCCCCCGTACGTAACGTCGTAAACGCGAGCGCGAGAGCGCGAGAGCGCGCGCGCGGTGGTGGGGCCGACGGTGTCCCGGTCGCGGCGCGAGCCGCGTGGCGTGGCGTGGCCCGCGGTGCGGTGCGCAGTGCAGGGGGGCGACGACGCGGCGCGTGATGTGACGGGAGGGAGGTGTGGGCGGAAAAAAAAAGTGTTTTTTTTGGGCAACAGGGGACGGACGATGGATGTGGTGGGCGGCCGCAGGAGGACGACGTAGCTGCACCGCGTCTTCCTTGCTTGGCACGGCGGCGGGCTGAGGCGGCCGCGGGTAGACGGCAGATTCGCGGAGGATTATTGTATTGTTGCGCGTGCACGCTGCACCCGAGCGGAGCTGCGAGCTGGACCGGACAAGTCTTCGGGCGCCGGATTTGGACGGTGGAATGGGGAAACCGCCAACCCTTTTTTTTTCCCTCTCGCTGTTCTCTGCCAGACGCTGAGGCGCAGGCGGCGTACACAGAGGCGGATATAGCCGGTATCACACGACACCGACGATTTTTCGTAAAACCTATAGCAAAATTGTATATCTATATCTTATAACACTATGATCTAAATATAATTAGCATGCCATGACAACACGAATCGATTTTCTGGAACCTTTCATTCAAACGAGTGTGATTTTAGTAGGAGTATTTAAATTTCGTAATTGCTATTCTAGTGTTGGTCTGTCGCAACAAAATTGGAGAGAGAACTTTATCCAAAATATCAAGAATTAGAAAAAAGTTAGGGGTTGATTTTTTTTTTCAAAAGAAAATCTACATATGGATTTTTTTATTGAAAATCTATTTAAAATCTAATTTTAATAATATATTTGTTGGTATCCTTTAATGTGGTCACAAAATCATTCAGTTATTTAGCCATTAAAAAAAACTAAAGGCATGTTCACTTTGTTGCCAAAAAAACCTTACCAAATTTTGGTATTGCCAAAATTTTGACAACTTTGCCAAAATTTTAGCAAGATTTCTTATATAGTTACCAAATTTTGCAGCAAACTAAATATAGCCATTTTTTTGGCAACTTTACCAAAATTTGGTAAGGTTTTTTTAGCATCAAAGTAAACAGGCCCTAAGCTACTGAATAATTTTGTTTTATCAATGCGATAATTATAGTCTTTATGTGATGGAGCGAGCACTTCACGTGACACATAGTGCAGCTGGACTTAATGGACTTTTTCACATTTTGGTCATTTGAAAAACTTATTTCGTAAATAGATCCCTGGGAAAACTTATCGAAGAAACGGTTCTTTTTAGGTCGCTAGAGTGGCTGGCATCGTCCTCCTGCCACCGTGGCACACGCGAACCGACGTGTCAGGAGGAGGGCGCCGCCCTAGGGAGGAGGACGCCAGCCATGTTGGCGCAGCTCCTCCCACCCCTCGCCTCCATTCCTATTCCTCTATATAGAGTTGCAACCTTTTTGTTTTTGTTTTATTTTTTCGATGTTTTTTTGCACTTGGGATCACGATACAACCAACCACGAAAAAATTAAACTCGAACGGAATATACCACTTAGCTAGAAGTCTGAAAATAGCATACCACTTAGCCTACTTTCATCAAAATTAGACCATAACTCCTTTAGTAAATATAACCACATGAAATCATAGCCATAAGTTAAACAGTACAGAGATATGCACTTTTTTTTTATTTTTTTGATATTTTTTTCACACTTAGGATAATACAGGAACTAACCATAGAAAAAATAAACTCAAACGGACAAAATATGTAACTTGTAGAATTTTCCAAAGCTCTACCGAAAAGTCATTCGGGTGTCATTTATTAAAATAGGTGTAACTTTCTCATACGGACTCGGAAGATATTAAAACCTCCAAATTCCACTTGCAAAATTGTGTTTTCGAAGAGAGAAGTTTTTTCGTAGAGCTTTGGAAAATTCCACAGGCCACATATTTCATCCGTTTGAGTTTATTTTTTATATGGTTAGTTCTAGCGAGTTCCTAAGTGTGAAAAAATATCAAAAAAAAAATAAAAATAAAAAAGTTGCACATCTCTCTCCTCTGTACTAGTTCGGAGAAAGAGAAAGAGGAGAGGAAAAATTCTATAGGTCACATATTACGTCCATTTGAGTTCAATTTTTCTATGATTGGTTCTTTGTGTGTTCCTAAGCGTGAAAAAAATATCAAACAAATAAAAGAAAAATAAAAAATTTCGGGGAGGGGGGGCGCCAACCACTCTGGCGCGCTCCCCCTAGCCACCTCAGTATCGCCCCGCCACGTCGGCAGGGGGACGGCGCCAGCCACTCTAGCATCCCAAAAAGGACCATTTCTGTGATAAGTTTTTTTAGGGGTCTATCTGTGAAATAAGTTTTTTAAAAGGATCAAAATATGAAAAATCCAGACTAAACTTATCCTGTAGGACGTGGTTTGTAAAAAAGGTTTAAACCACTTAAAAATGTACTCCCTCCGTTAATACAACAACTTTTAATTTTTAACTATCCCTCTGGACTTTACAATAGAGGAAGTGATTGATTAGATAGTTGAAAAAAGAATTCTAAATTTACTCGCAGTATGTCCCGTGTAAGGGTTTTATATGAAAAGGAGTAACTTTCCCGCTTGAACCTAACGGAGATGAAAATTAAGTATAAACATGTAAAAAAAATATTCGCACATAATTAATCGAGTTTCAAATTTTCTAATTTTTTAAAAAGATTATATGATATTTTAAAATAATTTTTATATAGAAAATTTTCGTAAAAAAACCCCCAACATTTAGCGGTTAGAAAAGAGCAGGACACGCATAGTATCCGAAGCGTACCCAGCGTGAGGCAATTCTCAGCTTCTGGTTTCCTGGCCAATCGCAAGCCTATTTTTATTCTTCGCGGCGTCGAACTAACGCGTCGAGCACCGGTGGCCGTCACGTCAGAGGCGCAGACCGCGGGGTTTCACACCACCCACCGTCCGCGTCGGGCGCGGGTCGCGTTGCGCGCGAGCCGTACGTCGCCGTCGTCGCAAAGCGCCCCGCTCGCCGAGCGCGTGACTGCGGCCCACCGTCCGTTACGGCGCCCACCACACACCACTTGTCCAATCAAATCTCCATCCAGGAGACGGAGACGGAGACGGAGACGCACGCATGGGGACGGACACACGACTGCGGCGGCTGCGGCGTGGGAGGTGGGACCCGCCCTCCTCCGCGAGGTTTCTCTACTCCACACGCACCCGCATCGGTGGATATCCGCCTCGCTACTTCGCTAGTCTCTGAATTTTATTTTGTCGCTCGGCGGCCGGCGCGGTGCGGGGCCCCCACTGCTACTTGTTTAACTTATTTTTTTCGTTCCCTTTTCCTTTTTTTTTTCGCTCCCGCTTCGGTCGCTCGCGGACTCCATCGCCTGGTCTGCGCGCGGCTTTTCACCGGCAAGTCTACTACTCCCTTTTCTTTCTTTCTTTTCTGGCCCTACAGTTGCATCGCACACACCGACGGGTCATACGTATGCATTACGGAATTTGGCAAAGCTGTTGTGATGGGGGTATGAGGTTTCAGTTGGACCAACTGATCAGCCCGTGCTGTAATAAACACCACCGTCAGTCCGTCACGTAAATTACCGTTCAAAGAAATGATTTGTCGGGAAAATACGATCTAACACTTGGCAAAGCCGCGTCTCACGAAATAACCGTATTGCCAAAGACTAGCAGTTTGGCCTCACCGGGTCAACTCTAGTTTAGTGGGTATATTAGGCAAAATACTCCATTCGTAAAGATTGACAATTGGTTGACGAGCTCAGCGTACAGCTGGTGCTCAGCACTCCGTTTCCTACCTACGCACAAGAATATACGCAGAAGAATATATACGTACCCCTATTCAAAATACTACTACTACTATAATTCACGCCGAAAAGCTAGAGTTGGAGTACTAAAAAAAAACAGGCAACGGCACCGCACCGCGTGCAGAGGGGAGGAAGCCGCGGCGGGCGAAGCAGACAGGCAGGCGGTGGTAGCGTCACGTTGCTCACGGGGGGTGCCAACGCGTGGGCACGCGCGCGCCGGTGGCGTGCGAGTCGCGCGTCGCGTTGCCCCGCGCCGCGCGCGACAGCTTCCGCGTGACGCAGCGTGGCCGGCAGGAAAGCGAGGATGCGCAGCGCAACGGGGGGTATCTTTCTTTCGTACCACGCGCCTGCCTCCCACGGCGACGCACGACGGTGAGAAAAAGTCTTAACTCCGAAGCCGTATGGGGAAGCGACCAGCAAGCGATCGAGACAACCGCTTTCAGATGCTGGAAATCTGTACATGATTTACACGCTGGCAACCGGGAAGTGCTCCGAGGAGACGAAAATCTGGTGCCACCACAAGCTCACGTTTTGGCTCAGCTCCAATGCTCATCGTCATCATAATCCTGGTTCTCGGGGTCGTCCTCGCCTTCCCCCGCTGGATCCTTTTCACCGTCCACGGAATCTAATGTGTCCTGCAAAGCGTCAGGAGTGAACTGGGGTTAGGTTTTGTGCTCCAGCTAAGAAAGGCCGGATAGCTACATTGGCGAATTCAGCGATTGGCATATATCGTCGATTGATGCTTCAAGAAATTATGCAAGTTAGGTTCCAAATTTGAATACAAAAGCTGAGACCTTACCAGTTACTACCTCCAAATGGAGCATGCTTAACATACTAGCAGGCATATTTATATGTCCACTAACATCTATGGACGCAATAGAGCAGCTATGTTAGAATTTTTTTTTTTTTTGCAATATTGGATCTCTCTTGGTGTCAACCCAAGTATCTATTCCCCTAGCAAGGACCAACCACCTCCGGTCCATCGAAGGTTTCACACACCACCGAATCACCAATGTTTTCATCTAGCTTATGCTTTGGCCCATAATAATTACTAGATACAAGAGGCTCTGCCATGATTTGTACATGATCATAAAGCAAAACAATCCATATCAACGCACTAGAGTTTATCACACTAAACCACCCAGTCAAAAGAATTTTCCATGGACAAGTTTAATAGGTTAGCATGCAAGGGAGATCAAGAAAAATACATCTGGTTGAATTGATTTTGGTCAGTGTCGAGTTTCAGTATAAGCCAGACCAGCTGGGTAGTCTAACTCGTAGTCTCGTGCAGTCATTGTAAGCAGTTAATCATTTTTAGAACAGTTTTTTTTATTATTTATACATTGCCTATCATTTCGTTTTGTTTAAATTGTTCGCACAAACTTATCAATTAGCATCTGGTTATCAACAAGAGACCATGGTAGCTTAAATTTAGTGCCACTCCTTTTTCAATGGACTTACTTTTAAGCCCACTAAGACAAACAGAAACAGGCTTTCACCATAGCATCTCTCTAGCAAATACTGAACTCTGCTTTAAAGGTACATGTACAGGCAGAATACAAATTTCATTATTACCTGGCATGACAGCTGGCATCGCTTATCCCCTGCAACAGCCGCCAATGACCCCTTTTTCGGACCCTGCAAATGGATTACATAAATAAAAATAATATGAATGCTAATTAAATGAGTTATATAACTGCCTTTTACTTACATCCAGAATAATGCGTGATTTTGACATGCTCCGCATGTTTTGCTCCAAAGACAAAAACTTCTTCTCCCATGTCTCATTTAACCCTTGTAGAGCTTGATTAATCATCTGTTGCACCTGTTCATGTGTGAACATCGGAGGTTGTCCTTGTCCGTGATTGCTGGAACAACCAGGGGAGGACTTTGGCAAAGAATCAGTCTGGACCTTCTTCCTAACACCAGTGTCGCAATAGTATCTCCCACGCTTGCAGCCTCCCATATGTTCCTGTACAGGCTCTCTGGCCTCTGCAGTATGTTCATACGTGGTATCCTGGAAAAAAAGAGTATAGTACAAGTTGACATGTGCAAAGTGATACTATTCACAGATTCAAAATTTTCAAATATTGTACATGTAACAGGAGTAGGTACCTCAGTTCGCAATATCTTCTTGTCAATAATCCCTCCTTTATCACTGTTAATCTTGGTGGATGGATCAATATCAGATACCAGCTTTCTGCCATTGTCAATGCTCTACAAAATCACACCTGGCTCGTTAACTAATGCAGAAAGATGTCAACAAGTAGGATTTGCATTCCTAGTTCTTACCGTAAACTGCTGATGCATTGCTATGCTCTGTGAGCCTGAAGCATTACAGGGGGGGTTTCCTGCATTCCGGTTCTTCCTTTTTTGGTAAGAGACCTTCATAACTTCATCTTTCGCCCAATGGTCACACAACTTCTCCCACCATTTTGGTTGCATCCATTCAGGGACGAATGGTTTCCAGTTAAGCGGATCATCAAGCTCAAGCACCAGAACAGACTCATCTCCATGCTGCTCCTCTGAATCTTCCCTACCATCGCCCTCTTCTAACGACCTACTGGCCCTAACAACCGTCGAAGATCTTTTGGCTTTTTTTGCCAGCAAATCTCTGACCCTTTGCTTCTCGTAGCAAAAGAGGTTAACTAATTGTCTAACTGCTTTACGGTCAAAGATCTTTCGACACTCCTCTTCCTGGCCAGGGGACCACTTGTAGCGTTTCTGCATTATTTTAAATAATAAGCACACATACTTTTAAATCTCAATGAAAATAGTATGAAACATGCCCCCGTAAGTTACTCACAAGGAATTCATCCAATACAGTATCTCTTATATCTGAAGGACATTGGTGCCAATGGAAAACCGCAAGCTCACAGGGTTGGCCATTGGTACCCACTGAAACATAGGTTCCAGGATAGTTCTGCTTGATAAGAAGGGATAGGGTGGTTGTCACCTTCAAACAGGATGGATGCACAGTCCAGTTTCTAGTTGCATAAATCAATTTTTCATACACATGAAGATTAGAATGTGCAAGTTATTTAACCTTCCATAAATCTATACACATCACCAACACTTACTCTGCACCACAAGGTGTCAGCACAGGCCTGTCAGCTTCTTTGCGTGGTTCCATTAGTACCGCAGGGGCACGGCCCCTGCGCTTTTTTGATGATTTACTAACAGATGCTGACAGCATATCACCATTCCGGGCATCCTGAAATTGCTCGGTGTCAGACAATACACAAATCATGGGATAAAATCCTTATTTGCCCCTGAAAGTTGGCCCAATCTCTCATTTGCCCCTTATTCCCTCAATGACGTGTGGATCCAGGATATGTCAGTGCTCATCATGGGTAAATAAGGTATAAAGTGAATTTGACAGGGAAAATAAGGATGCACATGAAACGTGCAAATGTTACATCCTTAGGTCATTGCAAAAGAATTCCATTTGAATACAATAGAAAGCTTTCTGCTTGCAATTCAATTATAATCATAGCACTACAACATTTGAGATATATCATGGAATAATAGTGGAACTGAACACGTAATATCTATCAACAATTTTAAACCAGCAAGCAAGTTTTCAAGTCAGCATCACAAGTTTGTAAACCTGCATGTACATTTATTAAGATGCATCAATTTCAAATGCTAAAACGCAAACCCTATTTCATCAAACCATGCCAAAACTTCTATAAGAAACTTGGTTGTCTGCTCTTTCCACTTTTCAAGCACACTGGCGTTCAGACCTCAAACTGAAAATAAAGTTCAGCATCACCCAAAGAAAAATAAAAAGGTTCAGCAAGAATAGATAAAGGGAGGAACCTGAGAATAGATGGGGGATGGTTGGTGGTGCTGGTGCGGTGTTGTTGGACTGCTACAGTTAACTGGTAGCTCTGCACAGGTGCGGAAGAACATGTTAGAAAGGACTCAACAGAAACAATTGAGCATGCCGGAGAGTGGGACAGACAGACTTTCAAATGAAGAAGGTGAGCTGATGGTGGGCAATGGAGTAGCATCCGCAACTGGCAATAAAACAGCAAGGCGGCTGCATGAAGCAGCCAAATTCATCTGGTGGCGTGTTCCCATTCCAGAGGACAAGCCCCCATGATGTTTGGCATCACCTGAAGAACCAATGAAGCCATTCTTTTGCCTGCCATGCTCTGAAAGGTTCTTGCCAGCACAAGCTTGTTGTTCTAGTTGGCCATCCATATCCTGATTTTGGTTCTCTAATGGAATTGAATGCACTTCATCATCACTACTATCGAGTTGGACAATCCCATCAAAGCTTTCATTAGGCATCTCATGCTCATGACATGAATTAGAACTACGATTTGGAAGTACCCACCTACTTTCTGGAGAGTACATCTGGCTGTAGCACTGGGGAATTCTCTCCTTTTGTTGCATACTATGATTCAAAGCAGGAGTAGTTGCATCAGCATTGTCCAACTTATTAGAGACTGATTGAGGATACCGGTGCTGGTTTGGTGAAATATGGTAAGTATCATCTATCGCCCTCTCAATTGGTGGAGTTTCTGATTGATTTTGGTTTGGGGAAGCATATATCCTATGGATAGGCTCAATATCAATAGGGTCTGGCGAACCCTTTGTTAAGCGCTGACTACGCCTAAGATGAGGCAACTCAGTTGAATAATTCAACGGACTCTTACCTTGCCTCTTTTGATTTCCTTTTGTATACTTGGTACCTTTTTTATTGTTTTGTACTGCTTTGCATGCCACCTGTACCTGCTCCACATGAACCAAATCACTGGAATTTTCGCCAGGCTGCTGCTTGTCACAAACTTGATGGAGAGTGTTTATCTGCTCATGCTCGATAGCACTAGGGGCAGCTATATGCCCAGTTTTCTGCTTGTTGTGCACTGCAATCATGCCATTGTGAAATCCTCCTCCTACAGAGTTTGAAGGCATTCCCTGAGCCCTTGATGCATGGATGGCCTTACTAATATGCTCTTCCTGCAACTTTCCAGCTGGATGAGATTTTGGACCAGAAGCAGATGTAGTTTTCTTCTTGCCAGGCTTGGTCATAGTCCCGTTAGGTGGTTCTGTGCGTGACTCCTCTCGATCAGCTGAAGGATTAACACACTCGTTTTGTAACCTCCCTACATCAGGAATTTGTGTCCTAGAGTCAACTCTGAATGAACTGAATGACTCCTCTCTAAAAGAATGCTTGTAGTATTGCTCTGGAATAATGGACTTCTGAACCTGTCCAGCAAGAGTTGGCTGATTTGAATTTCCATTCAGCACCTGAAAGAAGAAAAACACCATGAAACACTGTGATGAAATACTACTATTGGTCTAAATAAAGTGTCACCATGGGAAGTGCAGCCAATTCTGTCAACTTTGATCAATGATACCACATGTTTGTTCCAAACTTCCAATATAATTGTATTTCTTACATGACTTGTAACAGCTCTAATATATATTTGATCAATTTCCATAGTTATAATTTCGATGCACCACAATCAACTGTGCAGATCCAACAAACATGCTAATTTCTAGCTCAAGACAGTTAGAGAATATAGTGGCTGCAATCTTTACTTATTTATTTATAGATGGTTGATCATTAAACTAGTGGTACCACAGGTGCTTTGGAAGTAATAGAAAGGTCAAAGGGGCAAAGGGATGTTGTTATTCAAATGTTGAAGTGTTTAAACTTTTCTCCAAAGTTGACTGAATCAAATACATCACTTTTTTCCAATTCGTGGATACTTGAAAAAACAATGCTGGTTAATTGCACCAATCATGATTGCGCATAGGTAAACTCTTTCTTTAAATGCACACATTCAGTTCGAACGAAATGAGAAATGACCATTTATGCTGGTAACTTTTAAACTTGTTATTCTTTAGGGATGAGCATGGATCATCCATGGGGGTACTCATTGAGCTACTTTAGGTCAACTAAAATACAGCTTTCTAATACATGCAATATATTTAGTTGAACTATAACTGGTCAAGGGGTACCCATATATTGGCCATGCTGATCCCTAGCGTTTTTAGCCAAACATGAGAAAATGCGGGTTGTTGAGATTAAAACAGGAATGCTACAATAGCGACTCCTTGCTAAAACCAAGTGATCTGATAGTAAAGTCACGCATGCTTATTCAGAATTCCTAATCAAATTTAATCTCACTGCTTAGTACACAGGACATAGTCCTCAATGTACAATACAAGCATGGTTATGCTACTAGCAACCTATAGAAAGTAGTTTCACCTCACATGTCACAAGTTTGTAGCAAAAGGCCAACAGATACCATCACCACATTGCTCACATTTGAGCTAGTATAAATAAACACTTAATGAAACCAATAATCAACGATGCATTGCGAGGGAAATCCTGGGAGGAAATGATTCTGGATAGTACCTCGGAGGTCATCGCCGGCCGATTGGAGGTAATCGGGATCGCTGCCGGCGGGGCAACGACTGAGACGACGGCCGCGAGGGGAGGGGGAGGCGCGATCTCGGCGCCGCAGAGCGGGCACGAAAACCGCCCCGGGCCGTGCGGCACGCTGAGGACGGCCGCGCATCCCCCGCACGAGACGCGCGTGGGAGGGGCGGCGGCGGTGGCGGTGGCGGGGGCGGGCACGGCGGAGGGGACGACGCTCGCGCGCCCGGGGAGCGGGAGCGCGCGGCGGGGGCGCGGCGGCATGAGCTCCGGCGGGAGCGCCTGGGCCATGCCGCAGTCGGGGCAGGCGAACTCCGTCAGGCCGTGCTCCACCTCCAGGGTCTCGCCGCACCCGGCGCACCGCACCTCGAGGATCCCCGGCGGCGGCGCCATGGATCGGGGGAAGCGATCGCTAGGGTTTTGGTTTTTTTTCCCCCTTTTTTCTCTTCGCGCGTTTTTTTCTTTTCCGTTTTCCCTCTTCCGCTCTCGGGAAAAGGGACTGTACGATCGGATGAGCGTGACGGGTGGAGTGACAGTCCCGACAACTGTTGGCTGTCGCCGCTGTCTCACTGGCCTAATGCGTGAGTACTATACATTATTCTTGTTTACAAATATTCATCTTTTCTTTCCTTATTATGCTTATGAATCAAAATTTAAAATTTAATTTTAGGTTTTACAATTTATTTATAAGCCATGTTGTTAACGTTTATATATGAATATGTGATAGTCTTTTAAATACTAAACTCTTTTAAAATTTGTACATAGTTTGCAGTATCATTTACAGAGTATATTTTATTGAATTGGTGTTTGTATTGAGTATTCCTCTTTTGCGTGGATAAGTTATGTTCACGTTTATAGGGCTTGTTTGGCATAGTTTCAGCTCCACCTCTTCTAGAGTTGGAGCTCAGCCAAACAATTTCAACTCCATCTAAAATATAAGTGTAGTTGGGTGGAGCGCTCTCATAAAATAAACTAGAGATGTGGAGCTGGGTTTAGGCTCAATTCCACTCTAGACCCAACTCCTAAAACTAAATTTAAGAGTTGGAGCTTTACCAAACAGACTATACATATATGCAATGGCAATTTAACAATATCTTAAGATCAAATTATAAGACATCTTCAAATTATTATACATGGAAAGTAATTTGAGGATATTGCATCCATTAGGGCAGTCCCAACCCTCCACCTAGTATGGTGTCTATGGCATTAACTACATTGTCATGTAGGACTTTTAGCTTATGTGGCACTATATTAATTAAGAGAGAGAGTGAAGAGAGGAAGAAACGGGGTCTCATGCAAGACACGGCTTCAACACGAGAACCTATGCACTAGACACTATCAAGTTTTACATTGGGAGAGAATAGTGTCTTCATAATAGATGAAGAATAAATATGATTGGTAGATAAGAGAGATGATGTATTTATTAATGACCCATTTTAAGAAACCATGGGTTGTAGAGTGTAGTTTCTATTGTGATGTCTTATTGACATGGCACCATAAACACTGCTTATGGACACTATAGGTTGGGAGTGCCCTTATATCGTTTTTGTTTATGCAATTCATTTTTCTCCTTTTTCTTTCCCAACACAAGACTGAAGTACGATTATGTTCACTATTTTTTTACCTGCTGCTGTTACATGCCAATTATTTAGGACTTTGCTTAGTTTGAAGGAAAAAAAGATTTGAATTCCTAAGAATTAATTTTCATAAGTGCCATTCGTTTTGTGGAAATGAAACATAGGAAAATCAAAGATTTTTTTTTCTTTCATACGAGTTGGATAGAGAAGAAAACATATGAAATTTTCTATTGACTCAAATCTCTTGGAAAATTGGAAGGGTTGGGGTAATACAACCTTATTTATCTATTTTCTCATTCTCAAGGGTTGAAAATTCTCAAAACCAAACAACCTCTAATATATAATGGGATTAACAATCTCAAATGATATATGCTCACTATTCGAAGATGCTTATAACGATATGCTTGTTCAGATACATCCCTATAATTTTTTTTGACGTAGGGTGTAAGTGTATGACTGTATATGTTTATAGGGGTGAGTATATATGCGTTATATGAGCACCAACATCTACAACATTTTTTCCGTGTAAACAAAAGCGATAAAATGAAATGGAAGATGCCGGGCGGGAAAAAGTTGGCGCGAAGGTATTTTCCCTCTAAGGCCGTGTTTAGTTCACTCCCAACTATTCCAAATTTTCAACTTTCCATTATCACATCACATCTAAAACTTTTCTACACACATAAACTTCCAACTTTTCCCAAACTTTTAACTTTTTTCAAGTGACTAAACACACCCTAAGCAAAAAGTAAATTTCCGACCCACACGGCGCGACATGACACGGAGCCGTTTCTTTTCCCGACGGCCGATTCCGGCTTTGCTACGGGTACTAGGGGTTGGCAGTAGTAGTATCTCGCACTCACACCTCACTCCAACTACTACTCTGTTCCCCGAGGGCGCACCGAAGGAAACCCTAGCCGCTGCTCCCCGAAGCCATGGCGGAGGCGGCGGGGGGCCAGCCGGAGTTCGTGGAGGTGCGGTGCGCGGGGTGCGGGGAGACGCTGGAGGTGGAGCCGGGCCTCACCGAGTTCGCCTGCCCGGACTGCGGGACCCACCAGGCGCTCCCGCCCGAGCTCATGCCTCCGCCGCCGCCGCGCCCGCGGCGGGCTCTGCCCATCCCCGGACGGGGGCCTCCTCCCGCCGCGGTGTTGCACGCTCCCGTGCCGGTCCCCGTGCAGGTTCCCGCGCCCGCGCGCATGCCGTGCGGTGGCTGCTGCGCTCTGCTGAGTGTGCCGGCGGGGCTCGTGCGCTTCGCCTGCCCGGTCTGCGCCGCCGAGCTCGTCGTCGACGGCGGGCGCCTCCGCCTCTACTTCGCTTCCCCTGCCGCCCCCACGGTCTCCGTCGTGGCGCCGCCCCCAGCTGGCGTCACGCTCACGGCGTCTTCCCTGCGCCATCGGCCGGAGGTGCGTACATTTTGATCTGTCTGTGATTTAAGCAGTCAGAAGCTTGGGGGATTCGCAATTATGACACTGCAAACATAAGCTTTGCTATAATGACACTGGACCCATATTTCATAGACACGGATGGGCCCATTTATCATCCACTCGGAGTGTCAACAGCGAAGCCCCAATGTTTGCAGTCCCAATATTGCAATTTTCTCCAGAAGCTTAGAGCGCTGGTCTTGCTCTACTGGAATGCCGCATTGGCTCAATAATACTCCACATGTCCCAAAATATAAGCATCTATTTTTTCACAGGAATTAAGGAAGTAGGTGGAACTGAATGCTGTGATTGGTTGAGAGGAGAAAATAGGTGGAGGAATTAAATAAGAGATGGTTGCGATTGGTTGAGATAAGAGGGTAGGTGTAGAAATAGCTACATTTTGGGACAAATTTAAACTCTGGAAATAGCTTTATTTTGGGACAGTGGGTATCATATAAGTTCTTGCAAGTGACTTGAGCAAGAATATGCAAGTTGCAGGGGGTCTTTGAATGGTATTGTGCGTAAGCTGTATATGTTCTGAGATTGTCAATGGATCCAGCAATGGGGGTTCCACTTTCCATGTATTGTTGAGCCACTTAAAAATTCTTGGCATTGGACTTGAGAATTCTATTTTCTTCCTGTCCTTCAACTAGGAATAGAGGCAAGCACCTTGGTTATATACGCTGAACTCAGCCTTCTTTTAGTTTCAGTCACATTTTGGTCATCTCAGATGATATGGTTGTAAATCGAACAACCATAGACAATCAGTCTAGATGTGGGTCATTCCAATCTTAATAACAAGCAAAATCAGTGTCAGTGATATAGCCAATAGCTGAACGGAGACTATGCAAGTCGAAGTCTTAATGTACTAAAATCAGTTACAATGATGTACTCATTGTATTTCTGCAAAATCTATTTGATCACGAGCTCCCCTTCAATGTTCTTTTCTTACTCTACTATGTATGGATCTAATCTTTTGATTTATTTATTTATTTTGGTGCAGCAGTCACAAATAGAAAGACACCATCCAATTCGTTCAGAGCAGATACCAGCACAATGCTCCATTCGTTCAGTTCCAAGAGAGGAGACATTCAGTTCTTTCAGAAACGACTCCCCAGCAGCAGTCCAACACACATTGGCACGAAAGGAGCCTGTTAACCATTCAATTCATAGGGGGGAATCATGCAATGAGACACTTGATAAAACCACTGCAAGGTCTAGTTCAAGGAAGGCTAGATTGCAGGCAGGTGTTGAATCTATATATATTGAAAAACTACAACCAGAGCGTCCTATTCAGGAAAGCACACCACAGGCACAAGCTTGCCCTCCGAGTAATTCAGTTCGTGGGGACCACGCACAAGGGCAGCAACCTCTTGTTGACATTTCAAGTCGTGAACAGCGGGCAAAAAATGTCTCAAGTACTATGGAGCGGGAAAAAGCAGAGCCCCTCAATCAAGCTAGTGAACTGAAAAAAGCACAAGCTGGTAAGACGATTGGATGCCCGAAGAGAAAAAGGAGCAGCAAGAATGCTGGTGAGAATAAGAGGAAAAATAAGGGCTTTCCGAGTTCTCCAAATGAAGGACTCTATCTTAGGCGTAGCAAGCGCTTGACGAAACAACCAGAACAACCAATAAATGATGATCCAGTCCAGCAGCCAGCTGCTTCTCCAAACCAATATAATTCTGATCCTCCAGACATTGACCGACTCATTGCCAATTTGTGTCCCAGTCCATCACCTCAGTGCCAAATGCCTCAAGCATGCTCAAGTGAGTCAGGCAATGCTGATGCATCTGTTTTACCAGCATCTTCAAATCGTGAGATGCCTCAAGCCGAGCAATCCCCGCACCGCTACAATCAACTGTGCCCTCCAGAGGTCAGGGGTACACACCAGCTTGATAAAAGTGGTGAGCAGGTGCAGCCACAGTCACCAGAGCAGGTTACGCATGCGCAACAGGTATGAGGCTCAGAGCTTCCATTAGATGCAACTTGCCCAAGAGCAAGATTGTAGGATCAAGTTTGAGGATCTGATGGTTTAATTTATGCATGAATTCTATATATTTAGTGTGACTGGGAGTCTGAATGCATAAGCTGATACGCATTCACTTGTTCAGCAGGACGCATATAGCTATCATCCCGTATTAAGAAAATATAGTCGTAAATCATCAGGTAGGGGCAGGGGACGCCGTCCTAGAGGACTGATTGAACCACGCAGGGAATATGACAGGCCTGTCTTGACACCAAATAATATCGAGTATGTGCATTTTATTTGAAGGCAATATGTGCGTTGATAAATTGTCGGTAGTGTTTCTTGATGCATTCTTTACCATGTACTTGACAAATAAACTTTCTCTGACAGTAACTGGGATGTCAACCCACTTTGTCCCAAGGTGTCCTCTACCATCACTGCTCTTTTGAAGCAGAAGTACCCTGGATCAACCTATTTGCCGGTTGGTGAGCATGGTGATGTTCCAGCTAATGAGGAATTGGTTTACCGCTGGAAACATTATCCTGCAGAGACGAGGGCTGCTATTTTGAATGAATTTCTTGTAAGGAAATTAATACATGTGCACTGTCATATATATTTGACAGGCTTCTGATCTTATATTCACTTGCTGTAGCAAAGGTACAAGTGGGCCCCTGGCCGTGAGGCCGAGTGCCTGAAGATATTTCAGCGCAGAGCAGTAAAACAGTTTACTGGCCTCCTGTGCGAAGAGAAGCGAAGGGTTAGAGCAGAATTGGCTGCAGTACAAAAAGCCAAAAAAGCTTCAGGTTCTCGTAGCTCCAATAGTCATGCAGAGTCAGAGGAGGAAGATGCTACAGAAGAGCCAAAGGACAATCAGACAGAAAAGGTAAATGAGGACGAGGACCCTTTACTGTGGAAACCCTTCCCCCCTGCATGGATGCATCCGAATTGGTGGGAGAGATTGTGTGAATATTGGGCCAAAGAAGAAGTCTTGCAGATGTCTCTGAAGTATAGGAAGAATCGGTTTGTTGGAGGTCGTGCTCATCACACATCAGGTTCTCGGAGCTTTGCCATGCAACGGCAGCTTATGGTAAGACATAAAGACAAATTCCATTGGTTTAGTCATTTTAATTTTCATCTAAAAAAACTCAGAATTATAACACATTACCCTGGTTCTGATTGAATTGCATAGGTCATAGAGAATGGTGGGAAGCCAGTGTCAGAACTTGAGATATTCAACAAGACCCATAAGTTTAATGGTGGCACAGGAGAATTTGTCAGTGAGAAAGCGAAACGGATTGTGGTAGGTTCTAAAGGTGTATGCATTATTTAGAAAGCATCATGCAACATGCAAACTAGTTAGATGAGTGTATCCAATGGCTGCTGAATCGTGTTTGCAATTCACTGAATTTTCCAGGAGGGTTTCAAGAAGCGAATGGAGGAGGCTGGTGATAAACCTGCAGATCCCGATGCTGCATGGATACAGCAGGTGGGGGGCCGGAACCGTGGGAGGTACTATGGACTCACTGGCACCATCGACAAGGCCAAAATCGCGGAGATAGCAAAGTCCATCCCTGGTAAAAGGGGTCAGCAGAAGTTCTCGCAGGAGGAGGTCCAACAGATGATCAATCATGCTCTGCAAGGTTTAAATCAATCCTGGGAGGAGAAGTTTAAATCCCTGGAGCAAAGTGTGCGTGGTGCGCCATTGTTAGGTGTTGATCATGAGGTACACATAAAAACTACTTCCTCCGTTTCACAATGTAAGTCATTCTAGCATTTATATCTATCTAGATTCATTAACATCAATATGAATGTGGGAAATGCTAGAATGACTTACATTGTGAAACGGAGGGAGTAAGTAAATGGTTTCACTTAATTCCTTTTCCAAACTAGACCCAAGAGATTGATCTGGTGACTCTGCAGCATGCCCCTGGGTCTTCGGCAGCTGGAGGAGATGTTCAACAGGACCAGTCAAAACATCAGGTAGATGATGAATTCCCTTTTTTTCCCAAAAGCAAAGGAAAATCTACTAGAGGTCATGCTTACCAGCTAAGGGTGTAAGTGGATTGACCCGCCAAATCACTTATAGATCAAATAAGTGCGTAACCCGCTGGTCAATCCATTTGATTAGTCTATAAGTGGGTTTGTGAGTTGACCCACTTAATCTTGCTGCTGCACATACATTTGATCATGCTTTCCAACCATCTTTTGTAGCTTGTTCGTTGAAGCGACTAAGCAGCGATCTTGTTTTGTAACGTTTTGCAGGACGAATCAGACAAACAGCATGTTGAAAGGCGTCAATCTGCGAGACACCACGACGACGATGACGACGACGATGACGAAGATTATGAGGTTGAGGAGGAGGAAGTGGTGTCTACAAGCGATTGATCTGCCTCGCCGCGTAGAATTTTGGCCATGTAATATATAAACCTGCGTCTAATGCTGTTTCCCTGTCCCTGGTCTTTTGGAGAGATGCTGAAATGCACTGCCAGCAGTGGTATTTCCCGCTGCTACGCTGACTCCGATCGATAGTGAAACTCATCTCTTGGCTCTTGACCCAGATGGCCAGAATAGCTTCATCTCTTCACGTTTTGTTTATTACTCTCTTTGTTCCAAAATTAGAAACCTAATACCGGATTAGACATTTCATACCACGATGAATCTGGTAAATATCTCTATCCGGATTCGTAATGCTATAAAATGTCTAATCCAGTACTAGATTCTTACATTTTAAGATGAAAGGAGTATCTATCTTCTCTGTTCAGATTCATTCTGTTAGGAAATATTCTATCACATATGCAAATGAGTAGCGAAAAATCGGAAAGAGTAAATTACATGGCCGATCCTTAAACTTGAGCGAATGTGTTACTTATGTGCGTAAACTTGAAAATTACACATTGAGGTTTAGGATCTTGTTTTAATGAACCATAGCTGGTCCAAAGCGCGTTTGACTAGAGTTGACCAACTATGTGGCGCTTCACGTAGGTAGCATTTTGCATCCAACCCCTTCTGCATCTCGACGTGGCGGTAATTCTGTTCTTACCTCTTGTTGCTACAGTAGTCACCGAAAATCTCTCAAATCCTTTGATCCCTTTGCATCCCCTCTCGAGATGTGAAGGGGGCCAGATGTAAAATGCTGCCTACGTGGAATGCTACGTATGCGGTCAGATATGGTTAAACGTTTTTTGGACCGACCATGTTTCATTAAAACAAGATCATGAACCTTATTGTGCAAATTTTCAGTTTACGATCCTACGTAACACCTCTGCTCAAGTTTAAGCACCGCTCATGCATTTTACTCAATCGGAAACATTATCTTGGTCTTGTGGAAATGAGCGGAGAAAGCGTCCCTTTGCCTGTATATCGAAACGTTGGATCGCTAATTTGTGGTATCACTCGAAATAGCATAGAATATTAACAAAGGAAATTGTTGTACATACGAACTAATTATCAGAGTCACGTGCGACTGAATTTGATCATTAGACTTATGTACGACTGAATTTGATCAACTGTTGTAAACAGTACATGTGAACATATACTTTTTGATTGATCTATGGTAACATGTTTTTAGCTGTACATGAGTTTGAACAGCTAGTTCGTGTGTATAGCAGTACCGATGAACAAATTTGTATTTGGGATCGATTGATCCATTCTTTTTACTATATTCATAAAATTCACTCGCTGGTGAGTAAAAAAAAGCGTTAAACCTACTCCTACTAGGCAGACTAGCTAAAGGCTGACCGTCGCTAGAGATCAGCATCCCGCAACGCTTCTCCTTCCCCCCACTCTCCCTCCCCACTTCTCCTCATTCGCCGCAGAAAAAAAAAAAACAACCTCGAAACCTCTTCCCACCTGCGCCAATGGCGCCAGGGCGCGCTGCGGCGTCGGCGGCGGCGGAGGGAGGCTCGCCGGAGCCGCTGGAGGTGCGGTGCGCGGGGTGCGGGGAGACGCTGGAGGTGGAGCCGGGACTGACGGAGTTCATCTGCCCCGACTGCGCCATGCCGCAGTCGCTGCCCCCGGAGCTCATGCCGCCGCCGCCGCCACGGAGGAAGGCGCTGCCCCTGCCCCGCGGCGCCGCCGACGTCCGCGGCGCGCGGCTCCCCTGCGGCGCCTGCGGGGCGCTGCTCAGCGTGCCCGTCGGGCTGGCGCGCTGCGCCTGCCCCATCTGCGCCGCCGAGCTCGCCGTCGACACCGCGCGGCTCCGGCACTACCTCCTGTCGTCCGCCGCGGTGGAGGGCGCCGTCCCCGTGGTGCCGATCGGCACCTCGTCGCCACCGCCGATCCTCCAAGTCCGGGAGGTACGCTTCCACTCCCGTGTCCTCAATTGAATTGACTCAATTCAATGGCTACCATATCACTTCTTTTTAGAGGAGGTAGAATGGTGTTCAGCAAAGCGATGTACTGTGACTCTATGAGTGATGAAAGTGTTGCTAGAAAGGTTAGGGCAAATGCCCCATTTGATGTTAAAAAACAGTTTGACTACAGCTATGTTTTGTTTCATGATTCCTGGCTTGATTGAGTGAAGCATATTCTCAATTGGAGAAATTATCATGAAGTTGATGCTAAATATTCTCTCCATTGAACTGATATGCTACACTGCTGTCTCTAATAGTGCATTGGTTCGTGTTGATGTTGTAATGCAGGCGCACGAAGAGCATCCTAATATTGCGAGTCGCACGGGACTCATCCAAGCAGAACCTAACGATCCACTAAATCGTATGGAACAGGGACATACAAAGCGTCCAAATCAGCTTCCGGAGCAGTCAGACCCGTATCGTTCTGATTACATGATGGATGGAGAAGGGATACATGGGGCCAATGAGATTATTAGAAGGCATCATAAGCAGAGAAACAGAGAATCTGTTGGCCGTGGAATCATAAGTGCAGAAAAGACACAAGAAAAGCCTCTGAACCAGTTCAGGCATCAGGCACAAGATCAACATTCTAGCTATGCTTTTCGTATGAAGCAGACACATCTAGATCATAGAGATAGAGTTAATGAAGTACAGGCAGATTCTATTGATCCCACAGTTTTTAGTGAGTCAAGATGCATTGCGCTGATTGATGAGACTACTGCAACGCGTATAAATTGCACAACGGTGCACTCTGTTGGACCCAAACCTATAAATGTAGATAAGAATCAGGCACAGGCTCCCAACTCCAAGCGGATCATACAACAGGCACAAAAACAGCCTTCTTATATTGCAATTTCTCAAGAGAATGCTCAGGATAAGCATGCAGATGGTGTGGTTCATGTCCAGGAAAAGCAATTGAGGACTGCAAGTCAAGTAAACCATAGACAAGAGACATGTGCTCAACTGGACAATCAGACTGTTGCAGGGGATAGCAGTGGGAGAATTAGATGCCCGGAAAAAGAACAATCGGAACCTTTTAGCTGCACAATTCGCAAGAGAAAAACGAAGAGTTTGTTGGCTAATTCAAATTCAGGTCTTGAACTTAGGCGCAGTAAACGTTTGGCCAAAGATTCTCCTGCTGCAAAAGACAAAAAACACAGCAAAAACAAGTCTTTTGAGCAGCAGGTTTCTCAAAATGACCAAGTATCTGCTGCAGTCATGGATACTGAATCAATACACAGGGATCCTGTTGAGAGGCAAGCTGCATCTTCAACTGGCCACATGCCAGCTGCCATCACAGACAGTGAACCATCAGAAAATGAGCCTGATGATCTGTATATGCCTTCTCCAGATCAGAGTTTGTCTAACTCTCCAGATATCGACAGAATCATTAACAGCATATGCCCTAGTTCATCCCCTAGGCATATGACCCCTGAAAAAGTCTCTAATGAGTTTGACAACGTCCAGTTAACTACACCACCACCTTCCGATATCGACATGTCTGATCCTGAGCATTTTGCATGTAACTACGTTCCGCAGGAAGTTAGAAAGGCCCTTGCGAAGCTAAGATCTAGTAATTCATCATTTGAGCGTGCGATGTCACAGGCAAGTTCTGGTGATGTGCATGCATTAAGTGATTCTGAAGATTGCGACGAACGCTGGAATGTTGGTAATTCACACTTCTATTGTCCTTCACTCTTATTATTATGTGTTGCACCATGGAGAATAAGTTTTCTTAGAAAGAGATATTTTCTTTGGGATTATGAATCTTATTAAGCAACAACCCATATCCTTTTTAACTCAGTAGGCTATTACGCTTCACTCTTATTATTGTGCCTCACATTAGGGCGAATAAGCCTCCATATAAAGATAAAATATTTTTCTAAGGATGACGAATCTTATTAAGCCCTGGTACATATCCTTTTGAACTCAGTGAGCCATTGTCCTTGCTCTTATTATTGTCTATTTTACACTGATGAGAATAAACCTCCTTATAAAGATAAAATAATTTCATTGGGATTATGAATCTTATTAAGCAATGATGCAAATCCTTTTAAACTCATTAAGCTATTCTCCTTCACTCTTATCCGTTACACTGCTGAGGGTAAACATATCTATAAAGAATTCTTGGGGATTAGAAGTGTTTTCTTTCTTTGGAAATTAGGAGCAGCGATTATGAGTCTTATTAAGCTATAATACATATCATTTTGAACTCAGTAAGCTATCTGCCCATGATTACCATAGTTGGAGGGTTTTTTTTTTATTATTTTTTTTGCATTTTATCCATGCTGAATCCACAGAAGAATGGAGACTCGTGGGTACCGAGAGGAACTTGTCACACTAAAATATTCATTTTCCCATGTAGACCACTAAACATATAATAAATTGGATTTGTTTGAAACAAACTGTTCACACTCCCCTGTTTCATTATCAAATCCTGTTCATTTCCTTATTCATACTCTGTCTATAAAGAACACCACCATTTGACAGCTGTTCTTGTTATGCTCATCTGATTGTCTCATTGTTTTTTTTTCCTTTCAAGCAGGTACCAAGAGGAATCAAGGGTGTGGTCGTGGTCGTGGTCTTACACTCTGTCTCAAGGTGTGGAATTTGCCTAAGGGTGTCCGCATTCCAGTGCTATTGAACGCTTCGGGGGAGCCTGTTGGGAAAGAGGCAGGCACCTTATCTACCTTTCTGGGTGCATTAGCACGTGACGGAATATTGGCACCTCTGACACATCAAGATTGGAGACGTGTTCCAGAGAAAAACAAGGATGTGATGTATCATATTGTCAAGGTATGCAGTTTTATATGGTTACTGCTGCTTTCTGTGCCTTTAGTTTCTTCTCTGACACCCCTTGTTTGTTGATGTAGCTCAAATTTGACATTGCTCCAGCTGCTGAATTCTGGATCATGAAGTGTATAGGAAGAAAGTGGAAGAGTTGGAAAGCTCTCTTAAAACAAAAACATTATGATACTCATGAAACGGTGGAGGAATGCCTTGCTGATCAAAATCCTCGCGTTCTCAAGGAACAGTGGCAATATTTAGTTGCATATTGGGGTACGGAAAAAGCGAAGGTAACACCGACCATTCTATTTTCTTGCCATCTTGTTTGCAATTTGGCAGGCTTGTTAAATGATTGGTAACTTTATCTTTGATCAGGCTGTGAGTAGTCGAAATAAAGCTTGTCGGGCAAATGTAACCGCTACGCATACTGCAGGAACAAAGAGCTTTGCACGGATAATTGAGGAGGAGGTAATTAAAATCCTGTTGCTTTGCTTTCACTATCACCAATGACGTGCTAATTGTATTACCGCATGCAACAGAAGCAGAAGCGGCCTAACAATGAGGAGCCCACTGCTGCGGATTTGTTCCTATTGACTCATACACACAGAAACGGGAAGCCTATGAAGAAGGAAAAAGCTGATATCATTGTGAGACACAAGGAAGTAATTTATACTAATAATTTTCTGGTTGAGATCTGAGTTTTATTTTCCATGCAGGCACGAGTCCGTGAACAATCTCATAAGCAAGCCGAATGCTCAGGAAGTGACTCTGCAGCACACAAAGTCGGACTTGAATCCTGCTCCATTGGCCTGCGTGGGAAGAGGGGTCATCGTCGGAAGGCAGTCTTGCAGGCATCCTTCAAGGAAGCTGAGGAGGCTAAAAGAAAGGCTGAAGACGAGGCAGCGACGCTGAGGAAGAAGATGGTGGCAATGGAAGAAAGTCAGAAGAAACTGCAAGAGGATTTGGCGAATATGAAGAGTACAGTTAGTGCTATGCAGAAGACGACGTCAACTGGTGACCTATCGGATGGTCAAACGCAAAACTTTCCACAGGTAAATGGAGTATCCAGCTATAATCCATTTTGCACCTCCAGAAAGTATCTATCATTGTAACAGCTTATCCCACTGTTTCTGATCCGGAATCCATGCTTCCTCCTCATCCATTCCAGGTCCAAAATTCACGAAGCGCTCATGAGATTTTGCAGCCATATCTTGACTACTCTGCACTGTACGATCCTTCTGCCTCCCCTAGTCCACGATTTCGATGATAATCGCACCACAGACAATGCCAATATGCATGGTTGATTCCATCTTGATCGTGGAATGGTGTATGAAACGAAGAGGTTTAGACGTTTAGTTGGCCGTTCATGTGTAATGTTGGCTCTCTAAACCCGGAGCCCAGTGCTTGTACTCTTCTGTTTTATTGGCTACTGTAACAGGATACTCTCTTCTGTTTTGTTTACACTGACTAGAACTACTTCACTTCGCATTTCCCTTCCTGTGAAATGATTTTGGGCGTGTTTAGTGAAGCTTGAGATTCTGAGAAGCAGTTAATTGGTAGCCAGTTTCTGAGAATATAGAAAAGTTGGGTTTCTCAGCTTCTGCCTTCGAGCTTATAGTTCATTTTCTGGATTCTATATCTACAACTTCTCAGAATCTGTACCAAAACATAGACTATTTAAGGGAGCTTTTGGTTATGGGAGAAGTTGCAGCAGCTAGAAACTCCCCCAAACATACTCTCTATAGGGTTATACCTTGTGTTTTCTAATTGTACTACGAGTTGAATTGGCAAAAACGCGACGAATTTTCTGTGCTTCAAGGGCTGTTTTGGATTGAAGCCAAAATGCGCTCTACCAAAATTTTGGTAACTTTGAATAGTAAACATGCTAGTTTGAATTGAAACCAAACAATTGGTAATGCCCATACTCAATTTGATCACATTCTAGAAACTTCTTCACCATACTAAACTTTGGTTTAATATTGGTATCAAACCAAACATGGGCTAGCCTACTTTACCCTACCAGAAAAAATTAGTATTAGTACCAAAATTTACCTAGATTTGGGTGTAGGTGTAGGGTAGAGAACCATATAGGCGGAGAAGTTTAGGGAAAGTTGGTAGTTTGAAAAAAAAAGTTGGGAGTTTATGTCTGTAGGAAAGTTTTGAATGTGATGTGATGTGATGTGATGGAAAGTTGGGAGTTGGGGGAAGTTTGGTGTGAACTAAACACACCCCAAGTGATGTTTGTTTGCCTTTTAGTGACGACCTGACGTCTCGACGGCCCAAACGTTCGCCTCCACACTCCGACGCTACTGCGCTGAGGGCTGAAGGCAATGGCGCCGCCGCCGCCGCCGGTGGCGATGGCGGTGGCAGCAGCTGACGAGGAACCCGACGAGATCCTGGAGGTGGGGTGCGCGGGGTGCGGGGAGACGCTGGAGGTGGAGCGGGGGCTGACGGAGTTCGTCTGCCCGGACTGCGCCACGCCGCAGTCGCTCCCGCCGGATCTCATGCCGGCCCCGCCGCCGCCGCGGCGGAGGGCGCTGCCCCTCCCCCGGGGTGCCGCGGACGCGCGCGGGGCGCGGCTGCCCTGCGGCTCCTGCGGCGAGCTCCTGAGCGTCCCCGTCGGGCTGTCGCGCTGCGCCTGCCCGCTCTGCGGCGCCGAGCTCGCCGTCTACCCCGCGCGGCTCCGGAACTACATCCTGTCCTCCGCCGCGACGGCCGCCGTGCCGGTGCCGGTGCCGGTCGCCCCCGCCCCCGCGCAACCCATCCTCGGTGGCCGGGAGGTGGGTGGGTTGGGTTCTGGTCAAATCAAATGCACCATTTGGCTTGTAGCGTTCGATCTCTCAACATCGACGAAATCTCAGTTCAATCGAAGCTAGCCGAGCTAGTACCGACGTTTTCAATCCATTGCTTTACCTTGGCTAGGGTTTTAATTGCATCTCCTTCTGCTGTGATGCAGGCATGGCAAAGGCGCCCTAATTCTGCAGTTCGTTCAGGATTTGCCCGAGCAGAAGCTGATGATAGACTATTTCCTCTTGAACGGTCACGGATACAGCATCCCGATCGTCTTATTCATCTACAGCAGGATGAAGAAGAGTATCCTGATGGTGTGTTTGGTGGAGAGGAAGCTCATGAGATTGTTTCAAGTAATATCCAGCAGAGGAACCGATGTTCAGTTGAACCTGGTATTGTAAGTGTGAAGAATAGGTTGTTGCCGATAAAAGCGGCCAGGCATCAGGTACATGATCAGCGTTCAAGCTACGGTACTCAGCGAAAGCCGGCACAACTAGCACGCCTGCATAGAGTCATTCATTCAGAGGAGGTACAGGAGGGGCCTCTTAGCCATGAAGTTTATAGAGAAGCAAGCCATGCTGAACTGATATATGAGACTGCTACAACTCATAGCAACCGGAGAATTATGTGCTCTGTTGCCCCCGAAGCTGTTGGGAGTGTAGATAAGAGGCGTATTGAACACGATAATCAGATCACACAGAAGCGGCAAAAGCATACTGCTCATGCAATTCGTGCAGAGCACACTCAGGTAGGGTGTCTAGATGGTGCGATTCATGCAGAGGAGGCGCAACCGGAACCTGTTGACCAAGCAAATCATGGAGAAGAGGGATGCATTCAGGTTATAGATAAAACAACTGCAAGGGGTGACAGTTGGAAATCTGGATGCTCAGTTAGACATAACACTGTTAGTGCAGGGAAGAGAAAAACATCGACCGCCGATCAGGTCACAAAGCAGACACAAACAAATCAATCTTATGCTAATGATGCAGAACATGCACAGATAGAGCATCCAGATCAGGAAATTCACGAGGATGTAAGTCAAACGACTCATAGAGAAGCCATGTGCTTTCGACCCAGAAAAGATTCTTCTGCAAGGCATAGCGAGCAGGACATTGTACACGTAGTTGATCCTAAAAATAATGTTAACAAGAGACAGATAGAGCCACTGAGCCATGTTATACAGCACACAGGACATACCTCTGATATTAATAATCATGCAATGCAGGTGGATTTTGATCCTCAGAGTAAGCATATTGGAAGAAAAGGCAAACCAAAAACTGGAACTGGAGTTGACTCTAATTTGACCCTAAAGAACCAGGATCTGCTAGTCTCTCCGAATCAGCTTAGCCATATAAATCAGAAACACATGCCCCCCAATCATGAGGCTCAGAAGAAGCATATTAATGTCGAAAATTGCAAGCAGCCTTCTAGTCAAGCCCGGGAGAAGAACAGGAAGGGGCTGATGGCTTCTTCAAATTCAAGTCTTCATCTTAGGCGTAGTAAACGTTTGGCCAAAGATTCAGTTGCTGTTGTAGAAAATGAACCAGTTGAAAATGACCCTGTTGACCTGCAGGTTTCTTCTCCGAATTGCCAGGTGTCGGCGGTTGCTATGTCTAGTGAACCAATAGAACAGGAGCCTATTCTGCATCAGTCTCCTTCTCCAAATTGTGAAGTTTTAGTATCTACGACAGACGCCGAATCTGTAGAAAGTGAGCATCACGAGCATTGTGCTTTTTCTCCACATCAAAGCATGTCTGACCCTCCAGACATTGACAGAATCATTGCTGGTCTTTGCCCTAGCACATCCTCTGTTCATGAGAAGCCTCGGGAAATATCTAGTGAACCAGATGACCCTGATTTAGCCACAACTCCTTCAAATCCTGATATGTCTGATCCTGAGCGTTTTGCTCAACATTACTGTCAGGTATTCCCTCTAGAGGTCAGAAGGGCCCTTTCAAAGAAAAGATCTAATTCATTACTTAATCATCTAGTCTCCGAGGAATGTTCCGATGAGGAATTTGTGCATGATTTTCCTGATGCGGAGCAAGCACGTGATTGTCAGAAGCCATCTGGCCAGAATATTGGTAATGTGTATTACTGTCCCTTTTTTTTAGATGTATTACTGTCCTTTGTTGTTACTGTTATATGTTGCAATATCACCAGTGGACCTGCTGATAAACTTCAGTGCTATTACTCCCACTTATGATTCCCCAATAGATTTTTTTTTAAAAAAAATATAGTTGAACCATGAAGAACAGGGTAACCAGTTTAACTTTCAAGGGATAATCACCAGTTTATTATCTGAAAGGGTCTTAAACACATTTTTAGTTATCCTTGGGCGCCATAATGATCTGTTAACCACACCTTTTCTATTCATGACACTGGTACTCCACTCCAGTCTGTTGTAAGTCAAAAACGATGGTGAGAGGAATATTGCTGTTTTAAAACAGAATAACAGTACAAAAGGTTAGAAAAAGTACTTGGTCAAAACTTCATGTTAAAAGAATTTTGGAAATCATTGTCTAAGTGGAGGGTGTGGATCAAATTACCAAGATAGGATCACAAGTAGAATTTCTACAGAAGCTAAAATGACTACCCTTTTCAAGCAAGATACAATTTTGAGTGAATCCAGATGTTTCACATTTGCCATTTTATTTAAAGAAGTGCTGTTCAGGTGAGTTATTATACTTTTGTTTCAAGTAGGTAGCAAGAGAAAGAAAGGACACAGGCGTGGCCCTACCCTTTGTGTCAAAGTGTGGACCTTGCCTGAAGGTGTGCGGCTTCCAGTATCCTTGAACAATTCAGGTTTTCCTATTGGAAAAAATGCTGCCATGTTTGGTAACTTTCTGGGCACACTAGCGCGTGATGGAATATTGGCACCTCTTACATATAAAAAATGGAAAAGTATACCAAAGGAGAACAAGGATGTAATGTGGCATATTATTAAGGTATGATTTATGAATTATGATTACTAATACTGTTTTTTGTCCTGCCTATAGCTTCTTTCCCACTCCATGTTTGTCGGTGTAGCTTAAATTTTATGTTGCTCCATCTTCCGAGTCCTTGCTACTGAAATGCATAAGAACAAAGTGGAGGAATTGGAGGTGTAACTTAAAACGAAAACACTATGATTCTCATATAACTGAAGAGGAACGTCTTGCTGATTGTGATCCTCGTGTCCTAAAAGAACAGTGGCGATTCCTTGTTGCATTTTGGAATACCGAAGAGGCACAGGTAAGGCTGCACATTTCTCTTTCATATGTTGTAACAATATAGTCATATTTTGATTTTGCATCATGTTGGACGATTGGTACACCCTTCTCTTTTTCCCCAAATACAGGCTGCAAGTGCTAGATGCAAAGCTTCTCGAGCAAAATCAACCTATATCAGCTCTACAGGATCGAAGAGCTTTGCACGGATACTTGACGAAGAGGTAACCATAAACTATTCCTGTGTTATTTGCGTGACAGAGGGAAAAATAACCTGATGCAACTATACTATATGAAGTCTATTAGTTACACAAAAGCTTGCATTATTAAGTCCATTACTATATTTCACATGTGTATAAATTCGTACTCTTATTTTGTACTTGACCTTTTGAAGTGTAAAAGAACTGACATTTCTTTCTCCGTCTAGTCATGTTCTCGTGACAAGGCTCGTAAGCGCAGTGATGATGTCACAGCCATGGGTGAAAAGAGGAGGGGTAGGATGCATAACCATGAACCTGGGGCCAGCCCTAGTGGCCTGAAGGAAAAGGCAGCCCTTAAGGCATCCTTCAAGGAAGCTGTGGATGCAAAAGAGATTGCTGAAAATGAGGCTGCCACACTGAGGAAGAAGATGATGGTAATGGAGGAAAGTCAGAAAAAGCTGCAGGAGGATTTGGCTAACATGAGGAATACAGTGAGCGCCATGCAGAAAATGATGTCAAATGGTGGTTTGCCTGATGGATTGATGGGTGCATCAACGGCGCCTCCAAGTTTTCCACAGGTGATATCCTTATAACTTCTGATTTGAGGTATTACTATATTAGGTTGTTTGAAACTGTGCCATTTGTATCTAAATCAGAATTGCTATTTATCTTTTTACATCAAAGGGCCAAAATGCATCGAGCTCTCGTGATGATTTGCAGTCCCCCTATATTGATTACTCTGTGCTGTACAACCCTAACTCTTCTAGCCAACAAACTCGATGATTGCCTCACGGGTAATGTAATATCAAGCTCTCAATTATTCAGTGTAAATATGAAACTCAAACTAGCAAGGTTTCTAGAGGATGTCATTTACTACTGTCTTTACCACGTTCCATTTTCAGGTTGAACCTGGTTGGTGGATGCTCGAGTACACAGTGGAAGTATTACTCACATCCTAGCATGCTGATCGTGCAGGCGTCGCAAGGATCTCAGATATGCTGCATCTGCGTTTTCCATTTAGTTGGTTGGTCACGCATGATAGCAGCTTTCTTTGGTCCTTCTTTGAGTTGTTAGGAGAGTAATTGGGAGAGTAATGTGGTTGGTCTTCCACTGTGTTCCATTTCACTTCCAATCTTGCAGATGGCATGTTTGAAATTTGAAAACAACAATATGTGTTCGTGTGTGTTGGTGTCACCGTGTCAGCATCTTCAAAACAACAGTCCCTTTTCTTATATCGTAATTTCAAACTGTATATGTAGTCACCTGGATGTTGTATAATTTGCGGAGATGGGGTAGACAAAGGGTGTAAGTGGCTAACCCACGAAACACACTTATAAATCAAAATAAGACACTTATCCATTTATTTTGACTTATAAATGACTCTATGGTTTAGCCACTTACACCCTTACATGGACAGAGGTCCTCTAACAATCTTTTATGTAGGGTCATCTAATTAACTAGACCTAGGTATGAACTAAGTAATACGGTAGTGCGTTAGGTCTTCTCCAAGTCTCTTGGCTTTTATCTAAGCTAAATCTTGGCTTCGTTCTTCTCCAAGTCTCTTGGCTTTTATCTAAGCTAAATATTGGCTTCGTTACGTACTCCCTCCGTTAAATAAAAAAAAGCTTAATCTAGGAACCCCTTGGTTAAGTATTTTTTGACGAAAGAAGTACATGTGATAAAATTGTCGTATTATCTAAATTGAAACAACTCTCCATTTCCTTTTCCATTTTTGTGAAAGAACAAAAATGGAGCCTCTCTTTGAAAAAACAAAATGGTTACCATATGGTCAAAGTTTGAACTATTAAAAATTAAAAAAGAACCCTTAAAAACAACTCCGGCAACAAAAAGAACAGAGGTAAAAATGTAACTAAAATTCAAGCACCAAAATCCCCTCTTATTTGACGCTAGCAGTAAAAATTTACAATTGGCAGCAGGAAATCTTTTAATTCTCGGACCAGAAGACCAACCGACCAACCCACTCGCTCCTCCGGCTCTGCCGTTTCGGTTTCCTCCCCCCTCTTGCTCCTGCTTCTCCATAGCGAGCAAGGAAAGGAACCCGACCTGCCCCCCTCTTCCTCTCTCACAAACCCTCGGTCGCCTCGCCTCGCCTCGCCGCCGATGGCCGGCGGCTCCTCCCCCTCCCCGGCCGCCGCGCCCATCCAGGTGCGCTGCGCCGGATGCCGCGGCGTCCTCGCCGTCGGCCCAGGCATGACCGAGTTCATCTGCCCCAAGTGCGGCATGGCGCAGCGCCTCCCCCCGCAGCTGATGCCCAAGCCGCCGCCCTCCTCCTCCTCCTCCGCCGCCGCGACCCCCGCGCCTCCCGCCCCGGCGGCACCGCCGCCGCCTACGTCCCGGAGAGGAGGCGGAGGCGGCGCGGCCCTTCCGCCCCCGCAGGCGCAGGGGGTGGACCCCACGAAGATCCAGCTCCCCTGCGCCAACTGCCAGGCCGTGCTCAACGTGCCCCACGGCCTCGCCCGCTTCCGCTGCCCGCAGTGCGGCGTGGAGCTCGCCGTCGACCTCGCCAAGCTGCACAACTTCCTGGCCTCCTCCAACAACAACGCCGCCGCGGCGCCGCCGGACAACGTCCCGCCGGCCTCGGGACCCGCGTCGCGGGCGCCTTTGGTGCCTGCGCCTCCGCCCGCCCCGTTCCCCCCCGTGCCGACGCCAGGCATGACGCAGGCGCCGCAGATGGTGCCTGGCGCGTTGATCCCGATGGTGCTTCCCATCACTGATCCGCCTGAGGAGATCAACGAGGTATGCTGTTGTGCACTAACTTGCTCTGCCATTTTGTTGGTTAGTGTATACGATCTTATTCGTTAAGGCTTGATGAATGCGCTTTGACCTTTGAACGGTGTTAATCGAGGCAATTTTGGACCGATAGTTTATCATAACGAGAAATTCTGTTTGTAATGGGCTATATATTCGCTAGGAAGGCAATTTTGGTATAGTTCCATTTATACTTTTATTATGCATGAAATTGGACAATTGTTTTGCTTGAGATGATAACGAGGGCTTCACATGACATAATTATGTACAATCTGATTTCCTTAATTTTCATTTTTAATGGTTAGGGCAATATTTTTTCATTTCTGGTGATTGGCTTTGGCTGGTCGGTTTCAATTTTTGAATTCATCTGCTTGGTCGTCCATACATTGTTCTCTGCTCTTTGGATGTGTACAGCAGGATTTAAAAGTTTCTGCTGATTAATTTCAAACTGTACAATGTTTTACACCCATAAACATTCAGTTTCTCTGACATTGTTGATGCATGCTTCATATATTGTATTATAATAGTTTACCAGGTTTACAGCCTTATATATTGTATTATAATAGTTTACCAGGTTTACAGCCTTTCACTTGCTGGGCTTTTTTGTCAAGCAGGTTGCAATTGATGTTGAGCGTGAAGAAGATGAAGGTGGTACTGTTGGAGAAACGTTCACTGACTATGTAAGGATTCTATGTACTTTAACAGCTGATTCTTTACTATGCATAAATATTCGTACACATATTTATTACTGTGATTCATATTTAATTTCTTGAGAATTTTTCCCATATTTTCACTTGTTTCCAGAGGCCTCCCAAACTCTCTCTTGGTCTGCCTCATCCAGATCCAATAGTAGAAACTTCTTCTTTGTCAGCTGTACAGCCTCCTGAGCCAACTTACAGCTTGAACATCATGGATGAATTGGATGAGACAAAGGCCTTGTCTTGCTTGCAAATCGAAACATTAGTTTATGCTTGTCAGGTTAGTGCCATTCTATATTCTTCTATGAAGTTTTATATGTCACACCTCTTGTAAATCTTTATGTTGTTGTATGACAGCGGCACCTTTATCATCTCCCTACTGGTGATAGAGCAGGTTTTTTCATTGGTGATGGAGCTGGTGTTGGTAAGGGCCGGACAATTGCTGGATTAATATGGGAAAATTGGCAACAGGGAAAGCATAAGGCAGTGTAAGATTGTTGCCAAGAAACAACATTTAGTGATCTGATGAATTCATAACAATATCTTATAGTTATGTTTCCATGCTTCATTGTTTGATTCTAGTTGTATTATGGTTGTATTTTCCAGGTGGGTATCTATTGGCTCTGATTTGAAGTATGATGCTCGAAGAGATTTGGATGACGTTGGTGCAAAATGTGTACAGGGTATGAAGCCAATTAACTCATAAAATTAAATTTTCACCTTAAGTGATCAAAAGTATTTATGGTTGATATGTGTTTGATGTTGGGTTTTTTTTTCATGCAGTGCACCCTTTAAATAAGCTACCATATTCTAAGCTAGACTCAAAGGCCATTGGGATCAAGAATGGGGTAATTTTTGTAACGTACAGCAGCTTGATAGCATCATCTGAGAGAGGTCGTTCCCGTTTGCAGCAATTGGTTCAGTGGTGTGGACAATGAATTTGATGGTCTTCTAGCTGTTTGATGAGGTAATAGGATTTGCTTTGAACTTGTGATAGACAGCATGCCCCCCTCCCACCCACGCACAACACTCCACATCATATTTATTTTATAGCCAGATCTATATTGATAAGTGTATTTATCTGTGCTGAACTTGTAAATCCCTTACAGTGCCACAAGGCCAAAAATCTCATTCCTGATGCAGGGAGCCAGCCCACTCGCACTGGTAAAGCTGTTCTTGAAATCCAGGTTGTACATGGATTCAGCTATTCAACTGTAATCTTACTGGCAAAGAATTTTTCTCTCTATTTATATACTGCCTTGAGTTGATGTGTGCAAGTAGGGATGGTCGCGGGCTGCTCTTTGGGTACCCATGCACCCACTCTAGTTCAACCAAATGAACTAGATACTAAAATGCATTGATTTTGTTGAGCTAGAGTAACGCGTACCCACGGACTGATCCACGTCTATAGCTTGGTGCAGTTTTAGGATCAGATCCATCTATGAACCCTTGAAGTTGGGTTTCACAGATCAACGGCCGCAAGTCACTAGGCCAGTAGATCCATCACATACCAAAATGGGTGAGTCCAACTTTGAGTTCGGACCATGTCATCTTCCCTATCCAAAAAATGGTTAGAAAAACCTAGGTGCTAGAAGTTCTATGTATACTGTTTTGTTTATTAATAGATGCTTTCATTTATCTAATAGGGCATGATACGTTCATTTACTAATCCAGTTTGCTTGCCAGTATCTGAATGTTGAACTAATCTGTGAAACATTATTTTGGGTTGATGTACGTTTGTTGCGCTAATATGGTGACATTACCAAGCATCACAGGAAAAGCTACCTGAGGCACGGGTTGTTTATTGCTCGGCAACTGGTGCATCAGAACCACGGAATTTGGGCTATATGGTTCGGCTTGGACTTTGGGGCGATGGAACATCATTTCAGAATTTTGCGCAATTTTTAGGTCTACTTCTTTAACCTATTTGTACTTGAATCCTTCTTTTCTTTTATTATTTATTATTTGCATTTATTTTAACTTCGATACAAAAGAACAGCTTGGCTTTTCATGTTGGCATCAAGCATGCTGGTCAATACTGAACCCTAGTAATGGGCTATAAATTGTGGCTGTACTAGACTATTTTGTGGGGGATCACCAGAAACTTATGGTTGAGTCATACTAGTAGAGTTGTGAAGCACTGTATTTGGTTTCTGCTTCCCCAAGTAATTCAAACTGCATTATAAATTTACATGTATTGAGTGTGCCCCGTCTCCATTGCTGGGCTTCCAACACTTGTTTAGGGCAATTAGTAGTTATGGTTTTCGGGGTTGTATACTCCAGTTTTGATTTTTCTTGGGTGTTGTGTAGTTGGTAACTGAAGCATTGCATGTGACGTCATACTAAATGCTATCATTACTCACATTTTATGGAAAAAAAACATAGGATCTCTCGAGAAAGGTGGTGTGGGCGCTCTTGAACTTGTTGCCATGGACATGAAAGCCAGGTTAGCATTTTTTTTTCCAAGATCTTTAGTTCCATGGGCATGAAAGCGTCCATCTGCAATGGGTAACTGTTGCCACTAATATGTTTTGTCCAATGTTTTTTCTGTATATGGAAAACTGGCTAGTAGCCTTCGAAACCTTTTTTGGTTCAAGTATTGTCTCTTGCTTGTGTTTTTCCCCAGAATGATTTATTGAGTACCATCTCTATAAAATTTGTTGCAGGGGTATGTATGTTTGCCGCACACTAAGTTATAAGGGGGTTGATTTTGATATTGTGGAGGCTCCCCTTGAGGAAAGAATGATGGTAAAAAGTGACTTTCTGCTACTTTACTTTATTTCAAGATGCATTATTGCTTTGCTCTTTTGTGTCTTCTCTGTATCAGTGTTCTCTTTCATACTCTGATTGCTTATCAAGAAAAAACATTCTTTGAATTATTCCTATGCATTGATCATTGTTACAATATTAATATTAAACTTAAGCTAGTTGGTTTTTCCTATCGTATAGCTCATGGTAAAGTTTCCATCTTATTGGTAATGCAGAATATGTACAGAAAGGCAGCCGAATTTTGGGCTGAGTTCCGCCTTGAGCTCCTATCAGCAGGTGAATCATTTACAGAAGGCATTTCAAATCAAATATGGCGGCTATATTGGGCTAGCCATCAGGTGTTACCTCCTTACATATTCTGAAATAAATTTCTATCAAACCTTTTGTTTTTACTTTGCAATATTTGCATCCTTCTCAGTTCCATGAATGCATTTCTAGCATAAATATTACCCCTGATTTAGCATATTCAAAAGTTGACAAGTAAACTTCTAATATGAAATAAAGAGTAGGGTGGTTAATTATTCTTGCAAAATTGATTTTCTATGTTATACAGCGTTTCTTCAGGCATATGTGCATGTCTGCAAAAGTACCTGCTGTTGTGAAGTTGGCTAAGGAGGCCCTGGCAGAGAATAAGTGTGTGGTGGTTGGTCTTCAGAGCACTGGAGAGGCTCGAACAGAAGAAGCTATCACAAAATATGTGAGCTTATATTTCCAAAGGAACATTTTATTTGTCTCTTCATCATATTGTAGCGCCTTCCTAACTGACCTAATACTCCGAATTATTGATTGCTTCCAATATGAACCAGGGTGTTGAAATGGAAGACTTTGTTTCTGGTCCTCGGGAGCTGCTTCTAAAGCTGGTAGAAGAAAATTACCCTCTACCTCCGAAGCCTGATTCTTTTCAACAAGGTCCGTGCTGACTGTTTCATCATACTAATCTCAAGTTTTACCATATCTTTAATGCAATTTCCATGTCTACTAAGTGAAATGCTACTACCTAGAAGGTAGTATAAAGTCAAATGGTCTTTCTCTTTTCCTAATAAACTGTACATCTCATATTTTGTCAGCCCTTTCTGCTTGCATAAACAAAAGCAAATTTATTGGAATTTGGCCATTTTTCACTTATGAAATTGGGCTTAGTATCCTATAGAAAATGCTATTTTGCATATTCACTTACATTATCTCATCTTGTTTGTTTATAACTCATACGGCTCTAGTTGCCTGGTCTTCTACTATTGATTATTATTTTTGTGTATATTTTTTTAGGTGAAGAAAAAGTCACAGAAATTCACCGTAAGCGGCATTCTGCCCCAGATGTATCATTTAAAGGACGTGTTAGAAAAGTAGCAAAACTGGTAGAAGTGAGTGATGATGACAGTGATGATTACTCTCCATGTAAGTTTGTTGGGAACTACTTGATTTTTGTTTCAGGTGCCAACCATGTGGCTAATCTTTATTGCTTACTGCAGTTGCAGATCGTGCTAATTTCTTTGATATATATAGTTCATACTAATGTGAAATGTTAATTTAAATCAAGGACTTCTAGTTTGTTTTTGACCAGATATTTATATAATTTTTCCTGGTAATCTTATTCGCAGAGTATGATAGATTGTAATTTCTTTTATTCTGGAAATACTTAAATATTTGTATCAATGGTTCTGGTCCTGGATACACCTGGCAGCCTGGCAATTTCATTGGCGAGAATATCATGGAACATTTGGTGATTGAAAAAGTAGTTTCATTAATCATGGCATTGGATACACCTTTTATGGCATGGGCAACTGTTTGATGTCAGCCATCTCTTGCTCCCTGTCACTTAGATGCTCGGGTAAGACGTGGAACAGAGAGAGAGAGAGAGAGAGAGAGAGAGAGAGAGAGAGAGCCCTTCAACTGATGGCCTTTGTGCACAATTCAAGGAGGAAAGGGATGGTGTGGTCTGGTAATATACTCAGGCGGAGCTGCAAAATTGTCAGGGGAAGCGGGTTATTAATAGCCTTGTATTGAAGTGGGCAAAAGAGAACTTTACTACTAAATTTGTTTAGCATATAAACATCTGCCCAAAGGAGTACATGGAGCGTAACAGTAACGGGTCCAGGACCCGACACTAGCCATCCCTTGTTTCAGGCATTTGTGGATGATCAGCTTGTTGCAAAGTGTCTTCTGGGGCCAACCTATGAGAGGACAACCTAGTTGTGTTGATGTGGTTGCCAGCTTGTCAGATCCACCTCACCATACTTAGATCGACCACGTTGAGCTCAAATTTGGTCATCCGTGGATGCGGTGATGGTGCCTAGATATGTCACTGGTGGTGTTAGCCAAGCATTTTTTTAGGGGGGCTGTTGCAAGCTAGTTAAGAGTTGAGACACTAGATCACGAATTCAAGTCTTATGAACTGCTGAATCATAAGAATGATATCTCACCATGCTTTTTTTTTTCAGTTTTAGTTTCTTATTCAATGTTTTAAACCACAGACTGTTTCTGTACATCAGCTAATTGTTTACTTGTTGCATCTGGTACTCTTGTACTATATAACATGATCTAGCAGGCATACTTTGCTCAAGTATATTTACAGAAATAAACTTAATACTCATAGTAAACATCTTTAAAACAGAAAGTAATGAATGTAGGAGTGAATAGGGTGGCATGATATGAATGTCACAACTGGGAAAAAATAACGGAAAGATGAATACTGAAGCAAAAAGCTAACAACGGTGCAAGAGAAGCATGGAACTTGCCTTATATCTAGGAGCTTTCTGTCTTAATCACTTATTGGGTTTAGATTACTTAGTGCTTCATAGGCACAGACATGGAACACTCTATAGGGCATAAAGGGAATGAGTTCCTCTATACGTCCATTTTTGTAGGATCAACCTTTTACCTGCTAAATCTGTTGTAGTGACTTGCGGGTTGTCCTTGCCGTGTGGTCATGTCAAATGGTAGTTGACTAGGTCGAAGCGTTTGCACCAAATTGAATGAGTTCCCCACCCCATCCTGCCCAAAGATGATTGGATGAGATCGCTAGTTGGCAGTGAATATGGAGTGTTGAATGCTATATTTTGTATACTAAGAACAGGAACTAGCCGAATTTCCTGCACGTTTGTGCAGGCTAGACTGTAGTTTATTTGAAAGTATAGTTGTATTTGCTATACAACTGTTTGGTTTCTTTCTGAAAATACAATTTTGTTTCCTATACGGTTTTAGTGTAATAATATATATCCATTTAACATACACCATTATAATCTGGACCCACCATGATGAATGAACACATAGATTAATCTCTTTTTTCATAACATGGTAATTTTTAGCCCTTGACAGCTTACACGGAAGCTCCTTTTCACCATGTTCTTAATAATAAAATAGATGCCAAATACAACGTGCAACAAAGTTCTTCTCAAAAACAGGACTATTTACTAACGACTACCCCAAAAGGCTGAAAATTATTTGCACATGCATTATGGTAGTTGTTAATTTGTTATGGTCTGCTGCAGCTGTATAGCTGCTGGAGATAATTGCTCTGACCAGCTGCAATCAATGCTTCACTATAGCATGATGTTTAAAATTTTTAAACAGTACAGTGAATTTGTGATCAACTATTCTGACTTCACTCATTCGATAATTTTAACCTAATGTATATGTTACAGCTGAGTCAGATCATGGATCGACAGAGTCTGATGAGGAGTTTCACATGTGTCAAATCTGTAACACAGAGGAGGTGACTCTTATGGCTTATTATTTAGTACAATAATGTCATATACAGATCCGTAATACCAAAAATTATTACTCTCTCCATCCCAAAATTTAGAAACTTTTGGCTATGTATCTAGATAAATGTTTGTCCAGATACATAGCTAGAAGTTGCTATATTTTGGGACGGAGGTAGTATATACAATAATGTTACATTCGGTCTGTGCCATGTTCTTTGACCTCAGTTCTTTTTGCTAGCTGGTTACATTTTCTGTATGTGCAATTCTTTCTTTTGTATTTGCTGAAACTATTTAGTATTTGATTACGATTTCCTATAGTTCAAGCTGGTAACCATACCACAATTGATTATTATTTGTAGAATGCTTACAGGAAAATATATTGTCCGTTAATGTTAAATCTCTTTGGAAGTGCACTGTCATTTATAGTTTTTACACAACAATATCTTAATTTTCAGGAGAAGACTCTGTTGCTTCATTGTTCTGGTTGTTCTCGACATGTTCACCCTGGTTGTCTGACACCACCTTGGACTGGGGTATTAACTGATGACTGGTCATGCTACACATGCAAGAAGTTAGAAGGAGAGGAAAATGAACAAGATGCTCATGTAGCTGATTTTTCACAGAGGTACGTGTGCGTTTGACAAATCAAGATCCCCATAAAATGCCCACACCCAATTATATAAATACTTGTCCTGTGCCTTGCTGTCAGGTATGATGCTGCAGTAGAGAAAAAAAAGAAGATTTTGGATATGATACGTTCTTTGGATCTCCCTAACAATCCTCTTGATGACATCATTGATCAGGTAATATTGGCTTACATCACCTGGAAATGTTGATAATTGAATCTGTGGTTATTTTTTAACTTTGAGCTTGCATTGACATCTGTTTGCACAGTTAACTGATGTGAAAGGGGCAGATTTCAAAGTTCAGAGTAGTGGTAGTACTGTAGTACTAGCATATTATGTTTGAGGACCAACCATTACAATTTTGGGCTAATCCTTTTTGCTGAAGTTGGGATGCAAATCCAAGTGAACTGCTAGACTTGCATAGGCCTGCTCAGCAGGGCTGGGCTGTAGAAGAAATTTGGACATCAAGATATTACAAAGATTCTTATGCAGCTAGCTAGGAGTTGTTACCCATTAACTCATATATACATGACATCTCTTCCATTTTCTTATCTTCTGGATGTCTGTTAGATGATTATCACAATAAGGTGTAGGTTAATGATGTTGCATTTTGGAGCAGGAGAAAGGGTGGTCAGATATGTCAAATTATATGTTTATTTCTTGAGTAAGCTCTTGTGAATTAAGCACCACTGTCATATCTCAACTAAATTGTTCCTGCATAGATATTCAATCCCTGTTTATTAGTTAGTTCTCCCATTTTCAGACCCATTTTGGCTGAAGATTATGCAATGAGCTTGTAATCATTGTCCTGACATATGTTTATCAGTGTTTAATTTGTGTTGAATTATTTTACAATCTTTTTCCCTATCTTAATTTTAACTCGTTCTAGTATTATTGGACCATACATATAATTAATATTTTTCCATTTTATTTGGATTTTGCAGCTAGGAGGCCCTGACAATGTTGCAGAAATAACTGGACGGCGTGGTATGCTAATAAGAGCTTCTGACGGAAAAGGCGTTGTTTATCAGGCGCGGAATGCGTGAGATAGCTTACTTGTGATTTTGCATTATGTTTCTCTGGTTCAACTAATCCCATACGTGTGCATTTTCTGTATGTAGGAAAGAAGTGTCGATGGAGATGATCAATATGCATGAAAAACAGCAGTTCATGGATGGCAAAAAACTAATATCTATTATATCTGAAGCAGGATCAGCTGGCGTTTCGCTGCATGCTGATAGAAGGGCAAAAAACCAGGTTTTATGATTCTTCATTTTATCCACATGTTTCAAATACACCAGAGGTTGGTCTGTTGTAATTTTGATGAAACTTCTTAATGAACTTTGCAGAGAAGAAGAGTACACATAACACTTGAGCTCCCTTGGAGTGCAGATCGTGCAATACAACAGTTTGGGAGAACTCATCGTTCTAATCAAACTTCTGCACCACAATATAGGTATGCTTTATATTTCTCATATGAGCCATCTCTAGCTTCTTGTAGGTCTGTGTTTCGATTGTCCGTATTGCCATTCAGCAAAACAAATTGCTAGAATAGGGATTTCCGTTATATTGTCTTCTGGTACTGTATACGAGTCATGAATGAAGAGCTAGGGCAGACTGAAATTTGTCAAGCAGTGAAGTAAGCACAAATCAAACATATATAGATAAAATTGCTGGTTTCAGTGTATTGTATGTAGCTATAATATGTGATGGCTGTCTGCTGGAACCTGTAACAATTAGTGACGTGTCTGTCTGACGAAAGAAATTTGAAGTCTCATGAATTTATTTATGTAGTCTTTAAAAATATCTAGCATGAAGGTGGGAATTGGGGACCAGTGCTGTGTACACAATATATTCATGTAATACTTAAATGCTGAGACAATGAGGCAAAGTGGTTATTTGATGTGGATGGAAAAATAATAGTCATTCTACTTTATATTGGTTATCCAGACTCGCTATTTTACTATTAATTTCACATGTTCACATGGCATGGATGTACATTTGCTATATAGATGTATATCTTAAAAATAAATTTGGAATCTCAATTGCAGGCTTCTCTTTACAAATCTTGGTGGTGAAAAGCGATTTGCATCAATCGTAGCAAAAAGACTGGAGTCTCTAGGAGCTTTAACGCAAGGAGATCGCAGGTTTTTGCTGATTTCAACCAATTTTGTATCGACATCAGCTAAATCATATCTTAACTGACTTCTACTTCTGCAGGGCTGGACCTTCTCTGAGTGCTTTTAACTACGACAGCAATTATGGGAAAAAAGCCCTAACCATCATGTATAGAGGAATAATGGAGCAGGTTTATATAATTACACTATAGTTTTTGAATATGTTTTCCTTTTCATGCTTTATTCACCATTCTAAGAGTTACTTTCAAGATGACCAGGATTCTTTTCCAGTTGTTCCTCCGGGGTGTTCTGACAATCAATCTAGCATCCAAGAGTTCATTGCTGAAGCAAAAGCTGCTCTAGTATCAGTTGGGATTATCAGGGATGCTGTAGTGTGTAAGTTTACCCAGAAACAATTAGACACTTTCTTTCTTCCATACCTTAGTGTTTGTGACTGTGTTGGACTCATTTAACGTTTTTCCTCAGGCAATGGAAAAGTTGCTGGGAAGCTTTCTGGTCGGATTGTTGACTCAGATATGCATGATGTTGCTCGTTTTCTTAACCGCCTTTTGGGACTGGCTCCGAAAATCCAGAATAGGTGAGATGCCATGCAGTATCCTGTAACTTGAGATGGTTGGACTATACTTACACATTCTCTATGTAACAGGTTATTTGATCTTTTTACAAGTATACTTGATGTTGTTTTGCACAATGCACGAATAGAAGGGCAGCTGGATTCTGGAATCGTTGATATAAAAGCTAAAAATGTTGAAATGAAAGAATCACCCAAGGCAATGCTCTTTTAGAAAACTTTTTGCTTTGTCTGCTCTGTGCTTCTAATCTGTAGATTCTTAATGCATTTTCTCCTTGCAGACCGTTCACATTGATAGCTTGTCAGGCGCGTCAACTGTACTTTTTACTTTCACCATTGACCGAGGAGTTACTTGGGAGGTAAACATACAACTTTGGTAGTCGAATTCTGTTTTTCCTTGAGAGACATGGTTGTAGCTGTATTTAAAAGTACAGTCCATGTTTCTTGTAAAACTGCAACTTCTATGGTTTTTGCTCAATTGCTTTTGTGAACGTGTAAAGACGGCAAAATCAATGCTTGATGAGAGGCAAAAGGATGGTGCTGGTTCTTCTAATGATGGGTTTTACGAGTCCAAAAGGGAATGGATGGGAGGAAGGCATTTCATACTTGCTTTTGAAGGGTATGTTGGATAATCATTTATTTATTCTTTAGTTCTTATCAGCCATCTGTTAGCAACTTAGCATTGCTAAAAACTGAAAACCCTTATTCAAATAGAGGAATAGATAAATAATGTAGTAGAAATTTACCATGCAATTGATACCGTGTGTATCGAGGAAAAAGACTGAATTGGAATATTAATCAATCTAACGCTGAATGAATTCTGGCCAAATGTGATTAGCAAAATAAATAAATAAAATGAAAAGGCACCTCATTATTTAGTTGAGAACTGCAAACTACGCTTATTAGATAAATGAAAAAAAATCTTTATTTGCTAGCAACTGAGGAGCATTTTCGTATTTCTATAAAGCAGTGGAAACTATACAATGTGCTAGTACTAGTTTTTCCTTTTGTCAACAAAAATAGTTGATTTGAAATGTGATGCTATGACCTGACTCTTTGTTCCATTTTGTTTGTGAACCAGCTCAATCGAAGGGATGTATAAAATAATTCGACCTGCTATTGGTGAAGCATTAAGGTATCTGCAGTTCATTATTATATATTTTTTCTGGTGTAACCTATTGTAAGAAAAATTTATACTGCATACAGCTTCATGTTTAATCACCATGTCTAGTAGCCTAGCAGGTACGATATGTTTATATAAAAAATGCTATTTAATTTTTTTTTTGGTTACACTCCATGTTTCTATTGCAGAGAAATGCCTTTAACAGAACTGAAAAGCAAGTACAGGAAAGTGTCATCAATAGAAAAGGTTAACAAAGGTTGGCAAGATGAATATGATGCTTCGTCCAAGCAGGTAATATATGAAGTATTATCTCCTTGATATATGACCATTTGAAGACTATTCTATTTATTTATTCTTATATAGAAAGGGTGTTTCCACTTTCCACCCATATATGGGTTGGGATCAGATGTAGGACCTCACACTGTAGACACCTCCAGCATAACCTGGAAGTTGTCTTTTAATGGCCAGGAATTACTGCACAGTTGTTCCACTTTCCACCCATTTATGGATTGGGATCAGATGTAGGACCTCACACTGTAGGCACCTCCAGCATAACCTGGAAGTTGTCTTTTAATAGCCAGGAATTACTGCACGGTGGCCTTGTGTGTTTGCTTTCAAATTGTACTGTATGAAAGAAAAGGGTAATGTGGGAACTGTTCCAAAGGCCCGCGTTGTTAATTAGGATGGTTCTCCTTCCCAACCCAGTTAGTTTGATTTGTTCCCTAGGATAACAGTTAAGGGCCCGTTTGGTAGGGTTTCAGATTCTGTGATTCTAATTCTGATTCTTCCTGAATCAGATACTGAAGAGAATCAGAATCAGTTAATTTAGGTGTTTGGCTAGAAACATTAAGATCCTAATGGGGGAAGCCAAAGACGTCCTTGGTCTATATAACCTCTGTACCAACGAGATATAGCTGAAATGGCAATCCTAATATTTGTTAGAAGTACTTCTGAATATGCACAAATATTTTAGCACAATACTTGTAAAAAAATACCAAGCTTCCATATGAGAAGTTAAAAAAACACGTCACGTACATTGCATGGCATCAAAGACAATGTCCATTATAATAATAGTCCACTCAAATTGATTCAGTTATTGCAAAATACCATGGTTACATATTTCTAAGGAGAGTGGAACCACCACAGTTACATATTTCTATGGAGAGTTCTTCCAAAATATATTCCTAACAGCACTTATATGAGAACATTCATCTAGATTGCCACAATGCAGTTGCTAGGTCATCACGAAATCTGTCCATAGACCTATCACTAGACTATGGAGTAGAGGTATCTGATGCATTTTGGGAAACAACATATCTTGCATATCTTGTTGGTATAGTTGGGACATAATTTGGATCTCGATCACACCTACGAAAATACTTGTCAGTTGTCGAATTCTGTCTTATAAAGTTGTGAAGACACATGGTAGCTGCAACGATCATTTCTTGCTTGTCCATTGCATAGGTAGGCATCTTTAAAAGGATCCGCCATTTCATCTTCCACACACCAAAGGTGCCTCAACGACATTGCATGCACTTGAGTGACATTGGTTGGAATACTCTTGCTCACCACTTGGTGGAGGACCTCTTCTCCATTCAGGAATATGGTACCTTTGCCCCTTGTATGGTGCCATATACCCTGGCCTATTTGGGTAGCCAGCATCAACAAGATAATATTTACCTACGATATATGCATCGAGTCAATGTTATATGGTACAAATAAAAGATAAAGCAAAGTGTAGATGATTTCAGCTAGTATATACCTTGTGGAGGGTGTGGAAATATATCTTTATCAACATCTAACACATGATAAAGGACGCTAGTATCATGCATAGACCCTGGTTGTCCAATAGAAGAATATGTAAATCGCATGTCAAAGTCGACTGCTGCCATCACATTCTGAGTAGGACTCTTGCTTCTACCAATGTATCTAACATAATCTTCACGAGGTGGGTTTGCTGTGATATGAGTCCCATCAATGGCTCCAATGCACTTTTTGAAATGTGGCCATAATCTTTTGTCATTCTTAATCCTACTATGAGCCCTTGGGAAGTTAGGATCTTTGGGACATGTAATCCTTGCACATACTAACCACACTCAATAAGACCTCTTCAAATTTTCTACTAATTGTTTCACCGGAATGCTTGAACCTATTTTGAACCCTTCTATTGGACTCACCACCTCCAAGTATGAAAAGAAAGATAGCAACTGATTCCATGGAGTTCATGTGGTTGGTTGCTTTCAGGTTATAGGTACTCACCAGCAAGTCATGCAATTTGTAGAAGAGGTCTGTATTCATTCGAAACATGTGGTGACTCTCTCCTGGAGTCCTCAGAGTCTCTTGTACCCATGCATATCCACTTAGTACTGACGTCCTTGGTTTATTTTTATCATAATACGTCATATAATATTGTCCAAGTAAGCAGGCAGCTGAAAAAAGATTGGCTTCCAATGCTTGATGATGACGAATAACTGATTGTATGGAAACCTCATCATCTTCATGTAGATCAGTACCATCACTTTCAGAAAAAGTCTCATTTCCATCAGTTTCACTAGAAGACATCTGGCACATGGAAAGAAAGTGTTAAGTGACAAGCATCAAGGCAAGTATAGAAGTACACATACAATTGACAACATCAATACATGTCGAGCAGCAATACAGTAGGTAATAAAAGTCAGTAGGCAATACTTGAAATACAATTGCATGCAACAATACATTAATTAAAGGAGAACTTGGTTGCATTACATGTCCAGTAAATAAAATAGGGGATAGTCAACACATCCAACAATTATTACAACAATAAAAAAAAATAAAAACACTACTTGGAGATAAAATTGTCTAAAGATACAGAGCAAGACATTTGTTGAACAAACACAACCATGCTAGGCCACTACTTGGAATACTTGGCCATCTTGGATTCATGTTTCATGGTGAGCCATGCAAATCTTTCTTCTGAATTATCCAAGGTCATGAACATCTCTCTCTCAGATTTCTTTGTGAAAATCTCAGTAGCAATGAAGTGCTCTTTGGTACCAAATACAGCACCACATTCCTTCACTAGAGCCATGACATCTTTGATGGCACACCCTGAAGTGTCCTCCCTCCTGACAAGAGACTCAACAGATGCGGCTGATTTCTCTTGGTTATCAACAAAACGACTCATTTGTTCATAGAACCAATATCCACCACTGGTCTTGGGTTTCTTGGCTTCCTTACCAGCTGCTGCCTTACCTCTCTTGGGAGGAGGTGAGAAATCATCATCGTTACTATCATCATCATCACCTTCATTCACAGCTTCTGTATCTACATTAATAGTACTGGAAGGTTGGGTTGAACTCTGCGGTAAATTTCCACTAGTAGGATTCCAGTGGTCATCTCCTGTGTTTCAAAGGTCTTCAAATATTTGTTGGAGCAAATGTTCATTTTGAATCCCCCGTAACTTAAACTTTGCACAACCTGGCAAATCCTAGAGGAACACCAAGGGAATAATCAGAAGAGTGACACAAATATTTGCAAAATCATGGTTAACAACTTAAACATCAACATTAATATGTAGCATACCTTCTTGGCTCTTGCCCACCAATCATCAGATGCAACAATAGTAGCCCTAGCTTGGTCCCAACCTAATCCAGTCTCTCTAGCTATCAGTTTCTTCCATAGATTATACTCATTCCTCAGCTTGCTCCATTTGTTCTTGAACTGCAGCTTTTGATAGCGTAAGCCAGTCTTTTCTTCAAATTTTGCAATCACATTATCATACCCCACCTTGTTCAAATGGGTATTTGAGCGATTTCCTATCCTAACTTGTTCAGCGAACAACTCACAAACTATCCTAGTGTTTTCATCTGTCCATTCAGCATTATTTGCACCTTGATTTTCCTCTACTACTGTTGCTGCCATCTGCAGTACTTATGAAATAACACATATGCAAATCAGAGCACAGATGCACATCAAAACTATTTAGACATACACAGATCAGAGTGCAAATCCACATCAATATTATTTACACACAAATCCACATCGCAGTGAGCAATTCAGTTCTACTATTTTGCACAACAGTACAACATACAAAGCTAATCAAATGGAGAAGTTCAGGACATGGTACCTTGCCCAGTCAGTGCTGGTCGTCCTGTTTAGGGAGCTCGACGGAGAATGGCAACACTAGCAACTGGTGGCGTTGTCGGCCTGGATCTGCAGGGCTGAGGGAGAATAGGGGAGTGGCAGGATGGAGACCGGCAGTGGTGTCGAAGGTGGCTGGATGGTGGGAAAAGGCTCGGGCACGGGAACTGTGGTCGGCGATGTCGTCGGCGGGAGAGGTCGGCGGCGATGCGGAGCGCCGGCGGGGATGGCGGCGCTGGATGGGGAGCGCCGTCACCTGGCTCCCGCAACCCTAGCACGTGATGTCGATCGATCTGCTCGGGTGGATGGGGAAGGCTGGAAAGAGGGGTATACCCAGTGGCAGGCGGGTAATTTTTTGGGAAAAATATGGGGACTTTCATATTTGGTTGGTTTGATTCTCAGCAGAAGCTCGCTTTCCGCCGATTCTCCCTTCCTTCGTAAAAAAGGGAATCGATCCCGGTTGATTCGCTTTGGAAGCTGAGGGGAAATTGCCCGTTTGGCTCAGCTCCAACCGATTCCTGCTAGAATTGCTCCTAAGAATCCCAACCAAACGGGCCCTTAGTTGTCAAGTATCTTACTCCCTTCATTCCATATTATAATATGTTTTGGGTTTGTCCTAAGTCAAACTTCTTCAAGTCTGATCAAGTTTATAGAAAAATGTAGCAACATCTACAGCACCAAATTAGTTTCATTAAATACACCATTGAATATATATTCTTTAGTATGTTTGTTTTGTGTTGGAAATGCGGCAACATTTTTCTATAAACTTGGTCAGACTTGAAGATGTTTGACTTAGTCCAAACCTAAAACATCTTATAATATGAAATGAATGGAGTAGTTATAAGGTAGGGAAAGTTATTCTTAGATAAATTTGATCTGTATTTGTTAGGGGGGAACTTTATATAAAGGGGCATATTGTAATCATTGGAAGTTAAGCAAGATTTGAAGATAATAATTATCATTGGAGTACTTAGCAAGGTATATGGCGCTGACAGTGTTTTCCCATTATGATCTGAGGGACATAACACATCCTTTTTACGATGTTGATTTTTTATATACACGCAAAAATTGTTGAAGCATAGAATATTTTGTTCAAGCAGGAATATTTTGTAATTTCATGGCCACGTGCATCTGTTCATCGTGAATAGCAATTTGTTTGTGGATCTGTTGTGTTTTATTCCCTTTGAGGATGAAGCTCATTTTTCCATAGTCCACATACAGTTCCTCCTAATTTACTTTAGGATGATGAACGGTTGAGCTGTTACTGTGTCTACAACTTATCTAGTGTCTTTTTGCTTCATTTCAGTGTATGCATGGATCGAAATGCAAAGTGGGAAGCTACTGTACAGTGGGAAGAAGGTTGCAAGAGGTTAACATCTTGGGTGGTCTCATACTTCCAGTTTGGGGTACAATAGAAAAGGCCCTAGCTAAGCAGGTTCACTCCTATGCCACTTATTCTAAAGTCTTACGGTTGCTACTTTTTCATCTTAATTGAATGGTGGGTTCCGATATATTCAATGGGTTGATATGATTTTAGATCTTCCGATCTTGGCATTGCGTCTCTTGTATTGGCTCTTGTGTCATCCGCTTTTTCCATGTAGACACAAACTTCTCAAAGCTCTGGAGTCTCTACTCTTTAGTCTTTAGGGTAAGGTAAAGGGATCCCCTTGAAAGTACCTTAAAAAAATCTATTTGATGAACAAAGCTAAGAAGTTAAAGGACAGGCAGTAAAATGGTCTTGAGTGTAGCTGGATGGCAGGGGCAGTAGCACAGAGCTTCTCAGGGCATTAACTAAAGTTAGAAAGAGATTTGGTGGATTCGAAAATAAGGGGATAAAGTTTGGTGTTAACTTGAATCTCCAATACTTAATAGGGAATGATTCCTTCATCAACACAGAACATACACCATAGTAATAATGATGATCTGGACATATTTCCCTAAAAGAATCCTCTGAGGCTCTGACCTTTCTACCCATCAAGCAAGAGCTAGATGATTTTGTCTAAAGCTAAAAGTAGAAGTCCAGTATCTCACAATAAAACAAAGTTACAGAATGATTTACTCTCTGGATTTTTATGCTTTAGCTGAATTGGTGCATGATTGTTTGATGTTTAACGCCTCTGTGCCTTGCTGCTGTTATTGAGCAGGTTCGTCAAAGTCACAAGCGAGTACGTGTTGTCCGTTTAGAGACAACAACTGACAATCAGCGAATCGTTGGACTACTCATTCCGAATTCAGCTGTGGAGTCAGTATTAACAGGTTGGTTATGATTTCCCAGAATTTCCTGTCAGATGGTATTTGTTGTGGTTAGTGTCCAATGGGGAGAATCAGGTACGGCTTGTGGTAGTTGAACTATGGAGATAAAATTGTGCAACGGTAAACTGAGCTACTGTTATATCATGGAGCTTCTTGGGCAGCTCATTTGTTTGTGGATGGCATTTTCTAGTAAGATTTCATTCATTGGGCTCTGCCAAAAAGAAAAAAAAATCGTTGTGGAGAAATCAGAAGGACCAGAGGTGGAATGTGCCAGTATTTTTTTCTCCTTTTCCAGCACTTTAAATGTTGAACACTCTGTGTGGATTCTGGTCACTTCCATTCCTCCAATGCCATGTATCATCTCAAATCAAGACCATATTCTTATTTATGAGAGTGGTAAACATTATGTTATCCTTTTGCAGGCTTACAGTGGGTCCAAGATATTGATGACTGACATGGATAGGCTTGATTTGTTTTGTTCACATTCATATTGGTGGTGTCGATCGCTTTCTGATGTTAGATGCAGCAGCTCAGAGGTGCGGCACATTTGATTTTGTTTTTTTATTGAGCCAGCAAGCTAATATGACTAATGTGACAGTGTCAACTTAGAAATTAGGCAGGTAAATACACCCTCAACTTCTGTATGTAAAAGATGTGGTGTACCCTACCCCCCTCTTTTCTATTTCCTTGTTATGTTGTATATTGGGATGTAAAACAACTAAACCCCAGCTTATATCAGAAAAAAGAAAAATGCGAGGGCGCACCCACCAATATGGCGCCATACTGTTTCGGAGGAATAGGCCACGGTTGCTTATTCCCTGCATATCATCAGAATGAAAGGTTGTCTATACTCTATACCATTTTTTCTGTCCATAGATGTGTGCAAGTATTACATATCGTCCCATCGGGAAAAGATTAGTCAATTGCAATCCTCCCATTTCCTTTTGGTTGTGTTGATGTTGAATTGGCCTTCCTGGTCCATTTACTGGTTGAGTGATGTACCTGCGTGGGATCGTTAGACTCTTCCTAGTGCGTGGTGACGGTTTTACATTGCCATCTTGATTGTTAGGTGCGGGGAGAACGAATGCATGATAGCGATTACTCTTATCCCTTTTTGAGTTTCCATAGAATCAAAATCAGGCGTTGCGGAGTTGTTGGTCTCGTTGATCAGATGACAAGATTTTGCACTATGAGTTAACATACTAGTATGACTTGTTCGCAATGCGATAGGTTTCAGGAGAAAAGAAATAGTTAAGCATATTACCTATATCATTTCCCCTAGAAGCATCTCAATTGTTCTTGTGGAGTTCTTACTGAATGTATTGCGAAATGGTTAGAAAGTATACTTGCTTACCGATCACTCATGACTGCGACTAAGGTATCTTTAATTTGTAGGAAAAACATAAAATTTTAAAAGATTAATCAAACATAAAATTTTAAAAGATTTTAATCTTATAGAAAAAGACTAGAAAAGCCTTTGAAACAATGATTAAATCCTATCTTATCCTTCAAAATTCTTATGACATTAATAATCTTATAAAGATTTTGAAGAAAACTTAGTAAGAATTTCAATCTATTGAAAAAAAAATCAGTCTATTTTATTATTTGATTCCTACGTTTTGTCTGTGGCCCAGTTAAACAATCATTCTCGCGTTTTTTCTACATTTTTCGTTTTCTCATTGCTACAATCCAAAGGATGCAAGTCATGCATCGTGGTGGCATCTCATCCCAGGGTGTACTGCTGATGTGCAGCCACATCTGCAACTCAGGCGAGGCGTGTCACTCACTCACCTGGCTCATCAGTTCCTCCCTGACCTCTTTGACGCCGCCCAAGACCCTTTTTTCTCTTTTTTTTTCTTTCATAACTCGCCCAAGACCTCACATTTATTTAAACCAAAGATAGGAGTGGCTAGCGACATGAATTAAATTTAAAAATATACTATTTATTCAATTTATTTTCAAAAATATTCGTGATGTAAATTTTATTGTAGAAATATACCATCGATCTCGCTCTACCGTTAAGCGAAAATGACGCAGAGGTGACGTTGAGGGCGGTATTGCGCGGAGAAAACGCGAGACCCCGCGGTCTCGCGCGGCGACGGCGCGAGAGCGCGGGAAGGACGAGCGGTCTCGCTCAAGCAGAGAGCGACACCGTCCTAAACTGCATTAGGTTAGTGACTAATGACCTAATTAATTATTTAACTAATAATAATTAGCGATTAATTAATAATTAATTAATCGTTAATTATGGTAATTAATCACTAATTAACCATTTTGAAATCCGGTATCGCTGATTGGTTAAGCGAGACCGAACGGTCTCGCTCTTCTGTTTCGCGAGACCGCGCGGTCTCGCACTTTCCTAGCGCGATACCGCCCATGATGTCACGTCCACGTCACTTTCGCGTAATGGTTGTACGAGATCAACGGTATATTTTTGTAAAAAGTTTTGAATTCCGAATATTTCTAAAAATAAAATGAATGAATAGTATATTTCTAAATTTAATTCCTAGCGACATCTCGTTATCCATTAGCTGAGATTCCCTACTCATTAGGTGATGTGTCGTCACGCGACGACCTTTGGTTGACATGCTGGCCGCTGGCTCCACTTCCGAGCTATAGTAGCGCGCAATCATGGAACGCACTCGCGCGCGGGCGCTACCACCACCCCGTCGCAATGCAATCTCACCTGATCTGATGATGATGATCATCACGCATCCGCGGTGGCGAGTGGCGACCGACCCCGGCCCATCGCTGCCCCGGATCTATCAATCCTGGGTGCGTCGTTGGCCGGGAGCACTTGCCGCCGATACGCTCATACGCACCGGCCGGGCGTTGTCCTCCTATCTCCCGTAGCCGTGAGCGCTGTGCTCGCCGTGAGAAAATGGATATTTGACCACGTTTAAAAAAAGGGTTTCGCTAGAATACATCTCGAAAGTACGTTTCGTTAAAACTTTGCTATTTTCTCTATTTTTACCATTTTCACTGTGATCACACGCTCCATATTGGCATTTCAGCGAAACATGTTTTCGAGATGGCATTCCAGTGAAACCGCTTTCTAAATGTCCATTGTCCATTTTCTCTGCTCGCCGTAGCTCGCAGGATTGCTATTTTGCAACTCATGGCCTTCAGCAAATGCGGAAATAGGACGGGATGAAAACAGGTCGGGAACGATACCATGAAATGGTTCTCGGTTGTCTATCGATTTTCCATGCATATCCGTCAATTTAACTATTTAGCACCAAATTCAATATAACACTAACAGAAAATAAATTTAAGTCAATTAGTAATTTTCGGTACCATTTTCAAATATTACTTCACATATTCTAAGATGTAGTTGTTTCTATACTTTACATTTGTTTCGAAATAAATCTATTTCTTAATACTTTCTCATGGGAAAGTACCCTATCCGTTATAAAATATAAGGATTTTTAGATTGTATAACGAACACTCAAGTTAAGTCAAAAGGTTCCTTTTTAGTCATTTTACTTGTCATTTTTTTTATTTTGAATTGCTTATGTTTCCTTTTCGAGTGTCTGATTAGCTTTGTAATCATTGAAATGGTAGGAGCCATGAAAATCAGTACATGAATGCTTATATTATAATACTTCCTCCATCCCGTATTAGGTTTATTTTTTTCTCCTCTTATTTGTCACAAAGTAAGTTTATTTTATACTAATTATTGCATCCAAGTTTATACATGTAATAATTGTATTAGGAGTAGATAAAATGAGAAATAGTTCTTTTTAGTTTTGTATTGATATGTGTGGAATGGGTGAAAAATGAACTTATTTTGAGACAGAGGTGGTCTAATTTTAGAATTTAAAAATACTTATATATTATAAAACGAAAAAAGTATTACTTACTTCGTCTCATAATAATTTCATTTTTAGTTTCTTTTATTTGTTTCAAAATAAATTTATTTTAGAGTAATCATTGTCTCAGAATTTATAAAAGTATAGAATAGTTGTATTGAAAGTATATAAAGTGAGAATAGTTGTATTGGTATTGGTAAAGTTAGGATATTCTTCTTTTTTTTACTAACTTTCTATTGGTATATACAAGATGAATGAAGAATAAATTTATTTTGAAACAGGCGTAGTACTAGATTCGTTTTGCAATGGCAACGCGAAGATCCGTGACTTTTGCTGGCCCTACGGCCTGGCTGAAAGAGACGAGCGGGTTGCCGTGCCGCTCGTCTAGTCATCTGCTCCCCCACAGGGCGACCCGGTCCCACCTGACAGGTCAGCCGCTCCAAGCCAACCCCAGACACAAGACACAGACACAGACAGGCCGTGGACCGTGGACGCGAGCGCACGTGCCCCCCTGCGTCGCCGCGGGCCGGGCAAGCCCCCCACCCAACCCCTCGTCGCCTCACGATTTTCCTTAAGCCTTTTTTATTTTTTAAATTTTAAAAATAAACTATTGCAAAATCTATTTTTAAAATCTAAACCTTTTAATCAGGCCACTAATACACCACACACAACGGGTGTGACAGTTTTTTTTTTGCCACACAAACAATATTGTTACGTCAAGCAGATCGACGCGAGCAAATAGAGTTCTCGTGCTAGCCAGATCAACGTGATATCGTTGTTTTGTCACACCGGTTCGACTGGCGTGGTTAAAATGTTTAGATCAAAATAAGTTTTTGAAAGGTTTATTTCAAAATTTTCTACTATTATAAAAATTAAATATGTTTTTTCTGGTATTTTTTTATCATAACACAGTGGGGGAGGCCCCACGTTTTTTCGGGTATTTTGGTATTGAGTTGGTTTTTAAGTTCGTTCGCTTTTGGAAATACATATCCATATTTGAGTTAGATTTTAACCTCGTTTGCTTTTGAAAATACAAAAGGAGGGGTATAAGAAATCCTTTTTAAAAAAACCCCACATGCTAACTTGAAGTGAAGTCAGACTACTAATTGCAGCTCATGATTTTCTTAAAAAAAATATCCAAGCGAAATTTCACAGTGAATTTACCCTAGCTAAACCGCATAACAATAATAAGATTAAAATAGAATTCACCCGTTGTAACGCACAGACGTTTTTTCTAGTAAAAAATAAAAATTAGAAAAGTTCAAAAACCGAATAAAAAAATCCCTCGCGCCTTTGTAATTGTAGCCGAATGCGATCCTCGTATCGGAACGGGTGGTGGTGGCGGTGTCCGGGCCCCGCCGCGCGGTGGCCGGCCGGCCAGGGCACAGGCCACAGGCCCTGCACGCCCCGCCGGCCCGGCCGGCTAGCTACTAGCTGCTTGTCCTCGCGTACGTCGTTCTGACCGGCAGGCTACCGTCCACCACCGCGCGTCCGCGCCCGCGACACAGCAGCAGCGGCAGCCTGTGTCCCCACGCGCGCGGTAGTAGACGACGACGGGTGATCCGACTGTTTCTGGCGCGGGTCAACCGGCAACAGAAGAAGCCAACGCAGCGCATGGTCCCCTTCCCCTCCCCCCGTCGCCCTGCTGTGCTGTGCTGCGCTGCTGACCCTGCCAACGCCAACGCCATGCCATGCGTACCAACGCTCCGCCGTTCTCCATACGTGCGCACTGTACCGGTGTACAGCACTCGGTACTCCCGGTACTTCCTCCATTTCTTTGAGATGTGTGATGTGATACGGTTGATTTTTTTTTCTCAAACTTAGACCACAAATATTTATTCGATTATTATTTACTCCATCCGTTTTAAAATATATAGAGTTTTGATTGAATAGGACGTATTTTTAATACTATAAATCTGTCCCATACAACCAATTTTTTTTATATTTTGGAATGGAGGAAATATTTTATTTGTTTTAGAAAAAATAGCGAATAGAGTATCTTGTGATACTATCAGAAAAAAAAATGCTTTGGTTATGCCTAGTATGTTTATTTATTTGCATAAATATCTAAAGAAATAAATAGATAAACGAATTAGAAGATTCTGATGTGTCATATATTGGAAAAAACAAAGGTAACATCCCCTTTATATTAGAGAGTCATTTATACTGTACGTTTGTACAACGGGGTTACTCATCTTCCGGAACAGATCTACCCACTGCTACTCATACATTTTCTTTGTTTTTTTCTTTTTTATTACAATTAAGATGTATACATATAGATAGGGAAAGACCCGGAAAACCATCAAACTATCAAAGCCAAGGATGAACTAATAATTTGCTTAACAATCTTAATATGTATACGATTTACAATGGAATCTTAAAGGATTAAGAAAACAGGTCTATGGCTGGACTCTTAATTGTCCTATGCTTGTCTTCGCAACTGTTGTCGGTGATATGGGCCCGAGGATATCATGTTTAGGGGAGTCAGGCTCGAGGTGGGGTGGCGGCCACTCCTTCCCAAAGACTAGTCGGAGGAGGCTGACCCCAATACCACGTGGCCCTCCCCAAGGGGAGTCAGGCCCGAGGTGGGGTGGCGGCCACTCCTTCCCAAAGAATAGTCGGAGGAGGCGGCCCTCCAATGCCACGTGGCCCTCCCCTAAAGGGAGTCAGGCCCGAGGTGGGGTGGCGGCCACTCCTTCCCAAAGACTAGTCAGAGGAGGCCGCCCCCCAATGCCACGTGGCCCTCCCCCAAGGGAAGTCAGGCCCGAGGTGGGGTGGCGGCCACTCCGTGGCCGAGACTAGAGGGATAAGGCTGCCCCAGGCGCCACGTGGACCTCCCCGAGGGGGGATCGGGCCCGAGGTCGGGCGGCGGCCGCCCCCTCCCGTGACTAGGGGTCGGGCTCCCCCGACCCCCTCTCTAGGTCACCACGTACGGTGGGTTAGGTGCCTGCCTACAGGTGCCCACCTACCCGCATTTATGGCGACCCGAGTGGTCGCGCCGCGTGCAGTGTACTCAACCGGTCGAATGACCCATGGAACTGGCTAGTGCGCCTGTGCGCTGCTCGTGTGTCAGGCGGCGTGCAGCCTGACATGTCCCATCAAATAATGATGGTGAGAGGTTTTCATCCTCTTATCCCAGCCGGAGTCGGTCCTCCCGCTCTGGTCAAAGCTAGGCTCCCGTTTCCCGGTGTAATAGGAGCCCAGAAGTCTTCACCCATTAAATGGTGAATGACTTGGGCGCCCCCCCGTGTCAGGCGGCATGGTTTGGTAGGCTCCACGACTGAAGCGACGTGTATGCGGCTTCCAAGTTAAGGAACAAGACATGCATTTAATGCAAAGATTGTAATACTTCTCGACGAAGTTAGGTTGTTGGGCCTATGTGGTAACCCCTTGAGGTATAAAAGGAGATCCAGGCCTAGTGAGAGAAGTCGGCACTTGGGTCTCGCAACCCCGAGCACTTGTGTTCTACACCCAATCAATGAAGCACATGAGTAGGGTATTACGCTTCTTAGTGGCCCGAACCTGTATAAACATCTTTTGTCTCATCGTCTTTGGGGGATTGAACCCCCTCAAATCACACAGCTTCGCTTACCAAGCCCTCGAATCTCACTCGCTGCCCCCGGCCGAACTCATAAAGGGAGGCCTCACGGTTCCCTGGTGGAGGAGTTCATTCTCCGCAACTGTATATATAAATATATAATATGTATAAGTTTTGACCACTAAACCCATCGAACAAATATAACATGGAGTCAAAAGAATAATTATATAAGATGCATTTTGTAACACCTATATCTATGTAATTGTGGATACCATTTAGGTAATATCGTGCACGGTGCACTCAAACATTAGCACCCACAAAAAGTCATAATATATCTCTTTTATTATTTTCTTTGAGGATACGAGAGAGTCATGCACCTTACGTTGCATTGCCCCTTTTGGAATAATTCAAAAAAAAAGTTTGCTGAAGAGAAGTGTTTTAAAGTGGAATACCTGCTATATATGGTGTCATGGAGTATGACACTATAAGCAAAAAAAAAAAATTGTGGTATCTTTAAGTTTGTTAGAAAAAGGCATAGCACAGATACAAAAGAAAATATTGTGTTCTTGAATTTGTTACATAATAAAGTATGACTTGTTCTTTTGGGACAGGGTCTAATGTGGTTATCCCATGCCAGCCTTTTGAATTGGTTTTTAGAAGCAACCTAACACGGCTAAGGAAGGGACACATGGAAATCATGCCAAGCTTTTCGATTTAGTTGAAATCATGGTATAGATACAAACGAAAAGACAGACTATCCCACCGTGTGCACCTAGCATTATTGCCATGGGTGGGAGCTGGACGAAGCTTCCTGGAAGCTCCCGGGCACCGAAACGAAAAACGATACCCAAAGGAAATGAAAATAGAAGTCAGGAAGCGTGCCGAACTGCAGATAGCAAAATATTTAGGTTGTAAATAAACATATTTAGCTTGTAAAATTTCTATCTTCTTTCCTGGTTCGCACAGGCATCGGTTTATCATCCAAGCCGTGAGGTAAAAAAGCCATCGAAATTTGGAAACCAATTAATATGTACGGATCATCTTGTCAAAATTCTACTCACTCTGTCCTAAACAAACAAATCTAACAAATCTACTACTAGATGTGACACATTTTAGTACAACGAATGATGTGTCATATCCAGTAATAAATTGGTTTTTTATGAGACTGAGGGAGTAAGTTGCATCTATCAAATAATTTGCAAATTAAATGTCTTCGTGTGATCAAATCATGTGATATATGAAAGTATTTAGCAAATAGGTATACCACAATTTACACAACATTGGTTTAGTTTGAGATAGAGTTATGTAGTTATGCCCATAAAAATTTGTAGCTATCCAATCAACACTGATTTATTTTCACATTTGGTATTTTATCCCACAAGGACATGTCCAAATCCAAGCTCGCCCTCATATTTATTTAAAAAACATATGTATTTAAAAACATGAACTTTAAAGGGACAAATTTATTGATTTTACAACTAGAGCAAATTCAGTATTCCGTGTTGATAAAAATAAATATGTACCACACTCGAAAGTCAAAACTAACTTAGTACGGAACTAAATAAGATATATTATTGTTATACTTACATCGTCGAGGACAATGAAGGACTTTTATTGGATGATTTGTCAATAGTAAAAAACCCAACAATTATTTCTGCGATATAGACAAATCGACATTTCGTAGACATACAATAAGTATTTGACACGTATCACTTCGAGCCATACCATTAATTTATACACGTAATCAACAATACTAGACAATAGAAAACTTTTAGGGAGCAATTTTGTCAATAACCCTTGAAGACGGATAAGTGCATGGTTTTATGCATATCCAAATATACTGATAGAATAACATTCCTACGAAAACATATCTGTTCATGAATCCATCCTTTTTTTTATTTAAAAAACTATTAACCTATTTTCAAATTTGGTGTTTTTATCACGCAAAGATGTGTCCGTGTCCATCCATATCCACGCCGGGCACAGCAATGTTTTCCATTTTCCAGGTTTTCCACAGCTGTGCGCCTGTGCCTGTGTGCGGCTTGCTTGCTTCATTTTCAGCCGATTTTTTTGCCCCCTCCCTGGTGTGGGACCCACTTCCAGCGGCTCTTCCACTCCACCACAACACAATCATCAAACCCCAACCGCAACGACTCCTCCTCCCTCTCCTCTCTTCTTCTTCTCCAACTTCTTTTTTCTCTTCTTCTTCTCCTCCATTCCATTCCATTTCTCCTCACGCTACCGCCACAGGTGTCCGCGCCGCGAGAGGCCTCGGGCTCGGCTGGTGGTGGAAGAATCGGATCAGGAGAAGCAAACCAAGGGATAGAAATTCCTCCCCCCAGAAGATCTCTCATCCCCGTGCGCTGCTGCTGCTGTGTCGTCGTCGTCGTCGGGAGTGGGGAGCGAGCGAGCGAGCTGGTCTGTGTCCGTGGTGATTGGACAGGACATGGTCGGGCGGATGGAGCGGCAGTCGGCGTCGTCGTCGGCGTCATGCTCCCCCTCCTCCTCCGCCGCCGGCACCTCCTCCTCGTCTTCGGCCTGCGGGGGCAAGAAGCGGCCCGACATACTCAACATGATCCGGGTATGTTTCCCTGCCTGCCTGCGTGCGCCTCTTCTTTTTTTTCCTACCTTTTTTTTTCTTTAATTTGACTATTTTGAGTTGTCTTCATGCGGTTCAATTCTTGGCTGCGTAGCAAAATTTTTGATTTTTTTTAACTTCGTTTACCCTCTTTGATGTGCTGGTGCCTGCCTGATTGAAAGGAGCTTCGTTTTTTTAGCATCTGATTAATATCCGTGTTTATCGAAACATCCACTCAGTTGAGCGCTCGAGGTCACAATAGGTAGTAATAATTAATTACCATTAGGAAAAAAAATAATCATTACCTTTAGGGGAAAAATCATAGTATTTTGTTTTTACCGGAGGAGGTTAATTAAAAGCTAAACATAGTGCAAGTTGTTAACTTGGAGTCACAGGATCTCCAAGTATGGGGTTGCAACTTCCAAGCAAAGTCGGACTTGTGCAACCCTCCGCTTCCTCCTTTTTGACTTAGTACGCGTGCGCCCATGCTGCCGTGCCAGCCGTAAGCAACTTGTACTTTCTTGGAGCCTTGCTGTGCACCTACTTAAGGAAAAGGATATACCTAGTAACTTTTTTTTACTAAATTTTTACTAACACTGTTATGCTATGAGTGCATCTAGATTTTTTTGTAACTTCCATCTACTTAAATCAAACGATTGAGATGATTGTTAGTAAAAGTTTAGTAAGAAAAATTTAGTACGTATAGCATTGCTCCCTACTTAAGCTTGTAACCTTGCTGTACCAAACCAGACCAGTTCATGCAAATCATTAGCCTTATCTGTGGTTATCGGAATGATGGCGGTAGTTGTCTTCAAGCAATCAGATTATGATATTAGTGCCCTTGTTTTTATATTTTAATGTTATGTGTTTCTGTCTGTTTATGAACCCAAACAAGAAAGAAAACTGTCATCTGTTCTTGCCTGCCTTGGGAAAGTTGCCTCTTGGTGTGTGTAGTTGATAATTGGTTTCTCAGGATTTGATTACACTGTGGTTAATGACGTGCAAGAGTCAGTAACTTGCGGTGCTAGACACCTGTTTTCACATGCTTACGAGTGTTATGAGTTCAGACCTGGACCACCCGTAAAGTAGCTCTTGAAGTATCCCTATTGCAGATATCGAGCAGAGGTTGGGGGATTATCGGCATGATCCTCAGGATTTGATCATGTGCGTTGTCTACTAAGTTAGGAGATTACATCACCTTTGGAAACAAAAAAGGATGAATACTACTCGTCTATCGCCTATGAAGTCTAATATTACCTGCAAATTGTGATTTTATTCTTGTTTGTTTTTCAGTTCTATGCCGTGGCCCCCCACTTGGACCTTAGAAAATGTCCTGTTGTTCATCTAATAAATGTTTTGCAGAATATTGTTTCGGAATAATATAGCTGCTCCTTGCATACATTATACCACTTTACAGATAGTGATGTTCTCCGAATAGTTTGGCAATAGGAAGGCTAGTACTGGACCATGTGCTTTTATCTAAAAAAAAATATGCTATTGACTATTTCTGTCAATTTGTGCAAAACATTTTCTGACAAAATACATTCTATGTTTTAGAACTACAAAAATGGTGAAAATGTTATATTACTATTCTCAGCAATCACAATCCGCAGTCTTCATTGATGAAAATGGAACTTTCCTGTTCCTATGAATAGTCTATTACTATTATTTTCAGGGATGGATTATTCTCCTTTTTTAAATCATGGTTTGAGATTTCTTACATTTGTCTATCAGCGGCAAAAATGTTATTTGTCATACATAGAGACAACTAGACATTGCTGATTTATCAAGGTCATAACTTGTTTACCAAAAAAACTCTGATTTGCCCACAATTTCAAATGAAAGTTCAAAGCCAAGGAAAATGGTGTTCCACAAGACTAGTTTTTTCTGTTCTTATTCATTAACACGAACAATACTGTGAATGCTGCTATTTGATACGATTACAACCTTCAACCTTGTTTGTACAGTGAACTATTTTTTTCTTTAAGTTTTTGAGAACTTGTGCATGCTGATTTTGGTGCCATTTTCATGGAATCCTCACACCTCCTTTCTTCATTGGTCTTGTTTGGGTTATCATCAGTGTGTACTGACATTAATTTGGTTTGCCTGATTTGTGTATGGTCTTAAAGAGTGCAACATGCCTTAATTCGTCATCTACCGATACCGGCAAGGGGAGGAGTAAGCAGTCAAGCAACAAAGTGACTCATGGATTCCACTTGGTGGAAGGGAAATCTGGGCATGACATGGAGGACTACCATGTGGCAGAGTACAAGTATGACAAGAGCCATGAGCTTGGTCTCTTTGCCATTTTTGATGGTCACTTGGGAGACAGTGTTCCAAGTTACTTGAAAGCTAACCTTTTCTGCAACATACTGAAAGAGGTAAGCATTACTTTTTTGGTTTTTTTTATGTGCCTGCAAAACTACGAATATGTGTTATTGACGTTCATTCCTTCCATTTACCTTACAAATGTATCTTTTGCTCACCATTTGCCTTTTCTGATGTTGCAGCCTATCTTCTGGACTAACCCTCAGGAAGCAATTAAGAATGCATACCGCTCTACAAACAAATATATTTTGGAGAATGCCAAACAACTTGGACCTGGTGGTTCAACAGCAGTTACTGCTATTGTCGTTGATGGAAAGGATATGTGGGTAGCAAATGTAGGTGATTCAAGAGCTGTTGTGTGTGAAAGAGGTGCTGCTAATCAGCTCACTGTTGACCATGAACCTCATACAACTAATGAAAGGCAGAGGATTGAGAAGCAGGGTGGCTTTGTAACAACATTTCCTGGTATGATTTTTGTTGTTCAGCTGTCTCATCACTGTTCTTGGTCAGAAAATAAAAAAGTTCATGTTACTTAATAATTTATTGTATGACCTGTTTACAGGTGATGTTCCCCGGGTAAATGGTCAGCTTGCTGTTGCGAGGGCCTTTGGGGACCAAAGCCTCAAGGCGCACTTGAGTTCAGAACCTGATGTTAGGCATGTACCAATAAATTCAAGCATAGAGTTCGTCATACTTGCCAGCGATGGACTATGGAAGGTTGGTACTATAATTCCTTAAAACTCTTGCCTACATTAATCTTGTCTTTTTAATGCTAAGAGTTTATAAGCATCTCCATTTTCCTTTCGCTTCTTCTGTCCTTGTATACTGCTTGTTTTTACCATGCTTCCTCTCGGAGCAAAAATATCTATTGTTTAGTTAGGACCTGTACATATCATGGTTTCTTGTGCACTTACCATGTGGCAAAATGCATGATCCTCGTGATCTCCATGATTAGTCATCAATCTATATTTGAGTATTCCGCCCTTAACAAAGTACATCCACAAATCAGTTGCTAAATCTTATGATCTTGCTCAACTCAGGTAATGAAGAACCAGGAAGCCGTCGATCTTGTGAAGTCGATCAAGGACCCCCAGGCAGCAGCGAAGCGACTGACGACCGAAGCGCTTGCGAGGAAGAGCAAGGACGACATCTCCTGCATCGTCATCCGATTCCGCTGCTGAACACCCGCTTCGCAACATTGTCTCTGCGTTTCTCTTCGTTCCGATTGAATTTGTGTGGTGGTGCTGAAAAAAGATGGTTTACCTATAGTATGTAGCTGTTGTGAACAGACCCTAGAGATGAGATATGTTAGCAAGGACAAAACTGGAGATGTTCAAACTTGTGGGTTCAGTAGCGAGTAGTGAGTGTGTGCAGGGTGGTGGTGGGCGGTGGTGATTCGTCTGTGCATACATACACCAGCATAAACTGTTTTATCAATCGAACGGGGCGTGCAGGTTGTTGCCGTTGTGTACATACATTGTTGCTTGGTTTTGGCTGTGAGTTGTGAAATGGTAGTAGTCCCAGTCATGTGTCATGGCAAAGGTTCTGTACATTGCAGCGAGCGCTTTCTGCTGCAGGCGGCAGACGCGATCCCGCGCGCTCTCCCTCTTGACTTAAGGAGAGTTTTTTTTTTTAACTACAGAACGGTATACCGTTTCAACTGATTAGATGACATCAGCACGATACCATGCTGACATCATTATGGTATCTTCAGTACCAAATATGATACTACCTCTGTTTTTTAATAGATGACGCCGTTGACTTTTTCTCACGCGTTTGACCATTCGTCTTATTCAAAAAATTTACGTGATTATAATTTATTTTGTTATGAGTTGTTTTATCACTTATAGTACTTTAAGTGTGGTTTATATCTTATACATTTGCATAAAATTTTTGAATAAGACGAATGGTCAAACATGTAAGAAAAAGTCAACGGCGTCATCTATTAAAAAACGGAGGGAGTATCTCGTAGGTATCACGTTATCATGTTACCTTCGGTACTAGACATGATACCCTGTGTCAAGGTTATGGATACCACATACCTAATAATAGTTGATTAAATCTCGGCAGGACCCACCACATACCATGTCCTATACGGAAACAATCTGCGGATATAGCAGGAGTTCCGGATAAGGAAGGACAACCAGAGTTCTACATGGAAACGACGAGGACTACTCGGATTGTATGCATATTGGTTTCCCTAGTTCTACTTAGACAAGGGGACACCTATGGGTATAAATACAAAGCCCCCTAGGAGGAGAGGAGACACACCCACCATAGAAGACACAATCAACAGACACGGGCAACATAGACGCCACAAAGCCACAAGCCAATACAAGCCAACATACGTCAAGACAAGACGCCGGATATCGACTTCGGAGATAGGCACGGCTAATCCCCTACGGTGTCTCCGGATACTGATAGGAGAGACATTGCGCTGTCTTTGATCTCGCCGAGCACGAACTCAAAGAGAAAGACTACCCTGTTGTCGACTACGAGTCAGACCTTCAAACCGTCATGTCGACAACAGTTGGATAGGCTACCCCAAATATAGTACTGGTGTGATTATGGTGAATAAGAGCAATACCGGCTTCGGCCAACATGATGTAGGGTTATTACCTGACAATTCAGGGGCCCAAACCTGAATAAAAATCCCTGTCTCCGTCTCTTTTACCTCAGTCTCGCGTATACCCTAGTACCGACGATCCCCATACTATGCAAATACCAGAATCGCGACATCAATCGTCGACACCCTGTAGGTATCATGCTGACGTCATCATGACAACAGTTATTTCGTTGAACGTTGGAACGATATGCTGTTTTGTAGTATTTTTGAGAAAAACTTGAAAATACCTATAAATTTAGTTGCCTTGAGCAGTTCAGATTGCGTAAATTTTCGTGCAAGACAACCTTTTCCTCTCGCTGCACGTGCCACCTACTCTCTCTCTAGTGGTGTAGCTAAAAATTTTTCATTGGATAGTTCTACTTCACAAGTTCGCAGGGGTGGATTTACTGCTCGACAACCCTGCACAATGAAATTTGAATGTTTTTCGATGAATTAGAAGCAAAATCTTCGTAGCAAATACTTAATAATATTAGCCAGGCTCTAGAACTTATTTTGATCGGCCACTGCAAGTTCACATACATAACTAATTATTTAACACCGTAATACCCATGCATAAGTACAAATTTAGTAAAAGGGCGATACAAATATAGCAATAGTGCCTTGTAATGTCAAATCATCAATAATCGACTAACTTAAAAGCAAGTTCACAAACATTTTTTTAAAAGAAAATCAGGGTGTGTTTAGTTCACGTTAAAATTGGAACAATGTGACGGAAAAGTTAGAAGTTTATGTGTGTAGAAAAGTTTTGATGTGATGGAAAAGTTAGAAGTTTGAAGAAAAAGTTTGGAACTAAACAAAGGCTAAACAAAGGCTCAGTAGACTACATGGAATTGTTCATACTATGTTGAACTGTAGTTACATTTGATCATGCAACCCTCTTGACATTTCCCACAAGCCCATATAGCACAAGAAGCAGAGATGCAAAATTAACCTGAGAATAACAGTCGATTGCACAGAGAAGCCCTTTTGTTGAAAAGTATTGTCAGTTGTCACCCTTCTTTGAATTCAACGTATCTTGCATTTGATTGGTCCACATCTCAAATGAGAGATGCAGCAAACAAGGCAAAAAAAAAAAAAATGCAACAGCATAACACTAGAACAGTTTCAGACTTTCAGTGGAACAATGGATAACTCAAATCAGAGGATGACGGCTTAATCATTCGTCAGGACAAAATTCTATCAACGCATCCAACAACTCACAATATCCAAACCGGCAACTGGTTTTACATCATCACGCATGCTTGCTAGGGCCAGAGCCAGCCACGGGTCCTGGGCTCCGGCGCCGCAGGGTGATGCGCGCGGTCGCTGCGCCGCGGTGGTCTGTGCACGACTCCACCCTTCGCGGATCGCGAGCAGCCAGGCGTACAGCGGCAGCGCGCTCGGCGGGCGACGAACGACGGGGATCGGAGAGGCGCAGCTGCGGAGGCTACGAGGACACCGGCGGCGTACGTGCGCGAGGTCACGCGCGTCAGCGCACCAGCTGCAGCGACTTCCAACGACCCAACCCTAGCGCCTACCTGACCTCCACCACACCTCCCCACCCTCCCAACGCTTGAGCAGTAGCGAGGTGTCTCTACCCTACTCGTCTATCCCGTCTTTGCCTGCTCTCACCGTCGAGACGGATTGTGATCTTCTGACGTTGGAGTCAAAGGAACGTGCTGACTGACATGTGAACTCCACCGCTCGTAGGTCTACTCAGGAGGAGTTCACGTTAGATGATCCGCTTCCCGTCGAGACTCAACACCATCACTACCCTTGTGGCCAAACCACTCTAAAATCTGATGCTCCTGCCGCCTCATCCTTCTCCCATCCTCTTCTCCAAGTCCGAAAATCCTAACTCGAAGAAAAGCCATCTGGGATTTGGGTGCCAGCGCCACTGGCGGCCAAGGCTAGCTCGCCGTCGTCGTCGTCGCGGTTGAGTCCTCGCTATCTCCTTCCTTCCTATCTCTTCGAATTCCTGCCCGCCTCCTTGTGGAACTTGAAAGTGACTGAAATTCCTAGCATTTCCATTTTGGTTTTTGTCATCTTGACACATCCATCCCGTCGTAGAGTAGTTGCCAACTAACGTTCCATCAACATTGCGCGTTTCTGCACTTCTTTACGTGCAACGTACAAAGATTAATAGATTTCGAATAGATTTCGTTAATTACATGACACTTTCTAGTTATTACAGTGACATTGCATGGACTGTTATTTTATTTTTTTTCACACACACTGTTTCATGCCAAGATTGATGTATCTGGCGATATCACACGGTACTCCACCCTTAACACACTACTACTCCCATACGACGATAGTCGATAGTTGATACACATTCTCTTATTCGAAAGAAAAAAAAAGATAGACACGTTATAATTAGACATTAATTATTTTGTCGTGCATGGCCTTGTCAACCGAACACGTAGCTGTTGTCCAGCGACCTGAACACGGTGGGCTCCTCATCCATCGCCACCGCCAACTCCGGCGACACGTGCACGTACACCACCCAGTCGCCGTCGCCGCGCGCGCTGGGCATCGGCATCACGTACCCGGCGCCGGCGGGCCACGGGAAGTGGTACGACGCGAACGCCGGCGCGCCCGTCCCGAAGTCGGCCTCGCCGACGGGGAACCCCATCCCGGACGACACGATGCACGCCGCCGCGTCGCCGCCGCCGGTGCCGCCCAGGTACGCCCTCGCCGCCGCCGGCTTGGGGCGCCGCGCCTCCACCCAGTCGACGAGCCCGCGGAAGTGGTCGCCGGTGGCCGCCTCCGCCACCCACCGGTGCACGTCGCCGGCCACGTCGGCGAGCGCCGCGGCGCGCAGCTCGCCGGAGCCCATCACGCCGTACGGTATGGTCAGCACGTTGCCGAAGTAGGCCCTCATGGCGCCGTCCGGGAACATCCGGCCGCGCCCGTCGACGACGACGCCCATGCAGCACGGCCGCTCACGCTCCGCCGCCGCCGCCCTGGCGTTGAGCTGCCACAGGTGGGCCGTGAACGCCTCCAGCTTCGTGCGCCCGGGCCCCGCCGAGTCCTGCAGGGAGGCGGCGTCGGCGGCGGCGACGCGGTAGATGCGGTTGACGGCGGCCGCCGCGGCGTCGTCCGGTGGCGGAGGCGCGGAGCCGAGAGGGGCGAACAGGCGGTCGATCAGCGCGTCGGTGGACGGTGAGCGCGGCGGCGGCGGGTCGCGCGGCGCGACGATGGACCGGCGGAAGGACGGGATCGTCGGCGGAGGCGGCGCGGTGCCGCCGCCGTGACCATCGCGGGCGGCGGCGGCCCAGGCGACGAGGAACATGTTGAAGGAGTAGGCGTCGCAGACGCGGTGGTCGAAGGTGCAGCCCACGACGGCGCCGCCGCACTTGAACTTGGTCACCTGCACGTATATTAACCATGTGGATTAGTGCAGGTCAAAGAACTGACCATTTGTACCACAACAGGTCAAACAATATGATAATAATTAGTTAATTCGTCGATAGATATACCTTTCAGGTAATTTATCCTGCATGCATGAATCATATCAAGTCTACGTTTTTTCTCTCATGTTCTCCGTCTCAAAGAAAACATGTAGTAGGTTGATATGCGGTAGGTACGTCCATGTCACGTAAAGCACGTAAGTATATGTGTAATTAGTAGCCAGTGCTTGCTTGACATCATACACACATTTTCTTTCCCACATAATTTTAACGTCCAGGGGAGGGGATAACTTGATGTGATATTCAGTTATATATGCTGGAAACATATATATATACCAGCTTATTAGTTCATTAATTAGCTCTCCAGTTCCAGAAAAACAGCATCTTCATTTATTTTTTTTTTCCATGTGATAGATCAGAATTATCCTCACATACTAGTACTCCATCCGTTTCATAATACAAATCATTCTTGCATTTTTCATATTTATATTGATGTTAATAAATCTAGATATAATATGCATGTGGAAATTACTAAAATAACTTACATTGTGAAACAGAGGAAGTAGTAGTTAAGTTAGTTGGTAGATCAAATTCATATTTTTGAACTTTTTTTTAAAAAAAAGGGGCTTCCGGTAAATATATTTTCTCCCATATATATATATACCTGAACTGCCATGACGCTGGCGGCTTTCTTGGCGGGCACCAGCTTCTCGACGCGCTCGTCCACCATGCCAATCCGCAGCCCGCGCATCTCCTCGCCGGCGACCGACTCCGTGAAGTCGACGCCGCGGCCGCTGCACAGCAGCTCCGGCTCGCCGTCGCCGTTGGCCACGACCTCGCCGGCGAGCGGGTAGAACGGCACCAGCGCCTTCGCCAGCGCCTCCTTGAGCGCCGCCGCGGACGGCGCCGGGTGGCGGTAGCAAAGGAAGACGCTGACGTCGAGCGGCGGCAGGAGGAGGTCCAGGTTTGACAGCGGCAGCCGGTGCTCCTGCGTCGGCAGCGCCGGCGCCACCGTCGTCGTGACGGCGGCGGCGGCGGCCATGGCCACCTCGCCACCTTGCTCTTCCTTCACCATGTTGGATGGTATATACCTACGTGTGTAGTGTACCGGAGAGTGGAGACAGTGGAGCTCAGCTTAATTAATTAGGCCTGCAGATTCAGACACTGGATGGGTGTGGTATTTAAAGGCAGGGTGTTAGGTAAACTAGTGACCAACTTAGAATGCAATCCAGCTTAAAAAAACTGTTAATAGTACACTTACTAATCTGATGCTTTAGTCAGTTGATCATTTCATTATTAGTTCCTTGTCAGGTTAAAAAATCAGTTAAATTACTTTTGCGCAATTCACTTACCTAGCCATTTTTTTAAAGCTGGACCCCCCCTAAAGATTACCTATATTTTTGGAATACAGGGTTGGTGTACAACTATAGTGTCAATACTCAATACGTGTGGTTTGGTTGTAGCCCCCTTTCGTTTCAGATGAGAAAACACTGATGATTGTATATGCTCTTTGAAGAAAAAAGGAATACTCGTAGGACTTAAGAATAATATATGCTGCTCCCTTTATCCCATAATATAAGCGCACATGTTTTAGATTTAATTTTAAAACATTTGACTTATAATATGAATTGAATTTAATTTGCTGGATTTACATTTTAAGTTTACTTTCATATGATTATAGCTAGTTTCCTTGCTACAGATATTATAGTGTATGAAAGATTATAACTCAAAAATTAGTTTTGAAGACAATGCCTTATATCATGAGTAGGATAGATGGAATCTCTTTTAGTTGGGGAGAATTAAGATAAGTGACGCTGTAAACACTGCATAGATTTTTTTTTTAGAAACACTGCATAGATATTAGGTAGATAAATATTACTTCTATAAGATGGTTTTCCATTTCCTGCAGTTTCTCTAGCTTTCCTGCCAACAAATCTCTGTTCAGGTTCACAGTGAAAGAGCTTGGAAGAGAATCATAGAAGTCATGGTCACCTGACCTATATTTCAACTCTTGAAGCTTCATATCTCTGCTTCTGTTGAAACTTGTTTGAAATTGGGTCAAGGGTAGCGTTACTAAAGTTAGTTTTATGATGTTTCCTGCGTCGCAGTTGTGCTTAATTAGTTCTTATATCTGGATGTACAAGTATTGCGAGATGCTTTAGATGATCCTTGCTTTCATATTGTAGACTGGAGTAGTAACTATTTACAAATTATCATAAACATGAGAGAGAGAGAGAGAGAGAGAAAAAATAAGCCAATGTCCAGTTACAATATATAGCTTACTTTTTTCAACGATGTACCAGTTGAATACCCTATTTAGGAGAGCTTCTATCTTCCTTTTTATAGAATCTCCAACACTCCTAACTAGTTCAGATTATCATCTAAATTCTGACATTCCATAGTTACATAATAATAATAATAATAATAATAATAATAATAATAATAATAATAATAATAATAATAATAATAATAATAATAATAATACAAGCCATAATATGAGAAACCCAATGTTCTACCTGGTGGCTAATCACCAGCTGCTTCTCTGCATCTCGAGCTATTTAGACAAGATCAAATTCTGATATGTCACAATGAAATTTAAATCATACTAGGCTAAAGCCCGTGCGTTGCAACGGAAAACAAATTGAGTTTCTACCTTACTAAATCAATCAATAAGGTAAATCAATTAACTAGGCTAAATCAATTAATTGTTCTTTTAAGTTCTATTTTCTTTTTTTCTTCTTCTCCCTCTCAGAAACTTTTTGGGATTGTAAATATCTTCTATTGGCAATGCATTTCAGTAGGAGCCTCTCCTGCTGGTTTTTCGTAAAAAAAAAATCAATTAGCTTATTTAGTCCAAGTAATAATATTATTTTCCTTATTGAACAACCAAATGATTTTAAAATTTGAGGAAAATCAATAGTGAAATGAGAGATAACTCTTTAAAAGACTATGTAATAATATAGATTGTGGGGCTCACATGTCAGTTGTAGGGGTGGTGTGGGAATGGACACCACCACTACTAACATTTTACATAGTATAGATATAGAAAAATAGAATAAATTTCTTTAAAAAATTATAGCTTTTGATTAATGATAAACATTTTTTATTCATCAGGCGACTGTTATTCTTTTACTTTATCGTATTAGTCACCTACCTGCAGCCTATATGAAATTGAACAAATTTTAAAAAAAAACATACCTCTACAATAGGATGACGTATCGGTGTGCCAAGTGGTACTACGGGATGTTATGCTGACATGCTGACCAATGGCGACCACGGCGAAGAGTCAACCTACGAAGAAAAAAGAACAGAGCTAGCTAGCTACTCCCAGATTCGTAGTCATAGAATGGGTAGGCTGTAAAATATATTGGGATGGAGGGAGTAGACTATATTGTCGTTTAGTTTTCCAACTACAGATAATTCAGATCCTGAAAATCTTAATCGAGACCCCATGAGCCGGCCAACCACTCGAGACATGGCTCGATCGGTCGAATTGACTTCTCGGCTACACCTTCCCTTGTCACACCCACGATATATAGTGCCTCTTCTTTTGCAGCTGCGATGTGATAGTCAGATGAGGTACAGCGAATATATATCCCAGCTTTGTAATCATCGTCCGTCTCACCCCCCCCCCCCCCCCCCCCCGAAAGGATAAACCGTGATCAGCAAAATAGTTACGGTAATTCCCGACTTTTTTTTTATTTTGTACAGATCGAGTCATGTGAAAATGGTTATCGATGAAAGCGACTCCGGTGCTGTACGTACACTGCTGAGAGGAGAGGTACGTCGTTCTCTATCTACAGCGCGTGCATGAGACGTACGTACGCTCGCATTGACGGCAACCAGCGAACTAACGAGATGGATGGATCATATATAATATTCGTGGTAATGACCTTTCCCTATATTTTTGGGATCAAATTAAGGGGGAAGCCAGGTTGGTCGATTTCGGTTGCCATTTTGCCAAGAGAGCGAGATCGAGTGGTGTTACATTCACCGATCCGGCAAAAATGCATGGTTGAAGCCAAGTTAACACGCATGACATCGATTGATCTCTCACGAATTCTGGCCAGTTCCGGTCCAGGCTATATATAGAGTGGTAGTTAGGTCGACCCTTTTGCTTCACTTGGTGTTAACCTCTCCGTCAGTCAGCACGGACAGTCAACTACTTCAGTTCCTCTTCGTAGATAGGATTTGCTTTTTTATAGGATGGAGTAGTACGTTTCATCCCTATTAATATCTCCACCATCGTAATAAACTGACAAGCACCCGTTGGCTGCATGTAAAATCTGATCTGTGTGCATCGATCATCAGTTTGTACGTACGCATGTCCACTGTACTCTTCCTCCTCTCATTGTCACGTCCCTTCGAAACGTCGCACAAAGCACGCGCGCGCGTGCACACAGACACCACCGTCGCACGCATGCACACGCGCACAAAACGTTAGGTGCGCGCGCAAGCGCAACAGGCTACCATAGTCCATAGCACGCAAAACACGTACGGCCGGCTTCGACGAACAGGCCATGCTGGTCAGTTGTCACTAGCTATAGCTCGTAGCTTAGGACAATTTTTTTTTTAAGAAACACATGGTACAAAATAGACGCTCACAACATATCTGTATCCATGCAGGGCCATCGATGGGGGAGAGCGAACCCGTCGACCGCACATGGCCCTTAATTTTTAGCTTAGGACAATTTTTTTTTAAAGAAACACACGGTACAAAATATACGCTCACAACACACCCGTATCCACACAGTGCCATCGATGGGGGAGAGCGAACCCGTCGACCGCACAGGGCCTCCAATTTTTGGGGGGCCCACGCCACCACCTAGGGTGGGCCACATACCTGGCGATATGCTAATGAGAGCTTCATAATACTAGAATGTGTTACCTCCAGTAATAGATTGGTTTTTATGGGACGGGGAGAGTTGGGTAGAAGCAAAACTGATGCGTCGTGAGCATCAAGCGATTGAAGATCGCATGCGTTAGTTGTGTGCATCGAGGTGTCACGAGTCATAAACGAAGGAGCGGTTTCATCATATAATTCCCACATATTGCACGTGCGTGCGTCAAGACGGCGAAGGCAGCCTGCGATCGAGCGGGCGGGCGGCGGTAGCACGTATCGCAGCAACCAACGGCGAGGCGGACAACTGGAGGCGAGCGTGGAGGCCGAGCCTAAAGCAACGTCTAGCGACTGCCGCCTGCTAGTTTCACTAATCACTTCATTAGGTAATTTATAAATTCGTGCTCCAACTACTTTCTCTAACTCCGGCGAACTCCTCTTCTTCTCCGGCACCGGCGACAACCCAAACTCTGGCAGAGGGCTGATGAATTAGGGTCCCGGGGTAGGGAGGGGTGGGAGGGGGAGGGGGAAGAAGGGGGAGTTTGCTGGGCTAAGAGGGATGGTCGTGGGAAGTAGCGGCCTGGCGGTAGGCGTCGGAGTGGGCGGGTGGCGAGGCGCCGGCGGAGCCGCGAGGACGGAGTAGGGTGGTGGTCCGGTGTTGGTGGCGGGGGCATAGCGAGCTTATGGTGGTAGATCCGGTGGCGAGGAGTCGCCGGAGACGAGGAAGACGCCGGGTTGGGAGCATCTCACTTTCGATAGCTCGAGTAGGGAGGTGAGGTGGGAGAGAGAGGATGAGGGGGAGGAGGCCGGCCGGGGGCCCTTTCCAGCGCCGTTGACACCTTCCGGCCAGCCGACGAGGCCGGGCGGCGGCGCAGAATGTGCTCACGCTGAGGAGCGGGGCGGCGTGAGGGGGAATCGGGAAAGGAGAGTTTTTTTAGGGTTTGATTGCCTGTACAAATCTTAAAGCAATAGGGTGGTTCAAAATTTACAAGATTTTTAAGGAGTATTCTGTCAAATGATATATAGACAGTCCCTTACATTATTGTGAGTAAACGAACGATTGAATGGATTACTTATTGAATCAAACACATGTCTTTGCTTTTGTTTAAAAATAGAATAGATTTGTTTCGTCAATCACCTCATCATGATTTAGGTGCTGAAAATGATGTCTTCAATAATATTAATTACGAACAATTGAAGATTTTATTTAAAAAACACTATACAGATGATGATATTTGTAAATATTGCACGAAATAATACATACTAAAGCTAAAATCATCCCTCATATATTAGATTAGATATATGAATTTTTCTTAAATTTAGGGCCTCGATTGGCATTTCGTTCCAGGGCCCCAAATTTCTGAAGACGGCCCTGTATCCACCCCTATAAATATATACACGTACACTTTATTCTTATGAACACTTTCGAAAGACTAGTCCAGTATATATTGAGATTAATGAAGTCACTATGGGTATCTCGCTGTCAACGAGTACGTCGTTTACCACTGAAATAATAATTAGTCATAAATACGAACACCCCTATTAAAATCTATAATTAACTTGAACCCGAGTGAATGGGTTTCATCACAAGAAATCTTGAGTTGCGCTCGCTTCGCAGCTTTGGGCACCCCTTTGTTGCGTGAACATTAATGCGCGATGCACTATTATCAACTAATAGTTCAGTACGACGTCGGTGTGTGTGGACAAGCCAAGTGCACGATGCTCAGGTCTCAGCTCCAGCAAACCTTGATTTTAAAATTTTGCTTGCTTGCAAATTTCAGGCGTGAGTACTCCCTGCCTTAGGTTGATTCTTGATTTGTCCCATCTCCGTGCATGTTTATGCAACGAGAAAACGAGAGGAATCCATCCAAGAATAATTAGACGCGCGGCGCAGTGTCAAGTCGCCGGCGCGCGGGTTTGGGGCAGGGCAACGTACTGGACCATGCGTGAACTTTGAGCCCAGATTAGGTGTCGGCCCGGGAGTGGATTCTAATCCCTCGAGGGGATATCCCCTCGTATATCTTTTTCTTTCAAATTCGATGCAAATAGTTGTAAAAAATTCTGAAAAAATTTGACAATGTAGAGTATAATGATACATACTAGTCCACTAAAATTCAAGTTCAAATTCGATCTACGCATCAAGAAAAAAAAGACAAATTTAGATATAAACAGTACGCTACTATTCATACGCTGAATTTGTCTTTTTTATATCTCGACGTGTGAGTTGAGTTTGGACTTAAGATTTTGTGGAGTTGTATATATGTGTTGTATGAATGTTGTCAATTTTTTCCAGAATTTTTTATAACTGTTTAGATGGTTTTTAAGCAAACGAGGAAACATCTCCTCGAGGAATTAGAATAGTTTCCCGTGTCGGCCCGACATGTTCGCCAATAGACATGGCCCAGCAGCAGACATGGCTCAGGTCGGCCCATGGTCTTGTTAACCAGAGACATACAACCATAAATCGGTTAAAATGGAGCATTTTATATTAATCGTTGGTTGAATTCAGTCGTACGTAAGTCGAACAGTTGGATAGTAAGCATAACAATTTCCTTCCATTTTGTACAAGCAATGCAACAAGACCGTTACAAACTTACAATTTACAACATACCATACGTACCACGGTACGAGGAGTACAAAACGGTATATAAATGCTTACAGCTTACAGTTACTACGACACATGTGCACGCACGCAGATGTTTGTGATGCCACGATGGTGCCATCCCGGGCACAACTTTTACCGTGTGTATTATTGTGTTTTTGCATGTGTTTACTGCTGCACCGGACCGAACACGTAGTCCGACTCGAGGGCCCTGAACACGGTGGTCTCCTCCTCCTCCATCGCCTTCACCACCTCCGCCGCCGCGTGCACGTACACCACCCAGTCGCCGTCGCCGCGCGCGCTCGGCATCGGCATCACGTACCCGGCGCCGCCCGGCCACGGGAAGTGGTAAGACGCGAACGCCGGCCGCCCCCGCCCGAAGTCCACCTCGCCGACCGGCATCCTCATCCCCGACGACACCACGCACGCCGCCGCCTCCGCGCCGCCGTCGCCGCCCAGGTAGGCCCTCGCCACCGACGGCTCCGGCCGCAGCTGCTCGACCCAGTCGACGAGGCCCCGGAAGTGGTCGCGCGTCGCCGCCTCCGCCACCCACCGGTGCACGTCGCCCGCGACGTCCGCGAGGGGCATGGCGGACAGGTCGCCGGAGCTCATGGCGCCGTAGGGGATGGTCAGCACGTTGCCGAAGTAAGCCCCCATGGCGCCGTCGCGGCGGAGGCGCGTGCGCCCGTCCACGACGACGCCCATGCAGCACGAACGGCGGTGGCGCGGCGGGGACGCCGCCGCCCTGGCGTGGAGCTGCCAGAGGTGGGCGGTGAACGCCTCCAGCTTGGTGCGCCCTGGCCCCGCCGCGGCCTGCAGCGCCGCGACGTCGGCGGCGGCCACGCGGAAGATGCGGTTGACGGCGGCGGCGGCGGCCTCCGGGGCGGAAGACGGCGGCGCCGGCACGCAGCTGACGGGGACAAAGAGCCTGTCCGAGAGCGCGTCGGGGCACGGCGGAGCCGGGCTGGTCGGCGCGAGGAAAGACCGGTCGAAGGACGGCGCCGGCGCGGCGGAGCTGCCCCGTGCGGCGGCGGCCCAGGCGACGAGGAACATGTTGAAGGAGTAGGCGTCGCAGACGCGGTGGTCGAAGGTGCAGCCCACGACGGCGCCGCCGCACTTGAACTTGGTCACCTGCAGCTCACGTGCGGATCCGATACGATCAATCAAAAAACGGAATAGCTATCCATCTGCTGACAGATTTTGTATTGGTTAATCTTGCACTTTTGCAGCCACGTGTGCAGTTGCTGCAACTGTACGAGCGACGAAAACATTTTGCTTCGCCTCTTCGCTTAAAAGAAAGACTACGTATTTATCTTTCAGTGGATTTATGGCTTCGAATATGGTAGATTTTAGCAAGATGAAATTAGAATGACAACTTGAATTATTGTTTCTGTATAAAAAAAATGAAACCATTGAATATTTATTTATAGAATGTCATTATGCAAAGTTTATTTGGAGAGCAATTCAGTTTTCTTTTGGATTATGCCTTCCCAGTAACATATATAATATTTTTTATGATTGGCTTCTGGGGGTTGATAAGAAAAAGAGTAGACTGATACTGATTCGAGCCTCTGCCTTATGTTGGGTTCTGTGGTTGAGCAGGAATGATAGGGTTTTTGACAAATCACTATATGTTTCCTATATGCAGATAATTTTCAGGGCAACATACTAACTCTGGCTAAGGGCTCAGCTACAAAAGTGTGATGAGGCCGTTGGTTGCATGCCGTACGCTTGAGACGATGGTTATGCAACTCTTTGCCAACTATGGATGGAGATTCACCGATAGACTGGAATAATGTTCTCCTTGCCTTGTTTGCCTTTCCTTCTTTTATTTAGTGTGATTGCTTTATTTTGGACTTTACTCCTCGAGAGTGCTAGACTGTAATAATTGGCTGTAGCTCTTTTGAACAAAGGCCGGGATGTTTTTATTCCATTATCTTAAAAAAAACCTGTTTTAAATAAAATAACAAAATAAAACAATAAACATATAAAAATCATACATTTAGAAAAACAATTGTTGAGAAACTATTTTTTTAACTATAAGTTGTACACACAAGAATACGAATATTGATGAAAAATTCTAAAAAAAAGTTTAAAAAAAATAGGAGTACAAAATTCTAAAAAAAGTTTTAAAAAAATAGGAGTACAAAATTCTGTCGTAACGAAAATAGCAAAATCCAAAAAAAAACGTGACGCTAACCTGCACGCACATGACGCCAGCCTTCTTCTTGGGCACGAGCTTCTCGGCGCTCTCGTCGACCACGGCAAGCCGGAGCTGACGCAGCACGGCGTCGCCGGCGGTCGCCTCGGCGAAGTCGACGCCGCGGCCGCTGCACAGGAGCTCCCCCTCGCCGCGGGTATTGGCCACGACCTCGCCGGCGAGAGGGTAGTACGCCACCAGCACCTTCGCCAGCGCGGCCTTGAGGGTCGCCGCCGGCAGCAGCGCGCCGCCGCCGCCGGAGCCCTCGCCGGCGCCGTAGCAGAAGAAGACGCCGACGTCCATGGGCGGCAGGATGAGGTCGAGGTTGGACAGCGGCAGCCGGTGCTCCTGCACCGGCAGCGCCGGCGCCACCGTCGACGCCGACGTCACCTTCACGGTCACCTCGTGGCCATGTCCATTGATAGCCTCGTGCACCATGTTTGTGTACCTGCGCGCGCGAGTGTGTCGAGAAATGTTTGGTGATCGGTTTGAGTGTGAATCATGGATGGATGTTCTATTTATAAAGGAGATGCCGGAAATCAAGGAAGTAGACTTTGATCTCTCGAGGGGATATCTCCTCGTTGTTTTTATGCCACTTAAATAGTTATGAAAAAATTTGAAAAAAAATAAGAAGATATATTAACATATCATATATCGCCCTGTAAACATACAAGTTTAAATTAAGTTGACTGTGAATATACATTAACTAGCTGTGGTTTAATTTGTTTTTTTTTCGTTACGAAATGTAGAAGTTGAATTTAAACTTACATATTTGTGTAGTGTAATATCACATGTTAATACATATTCTCTTTTTTTAAAATTTTTTTCATAACCGTTTGATTGACATGCAAATAACGAGGAGATATTACCTCGAGGGATCAAAATAGTTTCCCAGAAATCAATGCCATTCACACTATTTTTTTATACTGTTCTAGTCATTTTCAATTTGCACAATGTGATTAACAATGTAATAGTAATATGAATCAGTTCAACGCCGGAAAAAATTTAGTCGATGTTTGCACGTCATTATTAATTTCATGCACAAACAGACAATTCATTTAGTTTAGAATTGTAAGTTGGTAGGAAAAAAAAACATTAGCTATACCCTACACGGAGTCACGGAGAGTAACAGATGATGGTGAGATTTGTGGTCTGGTCCAGATGAGTGGAGAGCCCTGGAAGGTATCTGGAAAAATGCAGCGTATGGACTAGCTTAGTTGCTAGTTTTTGAAAGACCCTTTGGTTAGTTTTTCTTTGAAGACCGACTTTGGTTGCCAGTTTTACTGACCGTCAAAATTGTACTGCATATATTAAGAGATCGCAGCACGTTAATTAGCCGCGTGCACGCCGCTCAGCCCCTTCCTACAGTTGCGGAGTTTTTTTTTTCAGCCGTCGTAGTTTTCTTTTTCTAAGCCTCAGTTTTTTATTTTATTTTGCTTTTTTCTCCTTTCCCCTGGCATTGGCCAGTCTGGCCGATTGCGTGGTGTAACTATAACTCTTTTCTTCTAATATATTGACGTGCAATTTTTTTACGCGTTCGTAAATATATATATATATATATATATATATATATATATATATATATATATATATATATATATATATCCATTTAACTGGGATATCTGGGTACGGAGTACATATATAAGCGCGCCACAATATTTTCAATAAGAAACTACATTTTTCTGTTCACAAATATACCCTTTTCTTTAAAATTGATTGTCAATAACAAAAATTAAGGAATAGTGTTACTAGATTTATCGTGGAACAGTATATCTTATATGTAACCCTTTCTATGTAAAATAATTGGTGTTTACAAATAATATTTGTTTAAGTTATAATTTGAAGACCGTGTTGATGTTGTTATATTTGTGGACGTAGGGTGTAGCCAAGCAATTTTGCAGAAGTATAAGCTTCTGCGTTTTCAAGCCTAATTAATTCCGTTTGAACCTGTAATGCAAGTGTGTATGACCATTCACCAACAAACATGTCCTCACATGCATGTCCAAGCATGTCTGTAGTCAGCCGTTTCTCGCCCAACACCTTCCAAGCCTTTAAACGTAGCTTAACACCATCCTTACTCATCATCATTATTATCAATTCGAAAAAGCAACAAAAGCATTTGTCAAGCCTTCCTGAAAAGGATTAACTCCGTCATTATCATTGCTCAATTGGGAGTGTTACAAACTTACAATCATATCACTTCATCAGTCAACCAAGCAAGAAGTAATTACTTGACAAACTGAAGAATCTGAAGAAATGCTAGCTTAGTCGCACCATTGCCTAAGCTAGCTATCTGAAGAATCTTGTTGACAAACTGCACGAGTTGCACAGGCGACAAACTGCCGTCGATCAGGTTTGGAAGAAAAACGGCAACGGCGACGATCATTCCACGAGCTAATTAAGCATCCTGATGAAGTCGGCCTCGATAACTATACTGCTTTTACTTGTGATCTTGTGGATCATCTAGGGAGCAAATTACAGGAAGATTACACATTCGCAGACACCTTTGATGCGCCGGCGCCATCCATCAAGTTCAGGCACTGCAGCTTTTTTGTCTCAGTTGACCTCGGTCAAACCTGCTGGTGAATACTGAAGCTGCTGAATAGATGTAGCAGAGAATCATAGTTTCCTCTGTTTCACTGATGATGCATATTAGTTATGCAGAGGTCAGGAATATTTCCTAGGTCTTGTTCGATTAATCCTTCTAAGGTTTAGGGCTTGATGTGTCTCAGTAAAGTGGTTATGAACTTCTGATCAATGCTGCATGCATGGCTGATCTTTCAGTCCACTGTTCATGGACATCCTACCAACCACAGTGACACGATGCTTGAGCTAATCACCACCTAAACAGGTTACATCTTGCATGCACTGATGAAAACGTCGCACATGAAAAAACAAGATAATTTGGTGACCGGGAAGGCAGGAAGTCAGGCTCTTTTCAACAGAAGGTGAAGAAGGAATGTGGTCAGAGCAAAGAGACCAGAAAGCCAGTGCCGAAGTAACAAGCAACCACACTCAACTAGTTAAGGAGTGGGCTAATATTAATTAATCTGAGATTATAATCTCTCTAGTTGCAACAAGAAGGTATATACAAGGTAATGCATCATCACTTGAACCCCTTCCTTTCTTGTCAATCAAAGCCTAGTAGTAAGATGTAACAGGCAAATATATTGGGTTCAGTTGGAAGATCACCAAGAAAAGGGCTCAATGCCAACGCAATGTTTTTAAACCTGAAGTTGGTCAGAGCAGATCATAACATGCTAATTAATATAATTGCTCACTGACACACATGCCATCACTTCCTTACATGCATTAGCCAGATGTGTATATGCTTATCAAGCTAGGTAGGAAAGAAGGGCATGCAGATGCAGGTGTGTCGATGATGCTCTGATGCAAGCAAATGCATTACCAGATCGGTACGGTCGGACATTGTTAGGTAGTGAATTATATGTGCAATACTTTTTGTGGTCTAGATAGTAGGTTAATTGCCTCCAGAGAGAGTTAGGCTTGCTTGCAAGTCGTAACCAATTAAGCAGTACAGATCGATTGAGTAGGTGCACTTCGTTAAACTACAACTTATCGTGTACTTAATCTACATGACGTTTATTGTTTGGGAGTTTGGTCGATCGAGTATGCATATACTAGTACGTATGTCGTTCCGATCATTTCGTTAATTACACATGTCGCCTGTTGGTTAATTAGCAGCACTAGGTACAGACATGGATAGTGCACATCTATTGAAGCAGGGGAAATTGTTCTGTCTAATAGTACCATCTGCTGATGTATTTGGCGCAAAATCAGCTCGTGTATATGCCAATACCATCACTGTAATATTATCTCATAAGCACCTTTGTGTACCAAAGTGCTTGTTTCATTTTTACACTGTTTGTTTTCCTTTTCTTACACTGTTTTTTTTCTGAAGATACTTCAAAGCACGAAGTTTGATTTTTTTTACACTATTTGTTTTACACTGGTTAGCTTATGCTTATAATCCAAAATTTAAATTTTAGAATTTGATTTTGAATTTGTTTTTTTGGCTTTTTCATTATAGTTTATTTTACAACTATTACTTTGAGTCTCTGAGGACAACTATATAAAATTTTTACCCTTAAACGATTCTTTATTTGCTAGTAACGATTCGAATGAGCATGAATAAACGAAAAAATTAGATCAAAAGAAGCGTCTTGTTCTATTGGGCCTTAAAACTTAGTCCGGAATATAATGCGAGATATCCCCGAAATAAGCCCACTTTAACTTTCTTAAAAGTAACCCGAATTTAATCCGTGACACTGAACCGCAAAACCAAATATCTTGACCCATAAATTGTTAAAACCGGTGTAATTTGACTCCCTCAGCGGTTTTGCTGATATGGCGTCTTGACCCGGTTCAACTAGCTGACTTAGCATGTGGGACCCACATGTCAGCATCACATTTTTTTCTGTCTCCTCCCTTTCTTTATTCTTCTTTTTTTTTTCCCACGCTGTCTAACCCGAGGGGTATGCGATTGGCAACGATGGCGTCGCCGCGGCCACACCTCACGGCGCCAGGGACGGTGGCCACCTTGCCTACTCCGCCGCGAGCGGCGCTTCCTAGTTCCTACCTCCGTTTCGTGTCTTCGACCACCACGGCGCTACGTCATGACGCCACCAACACCACCGTGGGCGGCACTCCTTTCCTTCGCGACAACCACCTCGCCGACGCTGTATGACGTCGAGTAGCGTGGTGCCTCCGCGGCGGGAGCCAGCTGGTGGAGACCATCGCCCCTGTTCTCGTCGTCATCGCGGAGGTTTGATGAGACGATGGTGGCGTGTCGTAAAAAAACCGCTGAGAGAGTTAAATTACACCGGTTTTAACAGCTGAGGGGCCATAATATTTGGTTTTGCGGTTAAGGTCACATATATTAGATTGGGGTCACATTTAAGGGAGTCAAAGTGGACTTATTCCGATATCCCCTAAAGGCCTCTATTTGGGCTCACATAAGCCCAAGCACACAGAGCCCGCAACATTTTTGACATGGATATACCACCTACCTTTTCCAAGGGATTCTCCACATGGGTTTGCACATGGCACATGAACACAAAGCTCCGGTCAAAAAGGAGCTGAAAGAAATTGTCTAAAACTGCGCTTTCAATTCAAGGCTGGCAAAATCCTCAAACCACGCGCTTATCTCTGGAATCTGGGAGGATTTAGAGCTAATTTTTCCGCATCCATGAATTCGAGACACACTTTGACTTTTGGCTTTTGGCTTTGACTTTGGCTTCTTCTCCTCCATTTCATCGCTCGTTCTCTCCATCCACCGCTTTGATTAGTCGGGATCTGGACAGCATCGGCGAATCATCCGCCTCCGCCTCCGCCTCCGCCTCCGCCGATCCCCCATCCATCCCGCGAGCGCCGCCGTCGTTGCTTCCGCCGCATCCTGGTGAGCACATCCTCCGCCACCGCCGCCTGCGCCGATCCCCATCCATCGCGCTCTCTACCCACGCACTTTTTTCTCGAATTTGCGCTAACCCTAGCTTCTGTTCTAGAAATTTGCCTTAACCTTAATACCAATAACAGTTTGATGGTTCCCAAAAAGGTTTGGCCCATGTTAGATCCGCCGCCACTGCTATGGAACTTATGAATCCTTCATTACTCTTTAGTTATATGTGTGTGTATGTAACAGTACGTATGTGATTAAGACCTGTTTTGCAGAGTGAGATAAGGGAGATTTTTCCTCTTTTTCAGTTTTATCTGTCCTCCATGGATGATTAACCGTGAACATATACTCTTACTAGATTTACAAAGCAAAAGAAAAATGGTGTGCGGATACTGAACAGGCAGAATTACAGGAAAAATGTAGGATTCGAGTTCCTGTTTTCAGCCTTGGGCTTCTGCAGTTTAGATACAAGAACTGTCAGGAAGATTAATCAGCTGGCTGCTGAAAGAATAACCATATTTTATCATTGCCTTGCAGATGGAGGAGGATCAATCAGCCACGTATAGCGTCGATGACGCGCTTCTGTCATCAGGTTTTGGGAGGTACCAAATATTGATTCTTTCATATGCCGGGGTCGGCTTGATTGCAGAAGCAATGGAGATGATGCTACTATCATTTGTTGGTCCATCAGTACAGTTAGAATGGAAGCTTACTTCACATCAGGAAAGCATGATTACAAGCATTGTTTTTGTTGGAATGCTAATAGGAGCTTACACTTGGGGTGTAGTTTCAGACAACTACGGAAGGAGGCAGGTCCATCTTTTACTCCAATCACTGATTTTGTTTTCTAGCACACATTATGCATAATAATTTGATCTCTTGGTGATGCTTATTGCTTTAGCTTAGCAATGGGTCACAAAAGATGGTCTGTGAACTTGTTTCCATGCACAGCTTGTTCCAGTTGATAGTTTTAGCCATAGTTATTAAGACCGGACCGGACCGGCGGTCGGACCGGGAAAAACCAGAACTGGAGCCTCTGCCGGTTCGGTCCAGTTAAAAGACCGGATATGCAATCAAGCCGGTATAAACCGGTTAGGCTGTCCGGTTTTCATGAAAAACCGCTATAGAACCGGAGAAAAAACCATGGTTGAACCGGCCTTGCGAGGGAGTGGGTGCATGCAAGGGAGCAGTCGGGGGAAAATGAGGGAAAAAGAGCCCTCACCAACCACCAGGCTATCATCCTTGTTGTGTTTGAAAGGAATGAGTAATATATTTAATAACTATTGAACCGGGTTAGACCAATGGTTCAACCGGTTGAACCAGTGAACCATCGAACCAAGAGCCTCACCGGTTCAATTACCGGTCCAGTCTCAATAACTATGGTTTTAGCTAGTAACTAACAACTGGCAAAGGTCTTAGATAATTGATCAGTTAGACATTTCTATGTTACTTTCAGAAATATCCTTGAAACCATCCCTCAAATTTATGTTCCTGAAATCATATATTTTGGTGATGCTTATTTCATGATATTGCAAACACTACCTTGATATATTCCTCTTGGTGTGCAGCACACAGGCTCATACATTCTGTTGCATTTGTAATTTACAGGAGAGGATTTCTCTTTACCGCCATCGTGACTAGTGGAGCTGGATTCCTCAGTGCTTTTGCACCTAACTATGTGTCACTAATTTCTCTAAGATTTCTAGTTGGTATTGGATTGGGAGGGGGACCTGTCCTTGCATCTTGGTTCTTGGAATTTGTTCCTGCTCCAACTAGAGGAACTTGGATGGTAGTATTTTCTGCCTTTTGGACTGTTGGGACCATCTTCGAGGCTTCTCTTGCTTGGGTATGATATTTTTCCCTGGTATTTTTAAACTGGAATATCTGTACTTTTACTTGGTGGGTTATGCAAAGGTCAATAAGAAAGTGCCCTGTTCTGCATTCTCATTCAATGAAGCCTACATTCTCATTGTGAAAATGTATGTAACTATCTTTAGGCCCTGTCATTATTGTAACTATCTTTTCATCATGCTAATTGCAGACAGTAATGCCCAAATTTGGCTGGAGGTGGTTGCTAGCATTATCTGCTGTCCCATCTTTCGTCCTGCTTTTATTTTATGTTATTACACCAGAGTCACCAAGGTTCCTATGCATGAAAGGCAGAGTAACAGAAGCCATGGATGTACTGGAGAAAATGGCTAGATTGAACAATGTACAGCTCCCCTCTGGAAGGCTTGTATCTGACAAAAACATTGAGCTAGATGAACTTTCAACATCTGAGTCTACAACACTTCTTGCTGATGCTGAAGAAGATGACACCATCATTGAAGACAAAGTTTCCAGTTTTGGAGGTTTGTCCGTCGCGAAGCTGCTGTCGCCAAAATTGATACGTGCAACTCTGCTCCTGTGGATGACTTTCTTTGGAAATGCATTTTCCTATTATGGAATTGTTCTGCTCACATCGGAGTTAAGTAACGGTAATAGGATATGTGCAAAAGAGGAGGTTGAATCCATACACTCAAATGATGCAAGCTTATACAAAAACGTTTTTATATCTAGCTTTGCAGGTTTGTTTTTTCTGTACATTATTAATTTTCTTCCAGTGCATATGATTCCCATTTTAACAACGAATGCTGCTCTGTTTTCTTGAAACAGAGATTCCAGGATCATTTTTGTCAGCCATGATTGTGGATAGGATTGGTAGAAAGCTGTCAATGGCATCAATGCTCTTCACAAGCTGTGTTTTCTTATTCCCACTAATTTTCTCCCGAACGGATATACTAACAAGAGTCTCCCTATTTGGAGCCCGGCTTTGCATATCTGCTAGCTTTACAATTGTATACATATATGCTCCAGAGGTTGGTTCAGTTCTGCTGCCTCACATGGTTCAGTAGTTCAGTGTCACTAGATAGCACATAATTTGTTTTCATTTCATCATCGTGACAACAAAATGGAAGATCAGATGTTAATGCTAACTGTTTTCTTCTCCTTGCTTCAATTTTCAGATTTACCCAACCTCTGTCAGAACAACCGGAATTGGCGTGGCGAGCTCTGTAGGTAGGATTGGAGGCATCCTCTGTCCTCTCGTCGCTGTTGCTCTAGTACACAGCTGCCAGCAGACGACAGCGATCCTTCTCTTTGAGCTTGTAATCTTCCTCTCCGGGTTGGCTGTCTCATTTTTCCCTTTTGAGACAAAAGGCTGTAGACTTAACGACACCGAAGTCGTTATGAATTGATGAGGTGATTGTATTGTCATACCATTTTTTCTGTGCTGAGTACGAAGTTCCCCTGTTAATTGAACATTTCCAGCAATGTGCTAAGGGTGATATTGTTCAGTCTTCGAAATCAATTGTTGTTACATAATAAAGCCTTTTTCTAGGTTCATGCCCCCAAAAATGTGCACGCACAAGTTTGAAGTTAAGGGGTGTTTAATTCACTACTGCGAATTTGAGATCACGTGCAGTTATACTAGGGACTGCAAGACAAGAACTGCATGTGATCTTGGTCATCTATTTTTCTTATGGAGGGTTTGAAGCTACAACACAGGAGCTACAGTAAATATGCAGTATTTCTTTTGTTTGAATAGTATCTTTGATTATCTGCCCGTTTGATTTACATCCAATGGTCCTAGTGTGACTGCAAGGTCCAGTGTCACGCCACATTTTGTTAATCTTTACCACTATATTTTATAGGTTCAGGTCGATCCATATGTAAGTGTCAAATACAACTGTGAGTCTGTGACTTCGATTAGTCATGAATGTTTGTTTGTGGACGGTCGACCAACATTTTGCTAACGAGGTGTACTTGCTTGTTCGTTGCCATGTTTGTATCGTGCCACGGGTTGCCCTGAATATACATACTATGCTACAACCAAAACGCGACGGGTTCAATTGACAGATCAGCCAAACCTTTGTTGGCAACCTTGTATGGCTTGGACGATCGAGCCATGCGGCCTGCGATCTCCAGCTGTCCGTTCTTGCCATGCGCGGGAGGAGCGGGCGGGAACCGTACGACGACGTGGCATGCGGTGTCCGGTTCGGCACTCGGCAGCACAGCGGCATCGATCGGCTGAGACACGTGGTGATGGGCGCGGATAGCATGCATCGACACGGATCGTGGGCCCTGCGGAGGGCGCGTGGGACGGATCTGGGACGTGCGTCTCTATCCGGTTGGGCCGCACGGGACCGAAGCCTTGGAGTGGCTTTACTGCCAGGCGACGTGGCAGCCATCTGTAGTATTCCCTCGGTTGAGCTAAGAGTAAGATTAATAGTATAGCCAACTACTAGTTTCAAATTATCTATGGCTAATCTAATAGCTCATTTATATAATAGTTATTATAATCTGTAAACCATTAATATATGGTCCCACCTCTCATATAACACAACGTGTTAGAGTTTATGCTGCAACTGGCTACAAATATGTAGCCCGATTTTCTTCACTCTTCTCTTCCCTTCTCACCTCCACATATGCTTATAGCTAACTTATAGCCTGCTATTATTTTAGGTTTTTTATTGGGTTTCTATCGAACTTAGCTTATAAATAGAGGATCAAACCTAAAGTATATGGTGCTCCTTGTATGAGTCTCTAGGGCTTTTTTTAGAGAGTTTAAATTTTCATTGCTCGATTCGTGAATGTTCAATTCTTACAATTAAATTATGTACGGGTATTGTCTCCCATCCTTGTAAATTTTATGGAATGTGTTGCATTTATATCTAAAATTGTTTTTCTATTCAAACCTCTTTTGTTTTTTGATTCCTTGCAATGAAAAGAGAGGTAAGCTTAGTATTGTGTTTTGTGTGATTGAAGTATATAGGGACGATGGTGTTTCCATCAAGTTTATATTATAAAGCTAGGTTCTAAAATAGCCTTATCTAACGTGGATTTGAGAAAATGTTTTGAAAGTGTATTTTATGGATAAATTTGAATAAAGCTATATTCATCTCCTCATAGCGCGGTACCTATTTTCACCAATAAAAGAGATATGAGCATAAGTAAGGAAAGAAAGAGAGATAAACATGAGAAGCATAAATAAAAAATAACATAATTTTTAGAAGGTAGAGAAAAAAAAGTTATATATTGTTCTTTCTGAAAAACTTAATAATAAGCTTGTTAGATCTAAAGTTATTACTAAAAAGATAATTTATTTGATAATATTCTTATTGAATTTTAAATTATTTCTAAAAAAAATAATTCATTTGATAATAGGTTTTTTGATTTTAAGTTATACCACCAAAAATAATTTATTTAATAAAGATTTTTTTGTATCGAATTTTTGTATGGAATTATGTATGGAGAATCATGAATAAAGTTGAGCCACTGTTGAAAGAAAGATATGAAAATATGTTTTCTCTAATTTTAATTTAAGACTATCATTTTAAATAAGAAAAAAAAGTGGGTGGGTTTATCTAATTTAAGATCATTTAAAAAATGATATTGAACATTTTCTTAATCGACTTTGTTGTTCAATTCCTCTTGTTAAATATGGACAGCCTGATTGTAATGAATAAATGGGTCATTTTCGGTTTCTCTACCCTCTTCCTGGTATTATCCAGGTTAGTGCTAGGGTTAAAAATAGTATCTGAAATGTAACAATTAGGAACTAAACTTAGTCCCTGTCACATTCGATGTTGGGACACTAATTTGGAGTATTAAATATAGAATACTTACAAAACTAATTGGATAAATAAGAGCTAATCTGCGAGACAAATTTTTAAGCCTAATTAATCCATAATTAGCACATGTTTACTGTAGCATCACATAGGATAATCATGGATTAGTTAGGCTCAATAGATTCGTCTCGCGAATTAGTCCAAGGTTATGGAATGGGTTTTGTCATTAGTCTACGTTTAATACTTCTAATTATATGGATTAGTTAGGGATAATCATGGATTAGTTATGCTCAGTAGATTCGTCTCGCGAATTAGTTAGTCCAGGGTTATGGAATGGGTTTTGTCATTAGTCTATGTTTAATACTTCTAATTAGTGTGCAAACATCCAATGTAATATGCACTAAAACTTTGTAGCCTCATCCAAACCCTTAAGACAAATATACCTAAATCTAAATGCAAAGAACGTGGAGGATTGGTTGTCTCATATAAGGAATGATCCCATAAAAATGAGCTATTAGAGGATTGGTTGTCTCATATAAGGAATGATCCATAAAGCTATTGATCCAACTATCACACATCAGAAGCGATTTAAATATATTGAAGCAGTAGTGAGAAAAAAAATAGAGCAGAGATTATGAAAGAAATGCCAGTACAACCAAAGAAGAAATAAAATGGACGATGAACCACAAGTAACACCAAAGGATGCTAGTGAACAAACTAACAACAATGAGCTCTGGACAAGTAAAGTAAAGTAGGTAAGTAGTAAGCTATATGAGATTTGATGAGAAAAATTGGTTGCCAACTGCTGAACACAACCAATCTATTCTGGAGATATACAAATATCAATAGATGACATAAAAGATAAATAAGAGAGAGGCTTGACTTCAATACTTCGGCATTGTGCAAATCATATGATAATACATTAGTCGGTCAACGAATAAACCAGAGAAGTACTATTCCAGAATTTTAAAATATATTACATCATTTAAGAAGAGATGTTTCCAGGGGCATTATCCAATTTTTAAGAGGATATCATGTAATTGGAGAGCTGGAATATCGAAGTTTGAGGGGGTAAATGAGAGCTTGACTCAGATTCCGGATACGCTTAATTGGTGAGCTAGAACATCCTAGTTTGAATGAGCAAATGAGCTGAACATGTAATATCTTTGCGTTCTGTGTCATATGAACGAGTAGATGAGATTATAAGAGAAGATTTCCTGTAATTTTTTTAGGTTTCTTGTTATCATAATTTGTAGGTTGGATCGTGCTTTAGTTTTGATAAGTAAATGTAATTATTAGATGGCAAATATGACCCTTTTAATTTTGGAAGGAAAATAACGTTGTTTTACTGGTTCTTTTTCAGTGAGCTTTTTAGGCTAAATATTCTTGCAAACCACGTCATGATGATGGTCAGTGTTGTATATCATTCCTAATTGGTCCCTGTTATCTCGTCTACACTTGACTACTCCTGCTAGTTTTGATTGGTGCTAGCTTTGAAACTTGCATACTCTCTCTGTCTAAAAAAAAGCCAATCTAGTACTAAGATATGACACATTCTAGTATCACAAATCTGGATATAAAGTATGTCCAGATTCGCCGTACTAGGATATGTCACATTTTAATACTAGGCTAATTTTTTTTTGGACGGAAGGAGTATGATGAGTAGCATTTTTTTTCTATCATAACAGGTAAGTACATGGTATATTGTTTATGCATGCTCCGTCTCCCAAGAAATTTACATTACATATTGATATTTGTACCTTTGTTATGTTATTGAACGAACAAATGTTGCTGCTCTTGCTATACGGTGGTTCTTATTAGTTACTCTCTCCGTCCCGTAATATAAGAGATTTTGAATGGATGTGACATATTCTAGTACTATGAATCTAGACAGTACTAGAACATGTCACATCCTTTTAAAATTCCTTATATTATGGGACGGATGGAGTATTAAGGAGTACTCTTGATTTAGTGCACAGTGGTTCTTACTATACTTATTAAGTACTCTTGATTTAGTGCACTTCTTTTTATTGAGAAGAGAACTTTTTTTAGAAGGGACATTGAGAAGAGAACTTGAAGAAGAGTAGTATCTTGTAGCTCTAAATTGGCACTGCATCCCTAAAATATAATAGTTTTTATATACGTCTATGAGACAAGCAATTGCTTAGATGTATGGCTAAAAGTTGCTATAAAAAAAATAGAGTACCGTGTATCTAAAAATTTTCGATAATAACAATACAACTACATGCAAAAGGCTCCTAAAAGCAAGTTTAATAGTGTAGCCCACTTGATGACGCTCTCTCTCGTGGCCCGATCTTCTAGTGAGGGGATAACTCTCACTTTGATCGAGTGCGACGTTTACGACGTGGCTACCAACCAGAACAAGTCCAGAACGCCATACAATCGCTACACCACAAACGATGTCGTACCAACCGTGACGCGCGGTTGATGATCCCTGCAATGCAAACGAGAGAACACTGCAAGAACAAGATAAGATGCAATCTAAATATTGCGAATAGGTAATTAAGCACAAAGGAATAGTTGCGATTGAAGTGGTAGATCTAATCGACCCAGCAAATCAACACACCAACTATTGGGGGCTCTGAATCAATAGTCACCGACTAATCGAGCGAGGACTAGAGACAAGGTGAATGGCACTTGGCAAAATTCAACTAAACAAAACCCAATTGTTTTTGAGGATGTACAAAGCTATTTATAGAGGAAAACAAAGCTAGGGTTAAGTGCTAATTCGTGGAGGTGGAGGGAGACACTTCCGAGATGGGCCTAGTCTATTACAAGGCGCAAGGCCCAAGTTCGGTTTCAGCAACAGCACTGTCTTGTTTTGGCGATTCCCGTTGACTCGAGATGAATTTGGACATGAAACCGGATGCGTTTGAAAGGTAGCGAGATAAGCTTTCCACGAAGTCCAAGATCACCCAAATCGGAGTTGGCATGAAGGCGCTAGGTCTGTTTGTAGTCAGTGCTGTCTCCGGAGGCCAAATTGGATTCCAAAACTCATTGGACTTTAATATCTTGTAGATCCTCCATTCATCCAATGTATTCTTTGTCAATGTTTTATATTTCTCATACTTGGTTGTATGCATATACTTGATGGTCACATCACCACTACTAGCTCTAATTCATTTGTAGCCAATCTAATAGTCAATTCATACAATAGTTAGTTACTATATAGTCCCACTGTCATACACTCACTGCATCTTGGAGTCCGTGCTACAGCTGGCTGCTGCTCTTCTATCTCATCTTTTATCTCATTAAAATATGTTTATAGCTAGCTAATAGTCCGCCATTGTACCTGCTCTAAGCTAGATAATCATTGCGGGTGCCCTAGGACAAAATGAGATGCAGACGTCGCTGCGCCGCGCGACAGGAGCAGCAGCACCGAAGACAGCGGTCGCTTCGACATGTCCGATGATCACCAAGATTCCCAAATCCCAAGACGCTGCACAATCTGGAAACCTACCGGGTTGCCTTGCCTCTCTCTTTAGACCTCGGCTGGCTCGGCTGGCCTGCTTGGGGAAGATGTCCGAACTCCGAACCGACCATTAGTGCAAATAGGTTTCCCGGTCAAATTCGATCAGAGGTACGAACGTAGCGTAGGCGTAGCGCATAATTTTTCAACTGTTATTATCATCAAAAGTAATATATTCACTCCAGCATATGCAGAAATCAACGGCAAAATTTTGCCAACAAAAATGCTTGTGATGCTGTTCAGCACTAAGCCACTAAACCACATGGGCACAGTGTTAAATCATATATTTCTTGCAGACACAAGGTAATTATATCCACCAGAATACATATTGATCATTCACACAACAAAACAACAAGTATGAAAGTTCATACAAACATAAGCAAACGTACATTCCTGAGGCAAAAGGTTCTCTACTGCTAGGAGAGATTTACTGCTGCATCAAGTCTTCTTCTGGTAGGACTCTGAAAAACTTGAGGGAGCAGGACATCGATCATCTGCTCGGTTCATGTAAAGATGCATCCCTCTTCTGCTTGAAGAAACCAGAGATGGCTGCAAAGGAAAATACTAAAGCATGGTGAGATTATACATTAGTTGCGAAGGAAGATGAAATTCATCCAATGTATTTGAACACTAAAATCTGTGATAGACCATTGACAATGCACAAAGTTAACTCCATATCCGAAAAAACATAACTTCTAATATTACTAAACAACAGACTTTGGAATGAACAAAATGTGTTTGTTTAAAACAATCCAAATATACACAAACAAAACAGAGGACAAAATCAGACTTACACATGACTTGCATTCAACGATGCCTCCTGTCTCTATATTCATCTCTAGAATAACGCTGTTCATAGTCCCTTCGAGAATGATGATAAGAATCATCATGTCTAGACCTTTTCGGATCACGGCTATCAAAATCTCTATTTCTTCGTCGACCATGTTCTTCATGCCTCCTATTTGGATCATACATATCTTCATCATGTCTCCTGTTTGGATCATACCTATCCTCATCCTGCCTCCTGCTTGGATCATACCTATCTTCTCCAACTTTTCTTTTGTAGTCTCTTTCAACATCATTTTCGCCTTTCCTCCCCTCATGGTCACGCTCATATCTATCTCCGTCCCTCTCCCCCTGCTTCTGCTTCTCCAATGCCTTTCTCTCTTCCTCCCTCTGCTTCTGCTTCTCAAGCTCTTTAGCCTTTCTCTCTTCCTCCCTCTGCTTCTGCCTGTCCAGCTCTTTTCTCTCTTCCTCCTGCTTTTGCTTCTCTAGCTCCTTTCTCTTCTCGTCTTGACTCCTTTTCTTTCTCTCTAACTCATCATGCTTCAACTGTCTTGCTGATTTCCTATCCTCGCGGCTGTCAGAACTCACATCTGATTCACTATCACTGCTACTGCTGTAATCTGAACTCTCTGAACTCTCACTTGAGCTAGTCACACTTCTTTTCTTTTGGGCAGCCAAACTCGCCCGTGCATCAAGGTGTCTTTTCCTTTCACGAGCATGGCTATCTGAATCAGAATCAGTATCATGCCTCTTGCGCTTATCAACATTCTTTCCAGAGTTCTCTTCCTTTTCTTTACCTCTTTGTGCTGGTTTATCACTATGGTGATAGGACTTCGGAAGATTCTTCTTTTTCTTAACATAAGTTTCTGAATCAGTCTCTGATTCATCACTGTACCGGTCCTTCCGAACAACCTTGCTGCTTGGCTTGTCATCTTTCAAGTCATTGTATGGGATCTTAACAGATTTCTTCTCTCCATAGCCATCGCTAGCAAACTCACTCTTCAATTTATCACGGTACTGGTCCTGTTTATCAGCATCCTTTCGGGACTGAAGTTCAGAATCACGGCGAGAAATCTTTGAATACTTTGATTTTCCACCATGATCACTGTCTGAGCCACTTTCTGGGCCATCAGAATACTTGTCCTTAGGAGCCTTTCTTCGGGGCTTATCATCTTTAGATTCATTGCGAGAACTATTTGTAGATTTCTTCTTCTTCCGATCATAGTCGCTGTCCGACTCACTGAACGAACCATCACCCTCCGAGTCAGTATCTGAATCATCCATGCGCTTACCCTTTCTAGGCTTTTCATCTTCTGAGTCATGTCGGCGAGAGATCGTGGCAGGCCTTTTCTTTCTCTCATCACGATCGTTCTTGCCATGTTTTGTTGTCTTCTTGCCATAATCACCATCTGAATCAGACTCTGAATCATGGCGAGAGCTCTTTCCACGCCTTGCATTCTTATGATCACTCTCAGAATCAGACTCTGAATCATGGCGAGAACTCTTTTTACACTTTGCATTCTTATGGTCACTCTCAGAATCATCATCTGTATCATGGCGAGAATTCTTCAAGTGTTTACTGTGCTTCTTTTCATCATATTTAGCCTCAGAATCATCTTCTGAACCATAGCGAGAATTCTTCTTCTTCTTCTTGTTATCATCATGATCTGAATCTGAATCATGACCAAGTTTAATCTTCCTAGAACTTTTGCCATGACTCTTTGCATCACTCCCTTTATCCTTCTTACCCTTCTTTGCATGCCTTCTGTCATCCTTTAAAGTCTTGCCATCTTCTGGCCCATCTATTTCCAAACCTTCATACTCCTTCCCAGGAACAAGCTCCCCAGATTCCACATCACTTTCTACATCAGCGTTCTTCTTCGCTTTATCATCAACATCCAAACCAAGAGCAGCCCTCAGCGTCTCAAGCTGCTTCTCCTTCCTTGCAGCAACGTGGTGGCTTTGTGTGTCTGAAAAACTGAGAGAATTCACTTCTTGTAAGAAATTGAATGACCATAACCTTCCTGTGAGAAATTAAATAACCGTACAGAAACAGAACAAACAAATGAACATATAACAGCAAAAATAAAGAAACCCATGCATATGCAGTCGTATCACGTATGCTAGTTGGAAACTTGGAACTATAGTAAAAAAAAATACTAGTATAGTAGAAATGAAACAATAACAGTTCAGTTATAGAAATGAAACTAGCGTGATGAAACACAAGTAACAGTTCAGTTATAGAAATGAAACAATCTTAACGCTGTATCGAACAAATATAAACTTTTAAACCATGAGTCACCAGCCCTGCTCTCCTACACATGACAAACAGTATAGCCAGCACAGTAACAAGAACAAGCTAGCATGATGAACTACGAGTAACAATTTGTTTCAGGAATAACACACAACCAAACACTGTATCGAAAATTATTAACTTTTAAGCATGAGTCACCAGCCTTCCTCTCCTAGTACACATGACAAACACTATAGCCAGCACAGTAAACGGAAATAAGACGAACACTTCGATCTCTACACATACCCTTTGCCCGGGAGTGGCTGCCGCCCCGCGCCGCGTCCTTCCTCCTCGGCGGCCGCGGCCGCCGCGGCCTCGATCTCGGCCTCCTTGCGCGCCTCCTCGACGCGCTCCTCGATCTCCCCCTCCGTGTACCCCTGCTCCTCGAGCGCGTCCCTCAGCAGGAGCAGCCGCAGCTCCACCTGCCGCTTCCGGTCGTGCTCCAGGATCTCCTTGTTCGGCTTCCGCATCCCGCCGAGGCCCCCGCCGGCGTCGTCGAACCCCGGGGCCGGCGCCGCCCTCGGGGGCCCGCCCGCCGACGACGACCGCGGCTTGATGAAGAACTTGTTGGTCTGCACGTACCCATTCGTGCCCGACCCCCGCGCGGTCTGGAGACCTGATGCCGTTGTACATGGCGGCGGCGGCGGTGGGGAGCGGCCGGGGAGGTGGTGGTGGTGGTGCGGCGAAACCCTAGCTAGGGTTTCGATCGGTTTGGTTCGTCGCGACTCGCGAGATCCCCAATTCGGGAGGGAGACGGGATGAGAGGGGAGGAGGAGGAGGAGGCGAGCGTGATCTTATTCGGCGGCTGCTTCGTGGGCTGGAGAATAATTTGAGTCGGTTTCGTGGGGAATAAGATCACTTCGACTCCCTCAACTGACCACCGAATCTAAATCGTATCCCTCAACCACAATACCAGAAATCTTGACCCTCCGAACTTACAAAACCGGTGTAATTTGACTTCCTTGGTGGTTTTGGATGGTTGTTTCGCTGACGTAGCGCACACGTGGCAGTGTTGACTTGGTCTTTGTTCCACGTGGCATTGACGTGGCGCATATGTGGCATTAAAATAAAAAAAATATATGCGGGACCCATTTATCATTCACACAAAAAAAGAATTGTGGGACCCACTGACATGTGTGTCCCACATGTCACCCTCTCCTATCCCTTCTTCCTCCTCCCCCTCCTCCCTTCTCTATCTCTCCCTCTTTCTCTTCGTGCGTGGGGAGCGGCGGCGGCGGCGACGGCGACGGCAGGCAATGGACGGAGCGGCAGCCGACAGTCTTCGCGCCTCCTCTATCGCCGCCGTTGCAGCAGCAGTAGGGATTCGGGGATGGTGGCGGGGCGAGGGCATGGCGGCGAGGGCACCTTGAGCGCCCGCTCAGCGAGGGCATGGCGGTGAGAGCACAACAGCGACGAGCAGGATGATTCCGACGATGATGGCGCGGGGCGGCCACGGCGGGGAGGGAGCAAGTCGGGCGCGGTGGCACGAAGGAATGTGCGCAGCGGGGGACACCGAGCGCACCGAGGAGGAGGTGGAGGAGCGCGAAAACGCTGCCGCCCCGGCGGCCACCGAGCCCCCTGCTCCTGCCGCCAACTTCCCAAGCCTCCACGAGGCCGCTGCGGGCGCGGCCGGTGGCAAATCCAAGAGGAAGAAGGGGGCGGTCTGCGGAAGGTCAACGGACGGCGACGGCGACGAGGAGGAAGCGGCGAAGCTCTTCGGCTTGACGATGGCGACGAAGCTCCGACGATCTCCGGCGACGGCGAAGGGGCGGACGAGGACGGCGACGACTTGGCGAGCACGACGGTGGTCTTCCCGAGCGACGGCGACGGCTAAAACGACGGCGGCGCACGGCTGGAGCGGCGGCGGCGACGGCAAAGCTAGGGCACACGGCGCTAGGGCTTTTCCGACGACGAGAGGCGAAGGCGAAGGTGGCAACGGGTAGAGGAGACACCGGGGGTCCTTTTAAAGGGGCTCAGAGGCGGCGGCGAAGGCCCAAGGCGGCGGCAACGGCGAAGGAAAGCTCGGCTTGGAGAGAGGGAAACCGATCCGAAACGAACTCGATTCCACGAACTTCCAAAACGATTTAGCCAAAGATTCCAAAGGAGAAAAGGTAGAGGAGATCCCGGAGATTGTTTCCCCTCAAACAATTCGGCCGGAGAAGGAAAGGAACGGCCGGATTTGGAAAGGAACGGCGGCGGCGGCGCGCTAGGGTTTCGGGCGGCGGCGGCCGAAGGTAGACGATGGGTCCGACAGGTGGGACCCACCTGTCAGCGTCCGAACGCGCGCGCGCGACGGCTGCGGACTGGGCCGAACTGGGCCGAGGAGAGAGAGAGCGGTTTTGGGCCGACTTTCGGCCCAAAGCCAAAAGAGACTTTTTAAAACCTTTTTCAATTTAAATTATTCCTTAAATGCAATTCCATTTATTAAAAATACTTCCTTAGCTCAAATAAATCCCACAAAAATCTAGGAATTATAGAATTAAGCAAAGTATTTAATGAAATTTTATCTGGCCCCATTTTATATTGGAATTTATTAATTAAAATTAGATTTTCTTTTCAAGACTTTTAAAATTATTTCTAAAAATTCCAATTAAACAACAATTTAAATATTTTGAATTTTCAGGGTGTGACAAACCTACCCCCCCTTAAACAGAATCTCGTCCTCGAGATTCGGAAGAACTGGCGAACAGATGCGGATGAGCTGACTTCAATTCATCTTCTCGTTCCCAAGTTGATTCTTCTTCCGAGTGATTACTCCATTGAACTTTGCAGAAACGGATAACTCGATTCCTGGTTCTTCTCTCATTTGTTTCCAGGATACGGATTGGTTTCTCAACATAAGTCAAATCCTCTTGGACTTCTATCTGCTCAATATTAGCTTCTTCGGTAGGTACACTTAAACATTTTTTTCAATTGTGACACATGGAACACATTATGGACTCCTGCCAAAGATTGAGGTAATTCTAACTGATAAGCAACCTCTCCTCTTCTACTGACAATCTTATAAGGTCCCACAAAACGCGGTGCCAATTTTCCTTTGGTGTGAAAACGATGAACTCCTCGAAGAGGCGTGACACGAAGATACACATAGTCTCCTTCTTCAAAACTCAAATCTCTACGGCGATTGTCGGCATAACTCTTATGACGAGATTGAGCCACTCGCAATCTTTCTTGAATAATTTTTACCTTTTCTTCTGCTTCTCTTAGAATATCAGTCCCGAAAACCTGACGTTCTCCCGTTTGATCCCACAAAAGCGGAGTGCGACACTTCCGACCATACAGTGCTTCGTAAGAAGCCATCTGTAGACTAGCTTGATAACTGTTGTTGTATGAAAATTCTGCATAAGGTAGATTCTTATCCCAACTTCCACCGAAATCTAAAGCACAAGCTCTCAACATGTCTTCCAAAATCTGATTCACCCTTTCGGTTTGTCCGTCTGTCTGTGGATGATAAGCAGTACTAAAGTTCAGCTTAGAACCCATCTCTTCCTGAAGTTTCTTCCAAAAATTTGAAGTAAACTGACTGCCTCGATCAGACACTATCTTCTTAGGGACGCCATGCAAACACACAATCCTTGCCATATACAATTCCGCCAAGCGACTTCCGGAATAGGTTGTCTTTACCGGAATAAAATGAGCCACTTTGGTAAGTCTGTCGACTATCACCCAAATAGAGTCATGGCCTGATGACGTTCTGGGTAAACCAGTAATAAAATCCATACCTATTTCTTCCCATTTCCATTCAGGAATCTTCAAAGGCTGCAACAAACCGGCGGGTTTCTGATGTTCTGCCTTGACTCGCTGACAAACATCACATACTGCTACATATTCCGCGATTTCACGCTTCATACTTGCCCACCAAAATCTTTCCTTGAGATCCTGGTACATCTTAGTACTACCAGGGTGAATGGAGTATAAAGTATCATGAGCTTCTTTCAAAACTGCATCTTTTAGATCTTTGTTGTCGGGGACACAGATTCTCTCACCCAACCATACAGTTCCTTGCTCATCCTCCAAGAAACCAATAGCTTTTCCTCTTCTCATATTCTTCTTGATCTCTTGAATATCAGGATCATTAATTTGGGCTTCTCTAACTTGATCAATTAGAGTGGGCTTCGCTTCTAAGGCTGCAATGAAACCTCTACCGACAATTCCCAAATTTAATCTTTCAAATTCCTTGCATAATTCCAATGGCAACTGTCGTCCTTCTGTAGCATTGCAATAGCCTTTTCTGCTAAGAGCGTCTGCTACAACATTAGCCTTTCCCGGATGATCATGAATTCCCATGTCATAATCCTTAATTAATTCCAACCATCTCCGTTGTCTCATGTTCAGATCCGGCTGAGTAAAGATATACTTTAAACTCTTGTGATCGGTGTACACTTCTGTACGAGTACCGAAAAGATAATGACGCCAAATCTTCAATGCATGAACGACTGCAGCTAACTCAATATCATGAGTAGGGTAGTTCTTCTCATGCGGACGTAACTGTCGAGAGGCATAGGCAACCACATTCCCATCTTGCATCAGAACACAACCTAACCCAAGTTTGGATGCATCGCAATACACTTGAAAACCCTTCTTTGGATCAGGCAAAATCAAAATAGGAGCTGATATTAAGCGACTTTTCAACTCTTGAAAACTCTGCTCACATTCTTCCGACCACTTGTACTTCACATCTTTCTGAAGCAGTCGTGTCATGGGCTTAGCAATCTTGGAAAAATTCTCTATAAACCTCCGATAATATCCTGCGAGGCCTAGGAAACTGCGAATCTCTGAAACTGTCTTTGGTTGCTTCCAATTGGTTACGGATTCCACGTTACTAGGATCGACGGTAACTCCTCCGGCTGAGATGACGTGACCAAGGAATTTCACTTCAGACAACCAAAATTCACACTTGCTAAACTTAGCATACAGTTGATGTTCTCGTAGCTTCTCCAATGCAAGACGAAGATGTTCCTCATGCTCTTCTTTGGTTCGAGAGTAGATAAGAATATCATCAATAAAGACCACCACGAACTTGTCTAGGTATTCCATAAACACCTTATTCATCAAGTTCATGAAGAAAGCAGGGGCATTGGTAAATCCAAAAGACATAACAGTACATTCGAACAACCCATACCTAGTGGTAAAAGCTGTCTTAGGTATATCTTCCTCTTTGATTCTCAACTGATGATACCCTGATCGAAGATCTATCTTGGAGAAAACAGTGGCACCTTTAAGCTGATCAAACAAATCATCAATCCTGGGTAGTGGATACTTATTCTTGATAGTCACATCGTTTAGTGCACGATAGTCCACACACATTCTCTGAGTATGGTCTTTCTTTTCCACAAAAATAACTGGAGCTCCCCATGGTGATGAACTCGGTCTGATGTATCCTTTCTGTAGCAAATCATCTACTTGCCTCTTAACTTCTGCCAACTCATTGGCTGCCATTCGATAAGGTCTCTTATGGATCGGAGTTGTTCCAGGTACCAAATCTATTCTGAACTCTATATCCCTTTTAGGCGGCATACCAGGTAAATCATCTGGGAACACATCAGGATACTCCCGGACTATAGAAATCTCTTCCAAAGTTATCTGGTTCAGTCTTGACCTTAAAGACTCAGATGACAATGCATGAACAGTTACAACTCGACCATCATAGCTGGTGAGAGTTACTTTTTTGTTGGCACAGTCTATCACACCTTTATGTCTGGCTAACCAGTCCATCCCTAGGATGACATCAAGGTCTTTGGATTCTAACAAGATAAGATTGGCCAGAAATGGTACTCCTTGAATTTCTATTCTGACAGAGG